TTAAGAGGCTCATCTGTCCTCCACTCGTTACCTGTATTAATGGCACCTGTTTGAACTTGTTATCAGTATAAAAGACACCTGTCCACAACCTCAAACAGTCACACTCCAAACTCCACTATGGCCAAGACCAAAGAGCTGTCAAAGGACACCAGAAACAAAATTGTAGACCTGCACCAGGCTGGGAAGACTGAATCTGCAATAGGTAAGCAGCTTGGTTTTAAGAAATCAACTGTGGGAGCAATTATTAGGAAATGGAAGACATACAAGACCACTGATAATCTCCCTCGATCTGGGGCTCCACGCAACATCTTACCCCGTGGGGTCAAAATGATCACAAGAACGGTGAGCAAAAATCCCAGAACCACACGTGGGGACCTAGTGAATGACCTACAGAGAGCTGGGACCAAAGTAACAAAGCCTACCATCAGTAACACACTACGCCGCCAGGGACTCAAATCCTGCAGTGCCAGACGTGTCCCCCTGCTTAAGCCAGTACATGTCCAGGCCCGTCTGAAGTTTGCTAGAGTGCATTTGGATGATCCAGAAGAGGATTGGGAGAATGTCATATGGTCAGATGAAACCAAAATAGAACTTTTTGGTCAAAACTCAAAGAATGCTGAGTTGCATCCAAAGAACACCATACCTACTGTGAAGCATGGGGGTGGAAACATCATGCTTTGGGGCTGTTTTTCTGCAAAGGGACCAGGACGACTGATCCATATAAAGGAAAGAATGAATGGGGCCATGTATCGTGAGATTTTGAGTGAAAACCTCCTTCCATCAGCAAGGGCATTGAAGATGAAAGGTGGCTGGGTCTTTCAGCATGACAATGATCCCAAACACACCGCCCGGGCAACGAAGGAGTGGCTTCGTAAGAAGCATTTCAAGGTCCTGGAGTGGCCTAGCCAGTCTCCAGATCTCAACCCCATAGAAAATCTTTGGAGGGAGTTGAAAGTCCCAAAACATCACTGCTCTAGAGGAGATCTGCATGGAGGAATGGGCCAAAAAACCAGCAACAGTGTGTGAAAACCTTGTGAAGACTTACAGAAAACGTTTGACCTGTGTCATTGCCAACAAAGGGTATATAACAAAGTATTGAGAAACTTTTGTTATTGACCAAATACTTATTTTCCACCATCATTTGCAAATAAATTCATTAAAAATCCTACAATGTGATTTTCTGGATTTTTTTTTCTAATTTTGTCTGTCATAGTTGACGTGTACCTATGATGAAAATTACAGGCCTCTCTCATCTTTTTAAGTGGGAGAACTTGCACAATTGGTGGCTGACTAAATACTTTTTTCCCCCACTGTATGTCCTTTTTTGCCATTGAAGCATTAGAACATGCTCGTTCCGATAATGTAAAGAAATAAAACATCTGATTTGGATGAACGTCTGTAGGATGATCTCAGAAAGTAGCTTTTTTGATCCACGTTGTATGTGATCACACCATCATGCACTTTTTCTTTTTTCAAACTCCACAAGTTATTTTGTCTGAAGACAGATTAACTACAAAACGCTAGTAGGCTAAATTAGAAATGTATGCATATTAACCCATAATTTATTAGCTAAATATAATTTATTAGCCTTTAAATATTTACCTGTCAAGGTCAAGAAAAAAATATGAAATGACAATGTGCATTCCCCCAGGCTAAAGGCCAAAGCATTTCTGTGACAATAGACAAGAACAGCTCAAGGACAAAACTACATAGTGCCTTCAGAAAGTATTCATACCCCTTGACTTATTCCACATTTTGCTGTGTTACAGACTGAATTAAAAATGGATTACATAGATTGTTTTGATGACAAGTGAAAACATGTTTTTAGACATTTAAGCAAATTTATTGAAAATTAAATACAGAAATACATTTACATAAGTATTCACACACCTGAGTCAATACTTTGTAGAAGCACCTTTGGCATCGATTACAGCTGTGAGTCCTTCTGGGTAAGGATCTAAGAGCTTTGCACACCTAGATTGTACAATATTTGCACATTCTTAAAAAGATTATTCGAGCTCTGTTAAGTTGGTTGTTGATCATTGCTAGACAGCCATTTTCATGTCTTAACATAGCCGATTTAAGCCGATTTAAGTCAAAACTGTAACTATGCCACTCAGGAACATTCAATGTCATCTTTGTAAGCAACTCCAGTGTTGGTTTTAGGTTATTGTCCTGCTGAAAGGTGAATTTGTCTCCCAGTGCCTGTGCTTAGCTCTATTCCGTTTCTTTTTAACCTGAAAAACTCCCTAGTCCTTGCCGATGACATGCATATCCATAACATGATGCATCCACCACCATGCTTGAAAGTATGAAGAGTGGTACTCAGTGATGTGTTGTGTTGGATTTGCCCCAAACATAACGCTTTGCATTTAAGACAAAGTTAATTAATGTATTATTCTGCCAATTAGGGTAGTATTGTGGAGTAACTACAAAGTTGATGATCCATTCTCAGTTCTCTTATCACAGCCATTAAACTCTGTAACTGTTTTAAAGTCACCATTGGCCTCTCCGGCCTCTGGTGATTAACTGGTGCCCTTATACAACGTTATTAATTTGAAATAGTATGCAGATTTATTAACATTTTACATTTACATTTTAGTCATTTAGCAGACGCTCTTATCCAGAGCGACTTACAGTTAGTGAGTGCATACATTATTTTAATTTTTAATTTTTTCATACTGGCCCCCCGTGGGAATCGAACCCATGCTCTACCAACTGAGCTACATCCCTGCCGGCCATTCCCTCCCATACCCTGGACGACGCTAGGCCAATTGTGCGCCGCCCCATGGGCCTGGATTCGAACCAGGATCTCTAGTGGCACAGCTAGCACTGCTATGCAGTGCCTTAGACCACTGCGCCACTCGGGAGTTGTTTTAAGTCACCAATTATCACCAATTATAGACCACTAAAGTTCCTACATTGGTACGAAAGGTATATTAGATCGACATCGCAAAAAATTAAGAGACTGTAAACTGAAAGAGTTTATTTTCATGCTTTAGCCGGATGCTAGGAATTAAACGCTACCGTGACAGCAAAGCTTGTAAATAAATATGAGCCATTGATATTAAAAAGTAGAAAAATATACCAATATATGTCATACAAACAACAACCATATTCATAGGTAAAAATGTAATTGAATTTGCACAAAAACTTCTCAAACTAGTTGAAGTTGAGGTAGTGTAAACTTCATGTTAAGAATACAGTACTTCTTAAGACACACACATACACACTACCAGTCAAAGGTTTTTTACATTGTAGAATAATAGTGAAGACATCAAAACTATGAAATAACACATGGAATCATGTTGTAACCAAAAAAGTGTTAAACAAATCAAAATATATTTTATATTTGAGGTTCTTCAAAGTAGCCACCCTTTGCCTTGACGACAGCTTTGCACACTTGGCATTCTCTCAACCAGCTTCATGAGGTAGTCACCTGGAATGCATTTCAATTAACAGGTGTGCCTTCTTAAAAGTTAATTTGTGGAATTTCTTTCCTTCTTAATGCGTTTGAGACAATCAGTTGTGTTGTGACAAGGTAGGTGGGGTATACAGAAGATAGCCCTATTTGGTAAAAGACCAAGTCCATATTATGGCAAGAACAGCTCAAATAAGCAAAGAGAAACGACAGTCCATCATTACTTTAAGACATGAAGGTCAGTCAATCCGGAAAATGTCAAGAACTTTTTAAGTTTCTTCAAGTGCAGTCGCAAAAACCATCAAGCGCTATGATGAAACTGGCTCTCATGAGGACCGCCACAGGAATGGAAGACCCAGAGTTACCTCTGCTGCAGAGGATAAGTTCATTTGGGTTACCAGCCTCAGAAATTGCAGCCCAAATAAATGCTTCACAGAGTTCAAGTAATAGACATCTCAACATCAACTGTTAAGAAACTGTGAGAATCAGGCCTTCATGATCGAATTGCTGCAAAGAAACCACTACTAAAGGACATCAATAAGAAGAAGAGACCTGCTTGGGCCAAGAAACACGAGCAATGAACATTAGACCAGTGGAAATGTGTCCTTTGGTCTGGAGTCCAAATTGGAGATTTTTGGTTCCAACCGCCGTATCTTTGTGAGACGCGGTGTGGGTGAACGGATGATCTCAGCATGTGTAGTTCCTACCGTAAATCATGGAGGAGGTGGTGTTATGGTGTGGGGGTGCTTTGCTGGTGACACTGTCTGTGATTTATTTAGAATTCAAGGCACACTTAACCAGCATGGCTACCACAGCATTCTGCAGCAATACGCCATCCCATCTGGTTTGGGCTTAGTGGGACTATCATTTGTTTTCCAACAAGACAATGACCCAACACACCTCCAGGCTGTGTAATGGCTATTTTACCAAGAAGGAGCGTGATGGATTGCTGCATCAGATGACCTGGCCTCCACAATCACCCCGACCTCAACCCAATTGAGCTGGTTTGGGATGAGTCGGACGGCAGAGTGAAGGAAAAGCAGCTAACAAGTGCTCAGCATATGTGGGAACTCCTTCAAGACTGTTGGAAAAGCATTCCAGGTAAAGCTGGTTGAGAGAATGCCAAGCGTGTGCAAAGCTGTCATCAAGGCAAAGGGTGGCTACTTTGAAGAATCTCAAATATAACATATATTTTGATTTGTTTAACACTTTTTTGGTTACTACATGATTCCATATGTGTTATTTCATAGTTTTGATGTCTTCACTATTATTCTACAATGTAGAAAATAGTAAAAATAAAGAAAAACCCTTGAATGAGTAGGTGTGTCCAAACCTTTGACTGGTACTGTTAATATTCATACTTGTATAGATATAAATATATGACATATATTTTCTTTCTCTTGGTTGATGATCCTGCTGACAGGCCAAGTGCACTTTGGATGTATGAGAGACTGTTCCTTTTCACCCTGGGTAAATATTGCTGTGATGCTGGGTCAAGTTTAGGCTGTTCACGCTGATCTAGGATCAGCGTCCCCTCCCCCAATCCTAACCTTAACCATTAGCGGGGGAAATGCAAAGCTGACCCAAGATCAGCATCTAGGGTTAACTTCACACCTGCACCAAGGCTGGGAGGCTGTCAGAGGCCTGGACTCAGCCTGGGGCCTGGCTCCTTCTCTGGGAGTGTAGGATCCAGTCTCACAGGTTTGTGGGACACCTCCGCTTGCGCACTCTCCTGGAGACACCATCTCTCTGGAGCATCTGGCTAAACAGATCAAGACCGAGAATGTATTGTTAAGAACTGATTTCCACTTGTAGCTTATGAATGAAATTAATCTACATGAACTATTAGGGTGGTTCTAAAATAAATGTATACAATACAGTAAACAGTACCCATGGCAAATCACATCAATTCCTTTTACTGATGGCATGAATGTAGCCGCTATAAGCGCTATTAGACAAGGGTTCCTTCCTTTTTTGCTCACACTTACACAGCCTTGTTTGAGTGGGGGCTCAGTGGAGCTCAGAGAGAGGGAGTCCGAGGTGCAGTTGCCCAGCAGTTGGCCCAGCTTGTCCACTCGTCTGCGCAGTCCCTGTAGACTCCCCTCGGTCTGCTGCCTGCGCTGGCTCAGAAATTCTTCCTGAGACCACATGCGTCTGCGCAGCTGAGCCTAGCGAGGACAACAGAACAGTCAGAAACAAATGAAGAATGGCATAGATAGGCCTTCCCTGCCCATCTATGACCCGTTCCAGGAACCTAGGCGTATGTCGCACGTCACTATTTCACAGGAGAGGAACTTGCAGGAAGACATTTTTATTTTTATAAAAGCCTTCTGGAACATGGGAACTTTCATGTGTCTTAATAAAAAAAAACTTGTATGCCATCTGCAAATACAAATAAAATTGTAAATTACGAGCCTAGTTGGTTTAGCCATGGAAAAAGACAGGAACTTTCCCGCTAGCCATCATTGGCTGAGATAATGGATGGGCTGGACATGGCGAGAGATGAGTTTGGATTGGTCTGCCATGTAGCATGCTTCTGTCTATAACATGAGCTGCTCAGTATGTGTAGATTATCCTTGCTACTGCATCTTTTTTTAAAGATATCATGAATAACTGCAAAAGTGTTGCTACTGCTCTCAACAATGCTGCCCTGACTTTTACAGGCGCTATCGACAATGATCAGTGGGGAAAAGTTGTGATGAACTACTTTCTGGACGACGATCGTGCATGCTGACTCTGAAAATGAATCAGACGATGAGGAAATCCCTGATAAAAAATTTATAAAATTGAACCAGAGTCTTCTGATGACAGTGATGGGGAAGAAAAGGCGATCAACAGTGTTGTTGTCACGGAAGAAGTTGACCGAGTTTTGAAATCAGTGGAAATCAGTGCCCCCGGTGGAAACAGAGTATGATTGGAAATGCGGTGGGAGTCGAAAAGAGAACACAGAAGGCTGATGTATAAAACACTTGTCTCCGGATTACATCTTCAAACTAAGGGCAACCATGGCATCCATGACGGGTAAGAGTCTAGCTACATTTTCAGATATTATACATTTCTAATTTTGTCAGAAAGTCATTTTCATTGCAAGTTAAAGCGTACTGTTAGCTAGCAGGCAACGTTAGCTGGCTGGCTCGCTAGCTAGCTAACGTTACGTGAATGAGCTGTGTAGTAATATTACTCGCATCTCAGAAATCTATTTGCACTGCTAGTTATAGCCTAATGTTAGCTAGCTAGCTATTGAACCGAGTTGGTTAGCTTTAGCTTCCTGCAGATTCATGCATGGTAGTATGGGTTGGGATTATGGGTCTAAACAAAAGACTCCACTATGCAAGTAGATTTTTAAAATTTTTAGTCATTTTAGCAGACGCTCTTATCCAGAGCGACTTACAGTTAAGTGAGTGCATACATTATTATTTTTTATTTTTTTCATACTGGCCCCCCGTGGGGATCGAACCCACAACCCTGGCGTTGTAAACGCCATGCTCTACCAACTGAGCTACATCCCTGCCGGCCATTCCCTCCCCTACCCTGGATGACGCTGGGCCAATTGTGCGCTGCCCCATGGGTCTCCCGGTCGCGGCCGGCTACGACAGAGCCTGGATTCGAACCAGGGGCTCTAGTGGCACAGCTAGCACTGCAATAAAGTGCCTTAGACCACTGTACTGTTTACACCTTCTGTATCCTGTGTATGTGACAAATACATTTTATTTTATTTGATGTAGTGTGTGTTTACCAGAAACATGACCTGCACCAAAGTCAGATTAGGATATAGGCCAAGGACTAGAGAAAGTATATTTTTACTACAAATTTTTGCTACTACTTTCCCCACTTTTAGTCTTAATCTTTGGTTGTTTACTACACTACCTTACTCACTCTGTTTAGCACATGGCCTCACACGTCAAACCTTAAAGAGATGGGTGAGGCCAAGGCTTAAGAGGGTGTGAACGATGCTGAATGGGTGTAGACAAAGAAGAGCTCTCCAGTAGGTGTACCGAAACATTCACGGGCCATTTTCTCAAATGTGGGGTTACAAGTTTATCAACTGTCCACTAAATCCAAATAGGTCAGATCAGGTTTGCAATGAATAACTTCAAATCAGAACCCCTCTCACCCGTAGAGGAGGATGGAAAGAACTAGGGGTGTTATCACGCCCTGTTGTAAATCAGGGGAGAAGATTCAGGCCTGCGCTCTCAAGATTCACCAAAGGAATGTTCTTTGTTTCAACATACACTGCTCAAAAAAATAAATGGAACACTTAAACAACACATCCTAGATCTGAATGAATGAAATAATCTTATTAAATACTTTTTTTCTTTACATAGTTGAATGTGCTGACAACAAAATCACACTAAAATTATCAATGGAAATCCAATGTATCAACCCATGGAGGTCTGGATTTGGAGTCACCCTCAAAATTAAAGTGGAAAACCACACTACAGGCTGATCCAACTTTGATGTAATGTCCTTAAAACAAGTCAAAATGAGGCTCAGTAGTGTGTGTAACCTCCACGTGCCTGTATGACCTCCCTACAACGCCTGGGCATGCTCCTGATGAGGTGGTGGATGGTCTCCTGAGGGATCTCCTCCCAGACCTGGACTAAAGCATCCGCCAACTCCTGGACAGTCTGTGGTGCAACGTGGCGTTGGTGGATGGAGCGAGACATGATGTCCCAGATGTGCTCAATTGGATTCAGGTCTGGGGAAGGGGCGGGCCAGTCCATAGCATCAATGCCTTCCTCTTGCAGGAACTGCTGACACACTCCAGGCACATGAGGTCTAGCATTGTCTTGCATTAGGAGGAACCCAGGGCCAACCGCACCAGCATATGGTCTCACAAGGGGTCTGAGGATCTCATCTCGGTACCTAATGGCAGTCAGGCTACCTCTGGCGAGCACATGGAGGGCTGTGCGGCCCCCCCAAAGAAATGCCACCCCACACCATGACTGACCCACCGCCAAATCGGTCATGCTGGAGGATGTTGCAGGCAGAAGAACGTTCTCCACGGCGTCTCCAGACTCTGTCACGTCTGTCACATGTGCTCAGTGTGAACCTGCTTTCATCTGTGAAGAGCACAGGGCGCCAGTGGCGAATTTGCCAATCTTGGTGTTCTCTGGCAATTTTTTTTTTTTTTTACATTTTAGTCATTTAGCAGACGCTCTTATCCAGAGCGACTTACAGTTAGTGAGTGCATACATTATTATAAAAAATATATATAATCTTACTGGCCCCCCGTGGGAATCGAACCCACAACCCTGGCATTGCAAACGCCATGCTCTACCAACTGAGCTACATCCCTGCCGGCCCTTCCCTCCCATACCCTGGACGACGCTGGGCCAATTGTGCGCCGCCCCATGGGTCTCCCGGTCGCGGCCGGCTACGACAGAGCCTGGATTCGAACCAGGGGCTCTAGTGGCACAGCTAGCACTGCAATAAAGTGCCTTAGACCACTGTACTGTTTACACCTTCTGTATCCTGTGTATGTGACAAATACATTTTATTTTATTTGATGTAGTGTGTGTTTACCAGAAACATGGCCTTAGACCACTGCGCCACTCGGGAGACAAATGCCAAACGTCCTGCACGGTGTTGGGCTGTAAGCACAACCCCCACCTGTGGACGTCGGGCCCTCATACCACCCTCATGGAGTCTGTTTCTGACCGTTTGAGCAGACACATGCACATTTGTGGCCTGCTGGAGGTCATTTTGCAGGGCTCTGGCAGTGCTCCTCTTGCTCTTCCTTGCACAAAGGCGGAGGTAGCGGTCCTGCTGCTGGGTTGTTGCGCTCCTACGGCCTCCTCCATGTCTCCTGATGTACTGGCCTGTCTCCTGGTAGCACCTCCATGCTCTGGACACTACGCTGACAGACACAGCAAACCTTCTTGCCACAGCTCGCATTGATGTGCCATCCTGGATGAGCTGCACTACCTGAGCCACTTGTGTGGGTTGTAGACTCCGTCTCATGCTACCACTAGAGTGAAAGCAACGCCAGCATTCAAAAGTGACCAAAACATCATCCAGGAAGCATAGGAACTGAGAAGTGGTCTGTGGTCACCACCTGAAGAACCACTTCTTTATTGGGGGTGTCTTGCTAATTGCCTATAATTTCCACCTGTTGTCTATTCCATTTGCACAACAGCATGTGAAATTTATTGTTAATCAGTGTTGCTTCCTAAGTGGACAGTTTGATTTCACAGAAGTGTGATTGACTTGGAGTTACAATGTGTTGTTTAAGTGTTCCCTTTATTTTTTTGAGCAGTGCACGTTCAAAAGCGAATACTGGAACAATATTTCTAACGTAGAACGTGGGGAATGGTCAGAGGCGATCTATAGAACACTAATGTCATTTTGTTTGTTATTTTGTGATGTCATAAAAAATGTTATAAAGGAAATACTGTAACTTGGAAAGTATAGTACCAGTCAAAAGTTTGGACACACCTATTCATTCATTTTCTAAATTGTAGAATAATAGTGAAAATATAAAAACTACGAAATAATCATGGAATCATGTATTAACCAAAAAAGTGTTAAATCAAAATAGATTTTAGATTTGAGATTCTTCAAAGTAGCCACCCTTTGCCTTGATGACAGCTTTGCACACTCTTGGCATTCTCTCAACCAGCTTCATGAGGTAGTCACCTGGAATGCATTTCAATTAACAGGTGTGCCTTCTTAAAAGTTAATTTGTGGAATTTCTTTCCTTCTTAATGCGTTTGAGCCAATCAGTTGTGTTGTGACAAGGTAGGGGTGGTATACAGAAGATTTGGTTAAAGACCAAATCCATATTATGGCAAGAACAGCTCAAATAAGCAAAGAGAAACGACAGTCCATCATTACTTTAAGACATGAAGGTCAGTCAATACGGAACATTTCAAGACTTTTGATTTGTTTAACACATTTTTGGTTACTACATGATTCCATATGTGTTATTTCATAGTTTTGATGTCTTCACTATTATTCTACAATGTAGAAAATAGTAAAAATAAAGAAAAACCCTGGAATGAGTAGGTGTGTCCAAACCTTTGACTGGTACTGTATACCCACTACATACAGTGGGGAGAACAAGTATTTGATACACTGCCGATTTTGCCGGTTTTCCTACTTACAAAGTATGTAGAGGTCTGTAATTTCTATCATAGGTAGACTTCAACTGTTAGAGACGGAATCTAAAACAAAAATCCAGAAAATCACATTATATGATTTTTAAGTAATTCATTTGCATTTTATTGCATGACATAAGTATTTGATCACCTACCAACCAGTAAGAATTCTGGCTCTCACAGACCTGTTAGTTTTTCTTTAAGAAGCCCTCCTGTTCTCCACTCATTACCTGTATTAACTGCACCTGTTTGAACTCGTTACCTGTATAAAAGACACCTGTCCACACACTCAATCAAACAGACTCCAACCTCTCCACAATGGCCAAGACCAGAGAGCTGTGTAAGGACATCAGGGATAAAATTGTAGACCTGCACAAGGCTGGGATGGGCTACAGGACAATAGGCAAGCAGCTTGGTGAGAAGGCAACAACTGTTGGCGCAATTATTAGAAAATGGAAGAAGTTCAAGATGACGGTCAATCACCCTCGGTCTGGGGCTCCATGCAAGATCTCACCTCGTGGGGCATCAATGATCATGAGGAAGGTGAGGGATCAGCCCAGAACTACACGGCAGGACCTGGTCAATGACCTGAAGAGAGCTGGGACCACAGTCTCAAAGAAAACCATTAGTAACACACTACGCCGTCATGGATTAAAATCCTGCAGTGCACGCAAGGTCCCCCTGCTCAAGCCAGCGCATGTCCAGGCCCGTCTGAAGTTTGCCAATGACCATCTGGATGATCCAGAGGAGGAATGGGAGAAGGTCATGTGGTCTGATGAGACAAAAATAGAGCTTTTTGGTCTAAACTCCACTCGCTGTGTTTGGAGGAAGAAGAAGGATGAGTACAACCCCAAGAACACCATCCCAACCGTGAAGTATGGAGGTGGAAACATCATTCTTTGGGGATGCTTTTCTGCAAAGGGGACAGGACGACTGCACCGTATTGAGGGGAGGATGGATGGGGCCATGTATCGCGAGATCTTGGCCAACAACCTCCTTCCCTCAGTAAGAGCATTGAAGATGGATCGTGGCTGGGTCTTCCAGCATGACAACGACCCGAAACACACAGCCAGGGCAACTAAGGAGTGGCTCTGTAAGAAGCATCTCAAGGTCCTGGAGTGGCCTAGCCAGTCTCCAGACCTGAACCCAATAGAAAATCTTTGGAGGGAGCTGAAAGTCCGTATTGCCCAGCGACAGCCTCGAAACCTGAAGGATCTGGAGAAGGTCTGTATGGAGGAGTGGGCGAAAATCCCCGCTGCAGTGTGTGCAAACCTGGTCAAGACCTACAGGAAACGTATGATCTCTGTAATTGCAAACAAAGGTTTCTGTACCAAATATTAAGTTCTGCTTTTCTGATGTATCAAATACTTATGTCATGCAATAAAATGCAAATTAATTACTTAAAAATCATACAATGTGATTTTCTGGATTTTTGTTTTAGATTCCGTCTCTCACAATTGAAGTGTACCTATGATAAAAATTACAGACCTCTACATGCTTTGTAAGTAGGAAAACCTGCAAAATCGGCAGTGTATCAAATACTTGTTCTCCCCACTGTATATGAAGTCTCCATCCTATGCGTTGTGCATGTAATATGAACAATTCTTAAAGTATTTTTGTTAAGAGAGGGATGTGAATTGTTTTCCATGAACTTAATTTAATTGGGTAACAATTAAACATAGTGAGTTAATTAGAGAAATAACAGTCTTCAGTTTAACGTTAAAGTCAAGTCACAACACCATTGACCCTCAACTGCAGTGTATGATACACCATTTTCTAGCTTTGAGTCTCTACTTTAAACACCATTTAAAATGTTGCTACATAGGAACAAATTAAAGTGGTGGGTCACCATCGGTCTTGATATAATGTCTATAGAAATACATCTGGGTGGTCTAGCGGTCTAAGCCACTGCCACCGGATCACATATACTGATGAATCTGGCCCACCGCTATTTCAGCACACTCTCCATCTTTCCTCTCTGTCTCTATCCAATTAACATTTATTTATTTCTAAGAAAGGTCAGAAACTAATGAAGAATGACATAGGATAGGCCTTCACTAGCCATTTGTCTCGATATAACATCTATAGAAATACATCTGGGGCTGTATGTAGCTATCAAGCATCTCAGAGTAGAAGTGCTGCTCTAGGATCAGCTCCCATACCCTGTGTACAGTCTGTAAACTAGTTCATTGTGATCTAAAAGGCTGAACTAATCCTAAATCAGCACGGCTACTCTTGAGACGTTTGATACGGCCCTGATTGAACTTGGTCCGACTAGAGACGAAGCATACCGGAATGTAAAGACAAGTTGGGGTACCAGTACAAGTTGTACCAGTACAAGTTGGGGTAGTAGTACCTTCAGGAGGTCCTCCTGCTGGCGAAGTCTCTCTCTTAGCACCTCTCCCCTCCACTGCTCATCCTGAAGACAGACATGCAGAGAAACACAGTCCTTCAGAGGAATTCCTACACTGTACTGTCTACCCCATCACTCTAAGGAACACAGGCAAGACCTCTGCCTGCTACCGATGGTAGAACAGTGGTTTGGCAGTACTGCAGTAATCGTTGTTACAAGGTATTTCGCATGAGGTATGATGAAAATGTAAGTATGTGAAACTCAAATACCAAAAGTTAACCACAGACACAAATCTTGGGCATTGCTCAAAAAAGCTTTGTACACACAGACCTGAAGCCTGGTCTCAGATCTGTTTGTGCTCTTGCCTTTGTCATTGTCAAGCTAAACAATTCCATAAGGTGTTGGCAAGAGAGCAGAAATAGATTGGCACCCAGGCTAACAGACTTGTGCGTGCAGCACAAACTAGATATGACAGGGAGAGAGATGTAAGGTAGCAAAGCCGAGGCATTACGGTAGGATTGTAGGCTGGTCTAGGCACGGCTGGGGTTGAGTAGTGGGGGTAGTTCTCTTTGTGGTCGTCAGTGTCTGAGGAGGAGGGATCTTGGTCAGGGGCGAGGTTCAGCTCTACCATCCCACTGTTCAGCTCTGCCTTGACGTCAGTCTTCAGCCCACGCATGGCTTCCCTGATCTCCCTCAGGCGGCTCTCGCCCTCCTCTTGAACGTGCAGCTGAGGGACACAACAGATTACATGAAAAACGCATCTTCATACTCTGTACTGAAAGTGCTCCATCTTGAAAACTTGACTGCTGATATGCATGATTTTTTTTAATTCTATTGACAGCGGACTAATGAACAAAATATTAAAAAGATAGCCTTTGAGTGTAGTTTAAACGCCCACACCAGTAGAAACCCACTTTTTCGTTAAACAAATAAAAAATTATTTTATATTTGAGATTCTTCAAAGTAGCCTCCCTTTGCCTTGATGACAGCTTTGCACACTCTTGGTATTCACTCAACCAGCTTCATGATGTAGTCACCTGGAATGCATTTCAATTAACAGGTCTGCCTTCTTAAAAGTTAATTTGTGGAATTTCTTTCCTTCTTAATGCGTTTGAGCCAATCAGTTGTGTTGTGACAGGGTAGGGTTGGTATAAAGAAGATAGCCATATTTGGTAAAAGACCAAGTCCATATTATGGCAAGAACAGCTCAAATAAGCAAAGAGAAATGACAGTCCATCATTACTTTAAGACATGAAGGTCAGTTAATCTGGAAAATGTCAAGAACTTTGAAAGTTTCTTCAAGTGCAGTCGCAAAAACCATCAAGCGCTATGATGAAACTGGCTCTCATGAGAACCGCCACAGGAAAGGAAGACCCAGAATTACCTCTGCTGCAGAGGATAAGTTCATTAGTTAACTGCACCTCAGATTGCAGCCCAAATAAATGCTTCAGAGTTCAAGTAACAGACATCTCAACATCTATTCAGAGGAGACTGCGTGAATCAGGCCTTCATGGTTGAATTGCTGAAAGAAACCACTACTAAAGGACACCAAAAAGAAGAGACTTGCTTGGGCTAAGAAACACGAGCAATGGACATTAGATCGGTGGAAATCTGTCCTTTCGTCTGATGAGTCCAAATTTTAGATTTTAGACTCCAACCGCCGTGCCTTTGTGAGACGCAGAGTAGGTGAACGGATTATGTCCGCATGTGTGGTTCCCACCATGAAGCATGGAGGTGGTGGTGTGATGGTGCTTTGCTGGTGACACGGTCAGTTATTTAATTAGAATTCAAGGCACACTTAACCAGCATGGCTACCACAGCATTCTGCAGCGATACGCCATCCCATCTGGTTTGCGCTTAGTGGTACGATCATTTGTTTTTCAACAGGACAATGACCCAAAACACATCTCCAGGCTGTGTACGGGCTATTTGACCAAGAAGGAGAGTGATGGAATGCTGTATCAGATGACCTGGCCTCCACAATCACCCGACCTCAACCCAATTGAGATGGTTTGGGATGAGTTGGACCACAGAGTGAAGGAAAAGCAGCCAACAAGTGATCAGCATGTGTGACTCGTTTCAGGAAACTAGGCATATGTCGCCCGTCACTACTTCCCAGGAGAGACATTTGAACGTAAACATTTTCAAAAAATAAATAAAAAATCTAAATGTGATTTTGGCCAGAATTGCCTTCTGGAACACGTGAACTTTCATGTGCCTTAATAACAAACTTGTATGCCATCTGTAAATATGAATAAAATTGTTAAATTACGAGCCTAGTTGGTTTAGCCACAGAAAAAGACTGCAACCTTCCTGCTAGCCATGATTGGTTGAGATAATGAGTGGGCTGGACATGCTGAGAGATCGTGTTTTGAAATCAGTGGAATTAGAGTATGATCGCTAAGGAGATGGAGAAAACACCTGTCTCCGGATTACATCTTCAAACTAAGGGCAACCATGGCATCCGTGACAGAGGGAGAAGCAGCCATCCATGTATACGGGTAAGATAGTCTAGCTAGCTACATTTTCAGATGTTACACGTTTCTAATTTTGTCAGGAAGTCGTTTCAATTTCAAGTTAAAGTGTACTGTTAGCTAGCTAGCTAACGTTAGCTGGCTGGCTCGCTAGCTAACGTTACGTATATGATCTGTGTAGTTATATTATTCGTATCTCAGAGCCATTTACTGTGCTAGTTATAGCCTAATGTTAGCTAGCTAACATTGAACCTGGTTGGTTAGCTACCTGCAGATTCATGCAGGGTAGTAACGTCATGAGTTGGGATTATGGTTCATTGTTTAACTAGCTAGCTAGCTACAGGTCTTAAAATACTCTACTATGCAAGTAACCATTTCAATAGAATGTTCATTCTATTATTACTATTTATCCTGCTACCAGTCACTTTCTCCTAATCCCTGCCAATTTGTCCCTCAGATTGCCTAAATATGTCAACAGAGACTATGGGCGACACATTTCATTCTTCTTAATCTCGGAAACGAATAATTTAAATTGCGTCAGATGCTCGATTAGGTTCTGGGGGAAGATGTAGGAGAAAAGTTACTAACGAGACTAGCGAAGCCTCCACCCCCCTAAGTGGAAACCTACAGCCAACGCATGGGCCAACTGTCCCCTCCCCTTCCGAAAATTTGAAAGATGGAAAAATTACGATTTCGCAGGTGTTTGCAAATGATCATTGATGAAGAAATGTGCACCGGAACAGAGTTCTTCATTAGTTCCTCCTTAGTTGTCGCAACCCACAGTCTGATGACAGACGCTACGATACAATCCTGTTAATTAAAATGGTACAGCAATGAAAAATACATAGATATCCACTAAGTTTAGGTGAAAAGCCAGTAGCCATCCATAGATACCCCTCCCTACCATCCATCCCTATGACCCACCTGCTCTGTCTCCTTTAGTTTCTCTCGGTGGGCGTGCTCGCATCTCTTCTGGGCCTGCAGCCTGCCCTTGGCACTCCTCCTCTCTTCCTGCATACCCTGCACCTCCGCCCGACACGCCCCCAGCTCCTCCTGCAGCGCAAGCAGCTCCTCAGCCCGCTCCTGCAGCTGGGCCTCCCTCTTACATAGCTCCTGCCCTGGGATCACATTCACACCGACACACAGTCAGGTAACAAACCACCTTCAGGTGTGGATGGACAAACCAGGCAGGCAAAAACCAGCAAACACTGCAGTGAATATTGGAGATATGATAGGAGCGAATGATGAAAGATGGTGTGTTGAGATCAGACCTGAGTTCAAATATTATTTGTTTTCTTTCAAATACAGTACCATTCAAAAGTTTGGACACACCTACTCATTCAAGGGTTTTTCTTTATTTTTACTATTTTCTACATTGTAGAAAAGTGAAAACTATGAAATAACACATATGGAATCATGTAGTAACCGAAGAAGTGTTAAACAAATCAAAATATATTTCAGATTTGAGATTCTTCAAAGTAGCCAGCCTTTGCCTTGATGACAGCTTTGCACACTCTTGGCATTCTCTCCACCAGCTTCATGAGGAATGCTTTTACAACAGTCTTGAAGAAGTTCCCACATATGCTGAGCACTTGTTGGCTGCTTTCCCTTCACTCTGCGGTCCAACTCATCCCAAACCATCTCAATTGGGTTGAGGTCTTGTGATTGTGGAGGCCAGGTCATCTGATCCAGCACTCCATCACGCTCCTTCTTGGTAAAATAGTCCTTACACAGCCTGGAGGTTTGTTTTGGGTCATTGTCCTGTTGAAAAACAAATGACAGTACCACTAAGCGCAAACCAGATGGGATGGCGTATCGCTGCAGAATGCTGTGGTAGCCATGCTGGTTTAGTGTGCCTTGAATTCTAAATAAATCACTGACAGTGTCATCAGCAAAGCACCCCCACACCATCACACCTCCTCCTCCATGCTTCACAGTGGGAACCATACATGTGGAGATCATCCATTCACCAACTCTGCGTCTCACAAAGACACGGCGGTTGGAACCAAAAATCTCAATTTTGGACTCATCAGACCAAAGGACAGATTTCCACTGGTCTAATGTCCATTGCTCGTGTTTCTTGGCCCAAGCAAGTCTCTTCTTCTTATTGGTGTCCTTTAGTAGTGGTTTCTTTGCAGCAATTCAACCATGTAGGTCTGATTCACGCAGTCTCCTCTGAACAACTGATGTTTAGATGTGTCTGTTATTTGAACTCCGTGAAGCATTTATTTGGGCTGCAATCTGAGGTGCAGTTAACTCTAATGAACTTATCCTCTGCAGCAGAGGTAACTTTGGGTCTTCCTTTCCTGTGGCGGTCCTCATTAGAGCCAGTTTCATCATAGCGCTTGATGGTTTTTGCGACTGCACTTGAAGAAACTTTAAAAGTTCTTGACATTTTCTGGATTGACTGACCTTCATGTCTTAAAGTAATGATGGACTGTCATTTCTCTTTGCTTATTTGAGCTGTTCTTGCCATAATATGGACTTGGTCTTTTACCAAATAGGGCTATCTTCTGTATACCCCACCTACCTTGTCACAACACAACTGATTGTCTCAAACGCATTAAGAAGGAAAGAAATTCCACAAATTAACTTTTAACAAGGCACACCTGTTAATTAAAATGCATTCCAGATGACTACCTCATGAAGCTGGTTGAGAGAATGCCAAGAGTGTGCAAAGCTGTCATCAAGGCAAAGGGTGGCTACTTTGAAGAATCTCAAATATAAAATATTATTTGATTTGTTTAACACTTTTTTTCCATATGTTTTATTTCATAGTTTTGATGACTTCACTATTATTCTACAATGTAGAAAATAGTAAAAATAAAGAAAAACCCTGGAATGAGTAGGTGTGTCCAAACTTTTGACTGGTACTGACTGGTGTCTTTCAAATACATTGAGCCTGCTTATAGCGCCAGATGGGCAGACTTTGTACTTTGGGGGACTATTCCATAGGTTCCATGGTGCCAGGTAAGCACAATCAAGCGCCGCTAAAGTATTTGAAAGAAAACAAATATTATTTTAACCCTGGTTGAGAGCGAGAGTACAGCGATAGCGAGCGAATAAGGAGTCTAAATCTAATAGATAAGTAGTGTAAGTGATGTTCCGCTTACCAAGCTGAGCCACGCGCTCTTGCAGGATGGCACACTGCTTGTGGTCCCTGGTCACTGCTTGCCGGCTCCTGTCCTCCATGTCCGCCACTGCAGTGGTGACCTGCTCCAGTCGGAGTGTGTGCTGGGCCAGAGAGCTCTCCACAACCTGGCTCTGGGCCTGCACTTCCTGGAGCCTCTGCCGCTGCCTCTCCTCACGCTCTTTGGCCTCACATTGCAGCCTCCGTGCACACTACACACACAGAAATGACTGCTTTCATGGCATGCCTCCTCCGTTGCACTTAGGCAGCATTTCAGGTTTGAAACGTTGTGAACCAACACAGCTACGGAGCCATTGAGTAGACAGGCCTATTTCACTATGGCTGCACCTAAAAAAAATGGCACACAATTTCCTATATAGTGCACTGCTTTGACCAGGGCCCTAGTCAAAAGTAGTGCACTATACAGGGAAAAGCGTGCTATTTCAGACGCATCCTATGACTTATTGACAGCAGTGTATGGTGTCTAAATCCTGCCCTGTCATGTTACTTGTATTTGAGTCTGCCTCTCAGCCAGGTCAGTGTGCAGCTCCATCAGCCTGTGCTCCAGCTGCTCAGCTCTCCGTTCATCCTCCTCCAGCCGCTTCCTCGCCTCCTGCTCCTCCCCCGCCACACTGTCCCGGCCCTTGACCAACACTCGCACCTCCTCCTCCAGCATCTCTAACTGGCGTCTCCGCTCTTCCACCTGCTCCTTCAGACCACTGAAGCGCTCAGACTCCTGGTATAGCTGTTGCTGAGTGGCTGCCGTGTCTCGTTCCATCTTCTGCCTGAAGGATAAGATGAGATGAGATAAAATAATGACTTTATTATCCCCATGGAGAGATTTTGCTTCCGGCGCTGTGTGCATACATTAAAACATATCATCAAGCATAGACAAAGGACAAATCTTCTAGAAAATTACACACAACAAATACAATAATAGAAAAAGTACAGTTTGTGAGTGATTCATACCTGTGTGTGTGAGCCTGTCTCTGCTCCTGTCTCAGCTGGCCCAGCTCTGCCTGCAGCCTGTCCAGCTCGGCCTCGGCCCCCCGGGCCCCCTCCTCCGCCGCCTCCAAGCACCGGTCGGCGTGTGTGCGTCTGGCCTCCAGGTTCCGACATTGCTCCTCCAGCCTGCTCCTCTCCCTGGTGGCCTCCTCCACCTGCTCCCAGACTCCCTGCGCCTCCTCTCTCAGCTCCTCCAGCTCCTTCCGGTCCTGCTCCGCCAGCCTCCTCTGGCGCTCGCCCTCAGACATCTGGCGCGACATCTCCTGCTGCAGCGCCTGCAGCTCTACGCGCACCTGGGGGAACACACCGACAGACATAAAATACACACACACAAAACATAGAGTAAACACCCACTTGTCTCTGAACACATGAAATGGCACTCTATCCCCTACAAGGTGCACTATTTTTGACCAGAGCCCTATGAGCCCTTGTCAAACGTAGCACACATTATATTTCAGTTTATTTGAATCAACAAATCACAGCACATACAGTGCATTCGGAAAGTATTCAGACCCCTTGACTTTTTCCACATTTTGTTACGTTACAGCCGTATTCTAAAATGTATTAAATCGTTTTTTTCCCTCATCAATCTACACACAATACCCCATAATGACAAAGCAAAAACAGGTTTTTAGAAATGTTTGCAAATGTATAAAATAAAATAAACTGAAATATCACATTTACATAAGTATTCAGACCCTTTACTCATCACATTGTTGAAGCACCTTTGGCAGAGATTATAGCCTTGAGTCTTCTTGGGTGTGACGCTACAAGCTTGGCACACCTGTATTTCGGGAGTTTCTCCCATTCTTCTCTGCAGATACTCTCATGCTCTGTCAGGTTCGATGGGGAGCATCGCTGCAGAGCTATTTTCAGGTCTCTCCAGAGATGTTCGATTGGGTTCAAGTCTGGGTTCTGGCTGGGCCACTCAAGGACATTCAGAGAATTGTCCCGAAGCCACTCCTGTGTTGTCTTGGCTGTGTGCTTAGGGTCATTGTCCTGTTGGAAGGTGAACCTTCACCCCAGTCTGAAGCCCTGAGCGCTCTGGAGCAGGTTTTCATCAAGGATCTCTCTGTACCTTGCTCCGTTCATCTTTCCCTCGATCCTGACTAGTCTCCCAGTCCCTGCCGCTGAAAAACATCCCCACAGCATGATGCTGCCACCACCATGCTTTACCGTCGGGATGGTGCCAGGTTTCCTCCAGACATGACACTTGGCATTCAGGCCAAAGAGTTCAACCTTGGTTTCATCAGACCAGAGAATCTTGTTTCTCATGGTCTGAGAGTCCTTTAGGTGCCTTTTGGCAAACTCCAAGCAGGCTGTCATGTGCCTTTTACTGAGGAGTGGCTTCTGTCTGGCCACTCTACCATAAAGGCCTGATTGGTTGAGTGCTGCAGAGATAGTTGTCCTTCTGGAAGGTTCTCAAATCAAATCAAATTTTATTTGTCACATGCGCCGAACAGAGCAACAATAAAATCACAATAATGAGGCTATATACAGAGGGTACCGGTACCGAGACAATGTGCGGGGGTACAGGTTAGTTGAGGTAATTTAGGTAATATGTACATGTAGGTAGGGGTAAAGTGACTATTACATATTACATTTTAGTCATTTAGCAGACGCTCTTATCCAGAGCGACTTACAGTCAGTGAGTGCATACATTATATATATATATATATTTTTCCATACTGGCCCCCCCCCCGTGGGAATCGAACCCACAACCCTGGCGTTGCAAACGCCATGCTCTACCAACATCCCCTGCCGGCCATTCCCTCCCCTACCCTGGACGACGCTGGGCCAATTGTGCGCCGCCCCATGGGTCTCCCGGTCGCGGCCGGCTACGACAGAGCCTGGATTCGAACCAGGATCTCTAGTGGCACAGAGATGTTCGATTGGGTTCAAGTCTGGGTTCTGGCTGGGCCACTCAAGGACATTCAGAGAATTGTCCCGAAGCCACTCCTGTGTTGTCTTGGCTGTGTGCAGTCTTATGGGAATGGCCTTAGACCACTGCGCCACTCGGGAGGGTATGCATTGATAATAAACAGCGAGTAACAACAGTGCAAAAAAATGCAAATAGTCCAGGTAGCTGTTTCATTAGCTGTTATGCAGTCTTATGGCTTGGGGGTAGAAGCTGTTAAGATGCCTTTTGGACCTAGACTTGGCACTCCAGTACCGCTTGCCGTGCGGTAGCAGAGAGAACAGTCAATGACTAGGGTGGCTGTGGTCTTTGAGAGTTTTTAGGGCCTTCCTCTGACACCGCCTGGTATAGAGGTCCTGAATGGCAGGAAGCTTGGCCCCAGTGATGTACTGGGCCGTACGCACTACCCTCTGTAGTGCCTTGCGGTCAGAGGCCGAGCAGTTGCCATACCAGGCAGTGATGCAACCAGTCAGGATGCTCTCGATGGTGCAGCTGTAGAACTTTTTGAGGATCTGAGGACCCATGCCAAATCTTTTCAGTCTCCTGAGGGGGAATAGGCTTTGTCGTGCCCTCTTCACAACTGTCTTAGTTTGTTGGTGATGTGGTCTCTTGAATCTCTCAACCTGCTCCTCTACAGCCCCGTCGATGAGAATGGGGGCGTGCTCGGTCCTCCTTTTCCTGTAGTGCACAATCATCTCCTTTGTCTTGATCACTTGAGGGAGAGGTTGTTATCCTGGCCAGGTCTCTGACCTCCTACCTATATATGGTCTCATCGTTGTCGGTGATCAGACCTACCACTGTTGTGTTGTCGGCAAACTTAATGATGGTGTTGGAGTCATGCAGTCATGGGTAAACAGGGAGTACAGGATGGGACTGAGCACGCACCCCTGAGGGGCCCACGTGTTGAGGATCAGCGTGGCAGATGTGTTGTTACCTACCCTTACCACCTGGGGGCGGCCAGTCAGGAAGTCCAGGATCCAGTTGCAGAGGGAGGTGTTTAGTCCTAGGGTCGTTAGCTTAGTGATGTTATTTTTTTTTTTTTTTTACCTTTACTTAACTAGGCAAGTCAGTTAAGAACAAATTCTTATTTACAATGATGGCCTACACCGGCCAAACCCGGACGACGCTGGGTCAATTGTGCACCGCCCTATGGGACTCCCAAACACGGCCGGTTGTGATACAGCCTGGAATCAAACCAGGGGGTCTGTAGTGACGCCTCAAGCACTGAGATGCAGTGCCTTAGACCGCTGCGCCACTCGGGAGCCCTTGAGGGCACAATGGTGTTGATCGCTGAGCTGTAGTCAATGAATAGTTTTCTCACGTACAGTTGAAGTCGGAAGTTTACATACACTTAGGTTGGAGTCATTAAAACTTTTTCAAACACTCCACAAATTTCTTGTTAACAAACTATAGTTTTGGCAAGTCGGTTAGGACATTTACTTTGTGCATGACAAGTCATTTTTCCAACAATTGTTTACAGACAGATTATTTCACTTATAATTCACTGTATCACAATTCCAGTGGGTCAGAAGTTTACATACACTAAGTTGACTGTGCCTTTAAACAGCTAGGAAAATTCCAGAAAATGATGTCATGGCTGTAGAAGCTTCTGATAGGTTAATTTACATATATTAGGCGGCAGGTAGCTTTGTGGTTAAGAGCGTTGTGCCAGTAACCGAAAGGTTGCTGGTTCTAATCCCCGAGCCGACTAGGTGAAAAATCTGTCGATGTGCCCTTGAGCAAGGCACTTAACCCTAATTGCTCCTGTAAGTCGCTCTGGATAAGAGCGTCTGCTAAATGACTAAAATGTAAAATGTAATTGGAGGTGTACATGTGGATGTATGTCAAGGCCTACCTTCAAACTCAGTGCCTCTTTGCTTGACATCATGGGAAAATCAAAATAAAATCAGCCAATACCTCAGAAAAAAAATAGTAGACCTCCACAAGTCTGGTTCATCCTTGGGAGCAATTTCCAAAACGCCTGAAGGTACCACGTTCATCTTTACAAACAATAGTACGCAAGTATAAACACCATGGGACCCCGCAGCCATCATACCGCTCAGGAAGGAGACACGTTCTGTCTCCTAGAGATGAACGTACTTTGGTGCGAAAAGTGCAAATCAATCCCAGAACAACAGCAAAGGAACTTGTGAAGATGCTGGAGGAAACAGGTACAAAAGTATCTATATCCACAGTAAAACAAGTCCTATATCGACATAACCTGAAAGGCCGCTCAGCAAGGAAGAAGCCACTGCTCCAAAACCTGCATAAAAAAGCCAGACTATGGTTTGCAACTGCACATGGGGACAAAGATCAAACTTTTTGGAGAAATGTCCTCTGGTCTGATGAAACAAAAATAGAACTGTTTGGCCATAATGACCATCATTATGTTTGGAGGAAAAAGGAGGAGCTTGCAAGCTGAAGAACACCATCCCAAACGTGAAGCACGGTGGTGGCAGCATCATGCTGTGGGGGTGCTTTGCTGCAGGAGGGACTGGTGCACTTCACAAAATAGATGGCATCATGAGGAAGGAAAATTATGTGGATATATTGAAGCAACAACTCAAGACATCAGTCAGGAAGTTAAAGCTTGGTCGCAAATGGGTCTTCCAAATGGACAATGACCCCCCAAGCATACTTCCAAAGTTGTGGCAAAATGGCTTAAGGACAACAAAGTCAAGGTATTGGAGTGGCCATCACAAAGCCCTGACCTCAATCCTATAGAAAATGTGAAGGCAGAACTGAAAAAGTGTGTGCGAGCAAGGAGGCCTACAAACCTGACTCAGTTACACACACCAACTCTGTCAGGAGGAATGGGCCAAAATTCACCCAACTTATTGTGGGAAGCTTGTGGAAGGCTACCCGAAACGTTTGACCCAAGTTAAACAATTTAAAGGCAATGCTACCAAATACTAATTGAGTGTATGTAAACTTCTGACCCACTGGGAATGTGATGAAAGAAATAAAAGCTGAAATAAATCATTCTCAAATCACTTTTCACAATCTTAAAATAAAGTGGTGATCCTAACTGATCTAAAACAGGGAATTTTTACTAGGATTAAATGTCAGGAATTGTGAAAAACTGAGTTTAAATGTATTTGGCTAAGGTGTATGTAAACTTCCGACTTCAACTGTAGGTGTTCCTTTTGTCCAGGTGGGAAAGGGCAGTGTTGAGTGCAATAAAGATTGCATCATCTGTGGATCTGTTGGGGTGGTATGCAAATTGGAGTGGGTCTAGGGTTTCTGGGATAATGGTGTTGATGTGAGCCATGACCAGCCTTTCAAAGCACTTCATGGCTACAGACGTGAGTGCTACGGGTCAGTAGTCATTTAGCCAGGTTACCTTGGTGTTCTTGGGCACAGGGACTATGGTGGTCTGCTTGAAACATGTAGGTATTACAGACTCGGAGTACATGTCCTGGTAATCCGTCTGGCCCTGCTGCCTTGTGAATGTTGACCTGTTTAAAAGGTCTTACTCACATCGGCTACGGCGAGCGTGATCACACAGTCGTCCGGAACAGCTGGTGCTCTCATGCATGTTTCAGTGTTGCTTGCCTCGAAGCGTGCATAGAAGTTGTTTAGCTCGTCTGGTAGGCTTGTGTCACTGGGCAGCTCGCGGCTGGGCTTCCCTTTGTAGTACGTAAAAATGTGCAAGCCCTGCCAAGTAGGATTCTATCTTAGTCCTGTATTTCCGCTTTGCCTGTTTGATGGTTCGTCTGAGGGCATAGCAGGATTTCTTATAAGCGTCCGGGTTAGAGTCCCGCTCCTTGAAAGCGGCAGCTCTACCCTTTAGCTCAGTGCGGATGTTGCCTGTAATCCATGGCTTCTGGTTGGGGTATGTACGTACAGTCATTGTGGGGACAACGTCATCGATGCACTTATTGATGAAGCCGGTGACTGATGTGGTATACTCCTCAATGCCATCGGATGAGACCCGGAACATATTCCAGTCTGTGCTAGCAAAACAGTCCTGAAGCATAGCATCTGCGTCATCTGACCACTTCTGTATTGAGTGAGTCACTGGTACTTCCTGCTTTAGTTTTTGCTTGTAAGCAGGAATCAGGAGGATAGAATTTTGGTCAGATTTGCCAAATGGAGGGCGTGGGAGAGCTTTGTACGCGTCTCTGTGTGTGGAGTAAAGGTGGTCTAGAGTTCCTCTGGTTGCACATGTAACATTGTGGTAGAAATGAGGTAAAATGGATTTACATTTCCCTGTATTAAAGTCCCCGGCCACTAAGAGCGCCGCCCCTGGATGAGGATTTTCTTGTTTGCTTATGGCTTTATACAGCTCGTTGAGTGCGGACTTCATGCCAGCATCGGTTTATGGTGGTAAATAGACAGCTACAAAAAATATGAAAAATAGTGTGGTCTATAGTTTATCATGAGATACTCTACCTCAGGTGAGCATAACCTTGATGCGAATGACAGGGATTTGGGCCTGGTCTGGCATCTGGAGTAAATCCTTCACGTCCGACTCGTTAAAGAAAAAATCTTCGTCCAGTTCGAGGTGAGTAATCGCTGTTCTGATATCCAAAAGCTATTTTCAGTCATAAGAGACGGTGGCAGAAACATTATGTACAAATTAAGTTACAAACAACGCGAAAAAACACACAAAATATCACAATTGGTTAGAAGCCCGTAAAACGGCAGCCATCTCCAGCGCCATTATATATCTCCCATCTCCACGGAGGAACTCTGGAGCTCTGTCAGAGTGACCAACGGGTTTTGGTCACCTCCTTGACCAAGGCCCTTCTCCCCCGATTGCTCAGTTTGGCCGGGCAGCCAGCTCTAGGAAGAGTCTTGGTGGTTCCAAACTTCTTCCATTTAAGAATAATATGGAGGCCACTGTGTTCTTGGGGACCTTCAATGCTGCAGAAATTTTTTGGTACCCTTCCCCAGATCTGTGCCTCGACACAATCCTGTCTTGGAGCTCTACGGACAATTCCTTTGACCTCATGGCTTGGTTTTTGCTCTGACATGCACTCTCAACTGTGGGACAGGTGTGCGCCTTTCCAAATCATGTCCAATCAATTACATTTACCACATCTGGACTCCAATCAAGTTTTAGAAACATCTCAAGGATGATCAATGGAAACAGGATGCACCGGAGCTCAATTTCGAGTCTCATAGCAAAGGGTTCGAGTCTCATAGCAAAATACTTATGTACATAAGGTAATTCTGTTTTTATTTGTAATAAATTTGCAAACATTTCTAAAAACCTGTTTTCGCTTTGTCATTATGGGGTATCGTGTGTAGATTGATGAGGGGAAAAAATAATGTAATCAATTTTAGAATAAGGCTGTAATGTAACAAAATGTGGAAAAAGGGAAGGGGTCTGAATACTTTCCGAATGCCCTGTATTGATGGGTGCACTTCCTGCTTTGCTCCTATGCATACACTCGCAATGGCCGCCAGTCCACCCATTATACCATAATTGACTTGAATGGGGATGCCCATTCTATTTCTATGGCAGCACATGCAGTCAAGAGCGGAGGAAAATGTGCACCAAACCATTTTTGCTATTCGAACAGTCACAGACCTCAATAAGGTGCCATTTGAGACCCAGTCAGTGTTATGAGTGACCTCTGACCTGCAGCAGGCTCTCCTGACTCCTCTCCAGCTGGTCCAGGTGCTGGTCATGCCGCAGCTTCACCCCCTGCAGCTCCTGGCCCTCCATCTGTAACATCTCCAGAACGTGCTTCAGCTCTGCACACACACACATGCGCAAGCACAAACACACACAATGACACACACAGTCATCAAACTGCACAACTCTATAAGGTTACTACTATATAGTAATACATAGGCATTGAAGTGCAGAGTAACCTCACGGTTCATGATCTTATGCCATGTCTACACTTTCTGATTCTAGGGCTGCACTCGTTTCCCGCTGTACTCACACTTCCTGCTCAACGGCAGGTCTTGCACTAATAATAATGTAATAATTTGGACATAGTTTTACTCTACTATACTGTTCACAGTTATTGGGTTGTCTGTACCTTGCTATCATGAGACTTTTGGGCGTAGCCTGAGTGCCAGTCTGTTTGTGCCATCATGCCAACTCCTTGTCACTTATTGTCATGCCAAACATGTTTGGCTTGACAATGAGCAATGGAGTTAGCCAGAGAACAAACAGCTCTGGGACCAGGCTATTTAGGGTCTGGACCTTGAGCAAAACCCTCTGACCGTGTCAATCTAACAGCACTGTAGAACTAGGTGAGTTAGGTGTGTGTGACTCACGCTAGGGCTGGTTACCTGCTTTGTGCTTGTTGATCTGTGAGCGGACACTCTGTATTATCTCCTCCTCCCGATCTCCCTGCTGTTTGAGTGCAGCCACGCTGGCCCTCCTCTCAGTCAGCTGGGCTTCCAGCTCACCCTTCTGGACATAGAGCAGCTCTACATCCCCCTGCAGTGCCTACATACACACACACACAGTTACATACGCCGTCATTTCAACACGCACACAGTCACACACACGCTTAGCTGCTTTGCTAACACTAGTTGTGTGCTTGCTCACTGCTCACCTTGATGCGTCGGTGCAGCTCATTGGTCTCCTCCTCTCCCTGTCGCAGCGCCTCCTCCAGACTCAGCCGCTGCTGCTCCTTCCTTTCTTGCAGCGCCCACTCCTCCTCACGCCACTGACCTAGCCTCCTGTCCAGGACAGATAGCTCCTCCTGCTGCGAGGCCCCCTGGGATGTGTTCAACAAGGTGGATATTTTACGAACGTTAGCCGATGCTAGCTAACCTATTCCATTAAAATGTATATTGGTTGTGAACGTTTGCTAACGTTAGCAGAAACACCGTTTTTAGAGAACAAGAGCCAGCACATCATAGCCTGGTCCCAGATCCGTTTGTGATGTCTTGCTGCCAACTACTAATTGGTCATTGGCACATTATTGATACAAACAGGTCTGTGACTATCGACCAGGCTATGAACATCGGTGCATTTAAATGAGGCTAACGTGGTTACCGGCGAGTTCCCCTAGTGTTACGATCCATTGTTACAGTTTATTGTTCTCTACCTTCCCCTTTATTCATGCTTTGTTTTGTTCCTCTTTTTAATCTTGTAAAGTGTGTTGTAGTCTCACGTAGCCATACCTTTTTCATCAAAAACTATCATCACACCTCCTTTGGAAAACCCGAAAAGTTTGAATGGATCTGCTGGCTTCCAGCGGTTACATTTGTATTACTTGTTACATTTCAAGAACCCTCCATCACATGCCAGTTGAAGGAGTGCGGTGTGTTAAGCTGCATCCAAGAAAGGCATTTGATTAGTTTGACGTGTTGCGAGGCATCACTGATTTACACCGGTTCTCCACCCCATTTTAGCTAATTTTGGCCATAGACTTCACCAGGCTTCCCGATTAGAGTTCTCGTTGAGGCTAAGTGTGTTGTGACCCCTTTAAATACATTTTGACTTGACATTGTGACAAAGAAAGTAAGAATGTCATTGCAATACCTGAATGTTGAGTCGCTCTAGCTCGCTCCTGCGTTGGGCGAGGGTGCTCTCAGACTGTTTGCAGGTGTCCAGCAGTGTGGACGCCTTGCTCTGGGTCTCCAGAAGCTGGCTCCGGAGGTCCTCCAATCGCTCACTGGCTCGCTTCACCTTCTTGTTGACCTCTTGGAACTCCAGGTTGCGCGCAGCCACCACCTGCTCCACCCTCTGCAGAGTGTCTCCCTGCTCCTCCTTGCGTTTCCTCAGCTCCTGGAGCTCCTCCTGCAGATCCCTGAGATGTTGTTTGGCTTCCACCAGCAAGGAGGCGCTGTCCCGAGCACGGAGTTCCATCTCCTCCAGATCCCGCTCTGTGTCAACGAGCCGCTTCCGGGCCTCAGTGTGCTGCTGGAGAGTGTCTTTGGTCTACACAGGGTCACATGAAACAGTCTGTTACATGAAACAGTCTGTGACAACACTGCTGGCTCATGATACAAGAGATGGCACTACAGACAAATATCACCATTCACCAACAACAAAGTCTTCAAATGTAAGATGGTCAGTAATTCACCTATAATATTTTAAACCAGAAGGACAGACTATCAAGCTGCTGATAACCGACTACTGCACCCCCCTCCCTCCCTTAAATGAAGGGGGCTATTTATGACCACCCGTAAATGTACCCCTCGCTCCATTCTGCCACTCAAGAGGTAATAAGAATATGGCAGTGTATATTCGACTGGCAGAAAATCAATGGCGGTGGACGGCGGTATGCTAACCTTAATGCTAACATTCATTTATTTATTTCGACCCCTATGCCTAAGCGTACGTTTTCTTCTGCCGGTTGAATATACACTTCCTAATAACATTGTATATGTGACCTTGGTCCTTGTTTCCTTCAGACTGCTCTGAGCCTCCAGCAGCAGTCGGTCTGCCTCCCTGAGTTCAGCCCTGCGGCGGAGCAAGGTCTTCTCCAAACACTCTACCTCATCCTGCAGAGCCCCGTGGTGCCGCAGGGACTCCTCCACAACCTCTGAGCCCCCTCGGCCCTCCAGCACCTCCCTGAGGACGCCACACACGTTGGTCTTTTAGTCTCCATAAAAACATGATGTACTGGACTGCAGGGTGGGGTTCAATTCAAATTGAAGTCAGTCAATTCAAGAAGTAAAGTACAATTCTAATCCAATAATTGAAAAAAAGGGCATCTCTTTTCAATGACTTCTCAATAAGCTGAAAAGGAGAAGCTGATTATGTCAAAGGTTTTTTCCATTTTGACTTCAATTCAAATTTACCTCAACCCTGCTGGAACTGCGAGAGCTGAGGGTTACCGTACCTGCGGCGGCGGTGAAGTTGGCTTAAGGCTCTCCGGAGCTCTCTGAGCTCCAGTCTGAGCTGTGTGCGCTGCTCCTGGAGCCTGAGCACATCCCTCTCCACATGGGCCTGCCTCTCCTCCTCCCCTGGGCCCTGGCTGCCACGCTGCTGTTCCTCCACCAGCTGTTCCAGCCTGGCCAGCTCCTTCTCCTGACAGATGAACGAACGAACACACACACACACACTTTTAGGGCATACATGCGCTGACCACACTGCCCATGTCGCGTGTGCGAGCGTTGCAAAATAAATGTACACATACATGTTATTCAATCATTGCACCCACTGCTCGCGAGCGTCTGCGTAGCCAGGTGCTAAAATAGAACTTGGTTCTATTTGTGACGCTTGACGCACTGCAAGTCCTGTCTCTCCCATCTCCTCATTGGTTTTTAGGAGCATATACCCACGTGGGTGATTGAAAGATGAACTGAGGTCCACACTCCAGTCCAGTTGGTGGTGGTAATGCACCTTAAAGTTGGTTGCCAACCGCCATATAAATCCAAAGAAGAAGAAACCTGAAGGAGGGGAGATTAATTGTCGGAGTAGAGGACCTTGTGCATTTTAGGTAAAATAACAACCCAATGTTTATAACCCTGGACAAATTAGCTAGCTAAATTGCCATAAATGTTTAATGCTTTTCGACCTGTTCCCAAATTAATATAGTTGGTTCAGAGTTCATTTTGATATTTCAATCAATATTTTGTCCTGATCGTGTCTGGTGTGGGTGGACAAAAGCAACATGTGCGGCACGCGAGCGGTGTGGTCAGCATGTTAGAGAGATCCGGGGTCAGGAGAGCACAGTGTTGTGGAGCACTCAGATATAGATACTATGCATAGAACAGACATGCCTCTCTGACATGTGGCTAGAGTAAGGAATGGCGTCTCGGTGACGTTCAGCACGTTGTAACCTTCTGAACGCCACCCAGGTTGGAGCCAGTGCAAAGAGGTATCTGTTAGTCTGGAGGGCATCATTTTAGTTAATGCATTTTCACTTTCTTTTTAATTCACCCTCTAGTGGTCATATCATAGATTAGCCCGGTGTTTTCCAATCTTGGTCCTGGGGACCCAAAAGGGGTGCAACTTTTAGATTTGGATTAATTCAAATCATCAAAGGCTTGATGATGAGCTGGTTAGTTGAATCAAGTGTGTTAGTGCTTGGTCAAAAAGCGGAACCCTTTGGGCCCCCACAACCAGGATTGGGAAACACTGGATTAGCCCATTAAAACCATTAGGAATCATCATCATCTCATCCAGGTCACCCACCATCTCCTGGTGCCCCGGCATGTTGCAGTGGAGCACCCCGGTGGGGAGGCTGACTCCGAGCATGGGCCCAGAGAGGCTGCTGGGGCTGGGGCCATAGACCAGGTGGGCCCCCTGTGGAGGAGGCCCGTAGATGACCGTCCCGGGACTGACCGCCAGGCTGGCCGCAGGGGGGGCATAGATCACAGAGCCAGGGGGCAGGGGCGAACGGTCAGGCAGCATGGTGTAGATGGCCGAGCCAGGGGGATGGCTGAAGTGATCCCCAGTCCCCGTCCCAGAGGAGCTGCAGTCTGCCACGTCGCTCTCACCACCACTGTCCCTCACCTCACCTGAGGGGTCAAGCACACGCACAGAAATTCCACACACGTACGGATACACACCGATGCACACATACACAGATGCATGCGTGCACACACACGTTGCTGTGTTGACTCTCACTGTTTGCTGTATCGTAGTGTAACTACAGAGGTCTCAGAGGAAAATCGCAATGTGCCTGTACATACCTCTTCCTCTGTAAGTGTGTGAGGATGTGTGCGCCGGAGGGGAGTAGACCCAATATCCCCCACCAGGCTGGGGGCCTCTATCCCTACGGACGCCCCTGCGCCTGCTGCTACGGTGCCCCTTGTCAGGCGAGGAAGGATACTGTGACCCTAGACCTGAATCCTGAGTGCCCTGAGAACCGAAACTGGGAGCCTGACGGAACAAGGAGAAACAGACAATAAAACTATAGTACATTAGTCCTGTACAAAATCAGCCTTAAGCCTAATTTATACCAAATGCAATATAAGAACTAGAAATAGCTACGCAAAAATGCGATCCTGAGTAGTTGTGCAGGAAAAATACGCAGAGGTGTACAGCTCCGCAGTTATAAACTCGACGCAAGTAAACAGGATCGCCATTTTACATTCTTGCTTTGCATATATATGGTATAACTTAGGCTTTACACACACTACACAGTTTGTTGCAGCCTAATCTCTCACCAGACGTTAACATTCAGTACCAGTCAAAAGTTTGGACACACATACTCATTCCAGGGTTTTTCTTTATTTTTACCATTTTCTACATTGTAGAATAATAGTGAAGTCATCAAAACTATGAAATAACACATATGGAATCATGTTGTAACCAAAAAAGTTTTAAACAAATCAAAATATATTTTATATTTGACATTCTTCAAATAGCCACCCATTGCCTTGATGACAGCTTTGCACACTCTTGGCATTCTCTCAACCAGCTTCATGATGTAGTCACCTGGAATGCATTTCAATTAACAGGTGTGCCTTCTTAAAAGTTAATTTGTGGAATTTCTTTCCTTCTTAATGCGTTTGAGCCAATCAGTCATGTTGTGACAGGACGTTTCTTTTTTTGCTGAGTTTATATACAGTACCAGTCAAAGGTTTGGACACACCTACTCATTCAAGGGTTTTTCTTTATTTTTTAATTCGTAAAAATCCAAATAACTTCACAGATCTTCATTGTAAAGGGTTAAACACGGTTTCCCATGCTTGTTCAATGAACCATAAACAATGGATGAACATGCACCTGTGCAACGGTCGTTAAGACACTAACAGCTTACAGGCGGTAGGCAATTTCTACTGATTCAGCAAAACACCAAAATAATAATGCCCAGGGTCCCTGCTCATCTGCGTGAACGTGCCTTAGGCATGCCGCAAGGAGGCATGAGGACTGTAGATGTGGCCAGGGCAATAAATTGCAATGTCCGTACTGTGAGACGCTTTAGACAGGGAGACAGGACGGAAAGCTGATCGTCCTCGCAGTGGCAGACCACGTGTAACAACACCTGCACAGGATCGGTACATCCGAACATCACACCTGCGGAACAGGTACAGGATGGCAACAACAACATTGAGAGCATCCTGTCGGGCTGTATCACCACCTGGTACGGCAACTGCACCGCCCGCAACCGCAGGGCTCTCCAGAGGGTGGTGCGGTCTGCCGAACGCATTATCGGGGGCAAACTACCTGCCCTCCAAGACACATACAGCCGATGTCACAGGAAGGACAAAAAGATCATCAAGGACATCAACCACCCGAGCCACTGCCTGTTCACCCCGCTATCATCCAGAAGGCGAGGTCAGTGCAGGTGCATCAAAGCTGGGACCGAGAGAATGAAAAACAGCTTCTATCTCAAGGCCATCAGACTGTTAAATAGCAATCACTAGCACATTAGAGGCTGCTGCTGCCTATTGAAATCACTGGCCACTTTATTAAAGTGACTAGTGTTCCATTTCTTAATGTTTACAGTCACTTTAATAATGTTTACATATCTTGCACTACTCATCTCCATATGTATATACCGCATTCTATTCTATAATATTCTACTGTATCTTAGTCCATGCCGCTCTGTCATTGCTTGTCCATATATGTATATTTTCTTAAATTCCATTCCTTACTAGTTTTGTGTGTATTAGGTATACAGTCGTGGTCAAAAGATTTGAGAATGACAAGTATTGGTCTTCACAAAGTTTGCTGCTTCAGTGTTTTTAGATATTTTTGTCAGATGTTACTATGGTATACTGAAGTATAATTACAAGCATTCCATAAGTGTCAAAGGCTTTTATTGACAATTACATGAAGTTTATGCAAAGTGTCAATATTTGCAGTGTTGACCCTTCTTTTTCAAGACCTCTGCAATCTGCCCTGGCATGCTGTCAATTAACTTCTGGGCCACATCCTGACTGATGGCAGCCCATTCTTGCATAATCACTGCTTGGAGTTTGTCAGAATTTGTGGGTTTTTGTTTGTCCACCCGCCTCTTGAGGATTGACCACAAGTTATCAATGGGATTAAGGTCTGGGGAGTTTCCTGGCCATGGACGCAAAATGTCGATGTTTTGTTCCCCGAGCCACTTAGTTATCACTTTTGCCTTATGGCAAGGTGCTCCATCATGCTGGAAAAGGCATTGTTCGTCACCAAACTGTTCTTGGATGGTTGGGAGAAGTTGCTCTCGGAGGATGTGTTGGTACCATTCTTTATTCATGGCTGTGTTCTTAGGCAAAATTGTGAGTGAGCCCACTCCCTTGGCTGAGAAGAAACCCCACACATGAATGGTCTCAGGATGCTTTACTGTTGGCATGACACAGGACTGATGGTAGCGCTCACCTTGTCTTCTCCTGACAAGCTTTTTTCCGGATGCCCCAAACAATCGGAAAGGGGATTCAGAGAAATTAACTTTACCCCTGTCCTCAGCAGTCCAATCCCTGTACCTTTTGCAGAATATTAGTCTGTCGCTGATGTTTTTCCTGGAGAGAAGTGGCTTCCTCGCTGCCCTTCTTGACACCAGGCTATCCTCCAAAAGTCTTCGCCTCACTGTGCGTGCAGATGCACTCACACCTGCCTGCTGCCATTCCTGAGCAAGCTCTGCACTGGTGGTGCCCCGATCCCGCAGCTGAATCAACTTTAGGAGACGGTCCTGTCGCTTGCTGGACTTTCTTGGGCGCCCTGAAGCCTTCTTCACAACAATTGAACCTCTCTTCTTGAAGTTCTTGATGATCCGATAAATGGTTGATTGTGAAGCCCTTTTTGTGCAAAGCAATGATGACAGCACGTGTTTCCTTGCAGGTAACCATGGTTAACAGAGGAAGAACAATGATTTCAAGCACCACCCTCCTTTTAAAGCTTCCAGTCTGTTATTCTAACTCAATCAGCATGACAGAGTGATCTCCAGCCTTGTCCTCGTCAACACTCTCACCTGTGTTAACGAGAGAATCACTGACATGATGTCAGCTGGTCCTTTTGTGGCAGGGCTGAAATGCAGTGGAAATGTTTTTTGGGGATTAAGTTCATTTTCATGGCAAAGAGGGACTTTGCAATTCATTGCAATTCATCTGATCACTCTTCATAACATTCTGGAGTATATGCAAATTGCCATCATAAAAACTGAGGCAGCAGACTTTGTGAAAATTAATATTTGTGTCATTCTCCAAACTTTTGACCACGACTGTATGTTGTGAAATGGTTAGATATTACTGCATTGTCAGAGCTAGAAGCATAAGCATTTCGCTACACCCGCTATAACATCTGCTAAACACGTGTATGTGACAAATAAAATTTGATTTGAACTGCCCGAGTTACACCAGGAACACACAATCCCTCCATCAGTGCTCAGACTGTCCGCAATAGGCTGAGAGAGGCTGGACTGAGGGCTTGTAGGCCTGTTGTAAGGCAGGTCCTCACCAGACATCACCGGCAACAACGTCGCCTATGGGCACAAACCCACCGTCGCTGGACCAGACAGGACTGGCAAAAAGTGCTCTTCAATGACGAGTCGCGTTTTTGTTTCACCAGGGGTGATGGTCAGATTCGCGTTTATCGTCGAAGGAATGAGCATTACACCGAGGCCTGTACTCTGGAGCAGGATCGATTTGGAGGTGGAGGGTCTGTCATGGTCTGGGGCGGTGTGTCACAGCATCATCGGACTGAGCTTGTGGTCATTGCAGGCAATCTCAACGCTGTATTTTACAGGGAAGACATCCTCCTCCCTCATGTGGTACACTTCCTGCAGGCTCATCCTGACATGACCCTCCAGCATGACAATACCACCAGCAATACTGCTCGTTCTGTGCGTAATTTCCTGCAAGACAGGAATGTCAGTGTCTGGGACCTGTTGAATCGGCAGGTGAGGGCTAGGGTCATTCCCCCTAGAAATGTCTGGGAACTTGCAGGTGCCTTGGTGGAAGAGAGGGGTAACATCTCACATTAAGAACTGGCAAATCTGGTGCAGTCCATGAGGAGGAGATGCACTGCAGTACTTAATGCAGCTCGTGGCCACACCAGATACTGACTGTTTCTTTTGATTTTGACCCCCCCTTTGTTCAGGGACACATTATTCAATTTCTGTTAGTCACATGTCTGTGGAACATGTTCAGTTTATGTCTCAGTTGTTGAATCTTGTTATGTTCATAGAAATATTTACACATGTTAAGTTTGCTAAAAATAAACGCAGTTGACAGTGAGAGGACGTTTCTGTTTTTTGCTGAGTATACAGTGGGGGAAAAAAGTATTTAGTCAGCCACCAATTGTGCAAGTTCTCCCACTTAAAAAGATGAGAGGCCTGTAATTTTCATCATAGGTACACGTCAACTATGACAGACAAAATGAGGGGAAAAAATCCAGAAAATCACATTGTAGGATTTTTAATTTATTTATTTGCAAATTATGGTGGAAAATAAGTATTTGGTCACCTACAAACAAGCAAGATTTCTGGCTCTCACAGACCTGTAACAACTTCTTTAAGAGGCTCCTCTGTCCTCCACTTGTTACCTGTATTAATGGCACCTGTTTCAACTTGTTATCAGTATAAAAGACACCTGTCCACAACCTCAAACAGTCACACTCCAAACTCCACTATGGCAAAGACCAAAGAGCTGTCAAAGGACACCAGAAACAAAATTGTAGACCTGCACCAGGCTGGGAAGACTGAATCTGCAATAGGTAAGCAGCTTGGTTTGAAGAAATCAACTGTGGGAGCAATTATTAGGAAATGGAAAACATACAAGACCACTGATAATCTCCCTCGATCTGGGGCTCCACGCAAGATCTCACCCCGTGGGGTCAAAATGATCACAAGAACGGTGAGCAAAAATCCCAGAACCACACGGGGGGGACCTAGTGAATGACCTGCAGAGAGCTGGGACCAAAGTAACAAAGCCTACCATCAGTAACACACTACGCCGCCAGGGACTCAAATCCTGCAGTGCCAGACGTGTCCCCCTGCTTAAGCCAGTACATGTCCAGGCCTGTCTGAAGTTTGCTAGAGTGCATTTGGATGATCCAGAAGAGGATTGGGAGAATGTCATATGGTCAGATGAAACCAAAATAGAACTTTTTGGTAAAAACTCAACTCGTCGTGTTTGGAGGGCAAAGAATGCTGAGTTGCATCCAAAGAACACCATACCTACTGTGAAGCATGGGGGTGGAAACATCATGCTTTGGGGCTGTTTTTCTGCAAAGGGACCAGGACGACTGATCCGTGTAAAGGAAAGAATGAATGGGCCATGTATCGTGAGATTTTGAGTGAAAACCTCCTTCCATCAGCAAGGGCATTGAAGATGAAACGTGGCTGGGTCTTTCAGCATGACAATGATCCCAAACACACCGCTCGGGCAACAAAGGAGTGGCTTCGTAAGCATGTCAAGGTCCTGGAGTGGCCTAGCCAGTCTCCAGATCTCAACCCCATAGAAAATCTTTGGAGGGAGTTGAAAGTCCGTGTTGCCCAGCGCCAGCCCCAAAACATCACTGCTCTAGAGGAGATCTGCATGGAGGAATGGGCCAAAATACCAGCAACAGTGTGTGAAAACCTTGTGAAGACTTACAGAAAACGTTTGACCTGTGTCATTGCCAACAAAGGGTATATAACAAAGTATTGATAAACTTTTGTTATTGACCAAATACTTATTTTCCACCATAATTTGCAAATAAATTCATTAAAAATCCTACAATGTGATTTTCTGGATTTTATTTTCTCATTTTGTCTGTCATAGTCGACGTGTACCTATGATGAAAATTACAGGCCTCTCTCATCTTTTTTAGTGGGAGAACTTGCACAATTGGTGGCTGACTAAATACTTTTTTCCCCCACTGTATATATATATATATATTTTTTAATATTTATTTATTTATTATTATTTAAACAATTTTACACACACACTATATACAAAAGTATGTGGACACCCCTTCAAATTAGTGGATTCGGCTATTTCAGCCACACCCGTTGCTGAAAGGTGTATAAAATCGAGCACAGAGCCATGCAATCTCCATAGACAAACATTGGCAGTAGAATGGCCTTACTGAAGAGCTCAGTGACTTTCAACGTGGCACCATCATAGGATGCCACCTTTCCAACAAGTCAGTTTGTCAAATTACTGCCCTGCTAGAGTTGCCCCGGTCAGCTGTAAGTGCTGTTTTGTGAAGTGGAAATGTCTAGGAGCAACAACGGCTCAGCCGCGAAGTGGTAGGCCACACAACCTCACAGAACGGGACCGCCAAGTGCTGAAGCGCATAGCGCTTAAAAATATTCTGTCCTCGGTTGCAACACTCACTACCGAGTTCCAAACTGCCTCTGGAAGCAACGTCAGCACAAGAAATGTTTGTCGGGAGCTTCATGAAATTTTCCATGGCCGAGCAGCCTAAGATCACCATGCGCAATGCGAAGCGTCGGCTGTAGTGTTGTAAAGCTCGCCGCCATTGGACTCTGGAAACGCGTTCTCTGGAGTGATGAATCACGCTTCACCATCTGGCAGTCCGACGGACGAATGTGGGTTTGATGGATGAAAGGAGAACGCTACCTGCTCGAATGCATAGTGCCAACTGTAAAGTTTGGTGGAGGAGGAATAATGTATGTGGCTGTTTTTCATGGTTTGGGCTAGGCCCCTTATTTCTAGCGAAGGGAAATCTTAACGCTGCAGCATAAAATTACATTCTAGATGATTCTTATAATTTTTTATAATTCTATTTTTAAAAAATTGCAGACGCTCTTATCCAGAGCGACTTACAGTTAGTGAATGTTTTTTTTGTTTTCATACTGGCCCCCTGTGGGAAACGAACCCACATCCCTGCCGGCCAAACCCTCCCCTACCTTGGACGACGCTGGACCAATTGTGCGCCGCCCATGGGTCTCCCGGGCGCGGCCGGCTGTGACAGAGCCTGGACTCGAACCAGGATCTCTAGTGGCACAGCTAGCACTGCGATGCAGTGCCTTAGACCACTGCGCCACTCGGGATTCTGTGCTTCCAGCTTTGTGGCAACAGTTTGAGGGAGGCCCTTGCCTGTTTCATATTGACAATGCCCCCGTGTACAAAGCGAAGTCCATACAGAAATGGTTTGTCGAGATCGGTGTGGAAGAACTTGACTGGCCTGTACAGAGCCCTGACCTCAAACCCATCGAACACCTTTGGGATGATACGAGCCAGGCCTAATCGCCCAACATCAGTGCCTGACCTCACTAATGCTCTTGTGGCTGAATGGAAGCAAGTCCACATACTTATGGTCATGTAGTGTATTTAACCCCTTTTTTGGGGTAGGCAAAAAACTACCTACATACTTCCATTAGTAAAAAAAAAAAAAAAAACGGTACTGGTTACCTTCAGTCGAGTCCCGTGACACTTATGGGGGTCGTATGGCAAAACAGAGAACACCATTAGTTTATAGTCCAAACGGTTCGGACACTACCAAACAAATTCCAAATCTGGCCCTCATTCAATCTTGGCCACCTAATCATCCCCAGCTTCCAATTGGCTCATTCATTCCCCCCTCCTCTCCCCTGTAACTATTCCCCAGGTCGTTGCTGTAAATGAGAATGTGTTCTCACTCAACTCACACGGTCATAATATGCCATAACAGCTGTCATAACATGTTATAACACTGTCATGATAGATATTTAGACCTGTTGTGACACATATTGCATTATTTCATTGCTGGTTATGACACACACAAGTGTCAAAACCCACAAAACAAGGCAAAACATTCGATCACACCATAGCCTGTGTCAACAGTATGTTTATGTTACATATTTTTGAAATACACCATGTTAAACGATATTGTAATTGCGCTCACGTTGATGTCAGACATGCATCTACCCCAATGCTCTGCTGATGATGACTGGGATGAAAGCAGGAGCAGATTTCAGGAGCAGGACAAGACACACACTTGTTGACTGATGACTGATATAAAGGGAATGTAGGTGATAGGATCATATAAGCCAGATAGGCCTAATTGGAGAGAGTTAGTCGGCTGAACAGTTGTCTTGTAGCCCTTTTTGTTTAAGTCAGTCTTAACACCGTACAAAACCCCAATTCACCTATTAGGCCTAGCCTAATTTTATTTTTGTATTTTATTTAGTAAATATTTTCTTAACTCTATTTCTAGAACTGCATTGTTGGTTAAGGGCTTGTAAGTAAGCATTTCACGGTAAGGTCTACACGTTGTATTCGGCGCATGTGACAAATTAAATGTGTCCAAGTAAAGTGACACAGGATGGCCATAATGCTTTATGACAGTGGCATAAAGTGTATTTTCTACAAGTTATTTAAAATATGATGAAAACAAACGTGACTGTAAATAATTCATTACAACAACAACAAAGGATTTAAGAAACTTCTTGGCAGGGAAAAAACTAATTTGAATAAATATAGGCGTTGATACTTATGTTATTTTGATGTTTCGGTGCATCACTATATCTTTTGTCGAATCAGGATGTCATGAAGGTGGTTTCCTTCCCCAGAAGGAAACTGAATTAGCTAGCTCAATTTGGTTCTGGGTTCTTCTGAGATTGCAGCCAGGTAGCAGTCATAAACACACTCCGACAATCCCATTAAGTATAACCATCAACTACTAAAACAGTCACAGGGAGGTAGGTAGGTGGTGGTGGTGGTTCCTTACATTTGTGGATGATGGGACGTAGTACCAGTGACCCCTGGTCCTGTGAGGGTCTCTGAGGCTGGATAAGACCTGGTTCTGCTGGACCAGGTTTTCCCTGAGAGCCCCCACCTCCCCCATAAGCTCCTCCAGGTGCCCGCTGTTCTCTGTGGAGTCAAAGTCACATCCTGGATGTCAACAAAATAACAACAAAGTGGATTATAGTGCAATAAAGTACATTACATAATTTTTTTTAATGCAGGCATCGAAGCTTCAGAAAGACATACAAGGCTAGGCCTAATAGGTTAATTGGGGTGTTTTTATGGTGTTAAGACTGACTTAAAACAAAAAGGGCTAAAAGACAACTGTTCAGCCGACTAACTCTCTCTAGCCAGGGCAAGCTGCTCCCGCAGTCGCTTAGTCTGGGCCTCTTGTCTGGTCAAGGCCAATTTCAGTCGATCCAGCTCCTGCTGTTGGATGCTGTTGTCTGAAATACCCCCCAGGATATTTCGGTCCATCAAATGCATCTAATGGAAAGAACACTTCAAATCTTACTCAGGTGAGCACAAACATTGTGAAATAAGAGTACATCTCTATTCATGTACAACATGTCACTGGGTCTGTTCCAAATGGCACCCTATTCTCTACATAGTGCACTACTTTTGACTAGAGCCCTATGGGCCCTGGTCAAAAGTAGTGTACTATATAGGGAATAGGGTGCCATTTGGGACACTGCCATTGTTTCTGCAGGAGTTGTAGTCCTAGCTTTTTTTAGTACCCTGTCCTTCAGTAGATTTTGCAGCAGCTGGATCTCAGCCTCGGCTTTGGTCAGGTTCTGAGTGATCTCGGCTGCTAGAACCCTAGACCCCTCCAGCTCCTCCGCATCCTGCATTAACACAGTCACAAATAGATTGCCTTGATCTTAATTAGTCTTTCCTCGACTCCTCTCATCCTAACTCCTCGCCTCCTTCTCAACCGTATTGAAAGAGTAGGTCCGAGAGGAGGATTTTGAGGAGGAAAGAAGAGAACGAAAGGGAGAAATTGAGGACAAAAATAGCTATTCTCTTTAGTCTAACAGTCTCTCTACACACAGACGGCACCGCAAAAGTATATGACGATGAAAGGTTGAGAGCGAGTTATTTAGTCTAGGGCGATTTATTTAGTCCTATAGGGCTCTGGTTAAAAGTAGTGCACTATCTAGGGAATAGAGTGCCATTTGGGATGCAGCCTATAGGTGTTTCTGTTTCTGAAGAGACGCCCACCTCAGCCCTCTCCTGGTTGATTTGCTCCACGGTGGTGTGTAAGGAGCTGAGCTGCTCTTTGGTGGCACTCAATTGCTGGGCGGCCATCTTGTCTGCCGTTGTGAAGGAGCTTCTTAGCTCCCGCAGCTCCATGTCCAGAGACCGCAGCTGCTGCTGAGTGCGACACTCGCCCACTTCCATCTGGGGGAGACAAGAACCTACAGTCAGTGAGTGAGTGAGTCAGTCAATTTCTCTCTCCATCTATCTGTCTGTCTATCCGTCCGTCTATATCCATTCATTCAGCAATAACTCATTTATAATTATGATGTGATACATTCCCACAATGGTTTCTAAATAGTAGCTCTAGTGGTACATGTTGTTTTCCCTGTGTGTGTTATACTTATAAGCCTTGTAGATCCTTTGACCAGTGAAAGTATTGACCTGTTTGTCTTGTTCCTCCAGCTCAGCGAGCAAAAGCCCTCGCTTGTCCTCAGCCTCCTGGAGCCGCTGGCCTGTCAGTTTTTGGAGCTCTCGCGCCTCCTGCAGTTCCTCCCGGAGCCAGAGTATTTCCTCCTCACCGAGTCTCTTTGCTGCCTGCTGGTGGGTGGGACATGCCATGAACAACAGGGAACAAGTCAAACAACAGCAGTGACAAATCAATCAGAGATGCTTCCCTCCTCCCAGGGAGCGAAGTTTTCCCTTGGTACAGATCTTGGATCAGCTTCCTCTCCCCCAATGCGAAACTGACCCAACTTCACCCTACCAGTGGCCTATGGAGGTGGTGGAAAGAGGAGAGACTCACCGTGGCCTGTGCTGCAGCCTGGCAGGCTGCCTTGTGTTGCTCTAGGAGGGAGGCCAGCTCCTGACTGAGTTGAGCCTGGCCCTGCTGGGCTTGGTCCCGGTCTGTTTGGGCTGCCGACACTACTCCCAGCACCTCCCGCTGCAGCCGCTCCAGGTTGCGGCCCACCACGCCCCCTTCTCTGCTCGTCCTGCTAACATGAGAGAGAGTAGTACTGCAGGTGATGATGAGTCCAACACCTTGCCACTCTCTAACTCTATAAACCATGTGTTTGTCCCAATCATAGAGTTGAGCCCATACCCTATCTTTACCATTATAACTTATTTGACAGCATGGTGCAGCGCCACTGAGGGCTATCTCCCTTACTTAGGATTTGTGGCAAGTCCTTTACCCAACTATATGGTCCCAATCTCACTGGAGGTGAACAGTGGGAGACTCCCTCACCTGATGTGGCCAGGCTGCCCTGAGGTGATGGTCCTGATCATCTCCTCAAGACACCTCTGCACCTCCTGCGGGCATAGCAATGTTCCCCGGGCCTGTTGTAGAGCACTCTGCAGAGCACCCACACGCTCCTCCAGGCTGGCCTTGTCCTCCTGTAGAGCAGTGAGCTGTTCCAGGAGCTCCTCCCTCTGCTGCTCACTCTCTGCAGTCAGCTGCAGTTGGGCCTGGGCATTGTCCTTGGACTGCCTTTCCTTGTCCAGAGCCGCCTGCAGGGCAGCGTGCTCCAACTGGCTAAGCCTGCGCAGTCGTCCCAGCTCCTCTTTTAGCTGGCCCGCCTCAGTGTGGCGCTCCTGCAGCTGGCTCTCCAGTTCCGCCTCGTAGGCGCTGATCTGACCCTGTGCCCGCCGCAGCTCAGCGTTCTCCCTCCTCAGCGCATCCAGCTCCTGCTGCTGCTGTGCTTTGTCTGTATCGTTGGCAGTGGTGATTATCTCCAGCAAGCGGCGCTGCTCCTGGCTCTCATCCAGGCAGCGCTGTAGGGCCTCCATCTCCCTCTGCAGGTGGTGGCAGTCTGCCTGGGCACGCCGGGCCTGCTCCTTCATCCCGCTCAGGTACTCCTGCAGGCCAGAGATGATACCCTCCAGGTCCCTCTTCAGAGCCTCGTTGGCTGCTATCTGACCTGTGGTGGGGGGGGTAGTGCCATTGGTTGATTATCCATTGTGGTTAATTAAGGACAATGGTGGGGGAGTCCTAAATAGCAATTATTCCAGGTATTTAGAAGACAAGGATCACAGCAAGGCCTGGCAGGTTTAATGTGAGTTTGGAAGAGCTCTGAATAATAATGGGGGGTTAGAGTTCTGAAACAAGGAAGCTATTGTGTCTTCAACTCAAGGTATCTCTATTAGTGGGTTAGTGGGGACTTTTGGGGGGGGGCTGTCTGGGATGTATGCAGATGTGTTAAAGCTGCAGCTTTGCACATGATGCCACATTATCTTAGACATTATCATAGAAACAAATAGGGTGAACGGCGTAATTATATAATGTACGTACAACTGCTATGAACATACCCTACTAAGGACCAATTTAGTAGATCTTCTGCGTTTTTGACACCAAGATCAACTGTACTAGTTGTTCAGGCTCTGATCTTGTCCCATCTTAATAGTGTCAAAGAAAGACCTAGCAAAGCTCCAGCTGGCTCAAAACAAAGCAGCACACCTTGCCCTTAACTGCACACACAGACCTAACATCAACAACATGCATGATAGTCTTTCATGGTTGAGGAGAAAATGACTACTTCTCTTCTAGTCTTTTTAAGAAACATTTGTGTGTTGAAAATGTCTAACCACTTGTATAATCTAGTTGCATACACTTCAAACAGACCTTTTTTGTTGTTGTTTTGGCTCTGTACTCCTGCACTTTGGATTTGAAATTATAAAATGACTGCGGGGACCAAAAGTATTGGGACAAATTCACATATGTTTATTAAAGTAGTCCAAAGTTTAATATTTGGTCCAATATTCCTTGCATGCAATGATTACATCAAGCTTGAGACAATACACATTTGTATTGTTTCATTTTGGAGCCACGTTTATTGTAAATAAGAATATAATATGTTTCTAAGCACTTCTTCATTAATGTGCATGCTACCATGATTACGGATAGTCCTGAATGAATCGTGAATACTGATGAGTGAGAAAGTTACAGACGCACAAGACATTGTAATGGTAAGAGGTTAGCATAACAGGGGAGGTTAGCATTTTTTGGAGGGGTATGATATTTATGCCTCTAACTTTCTCACTCATCATTATTCACGATTCATTCAGGACTATCCGTAATCATAGTAGCATCCACATTAATGTAGAAGTGTTTAGAAACATATTATATTCTTCATTCTATTATTTTAGAAACATATTATATTCTTATTTACAATACAACTAAAGAAAAACAAAAACAGCAAATGCATCCAACAAGTTTGTAGTCACACAATCTTGATGTTCAGTAATCATTGCGTGCTAGGAATATGGGACCAAATACTAAACTTTTGACAACTTTAATACACATTAGAGAATTTGGCCCAATACTTTTGGTCCTCTAAAAAGGGAGGGACTATGTACAAAAACAAGTTTAGCTTTAAAATACATATTGTATCACAGTGCCTCTCCGCTTTCTAAAGATCTAATTTAACTGCACTGTATCTAAGAATATGTATATATGAATAGTGTGTAAATAGTATTTTTGTTGTCTATTGGGGTCTTTCCAATCTATAACTTTTGTTCTTGTGTTTAACTGTTCTGTACTTTGTCATGTATTTGTACGTTTTATGTGGACCCCAGGAAGAGTATATGCAGTAGCTAATGGGGATCCTAATAAACTAAAAACTTTAAACCCAACCAGAAGCAGCTCTCTTTAGTAGGAAAACGTTTTGCAAAGGAAAGCGTTTCTAACTGAACATGTTCAGGTAAGCCCCTCCCCGTATCAATTGGTTTTCTTCCGTTTTGTGCCTAATGAACAGGACTCAGGATACATCATCAAGTTCTAGTCCCCCTTACCGTCGGTCAGCTGCTGCTCCAGGTCCTTGATCTCCTCGGTCTCCTTGGCGATACGGGAGAGCATGCCGTCCAGCCGGCCCTCCAGCTCCCGGTGCTTCCTGCTCATCATGTCCAGCAGCTGGCTCTTCCTGGACACCTGAGCCTTCACATGGGCCTGGAGAGGGGAGGATGGACAGGGGCCGGAGACAATAGGTCAATATACACTCCTATTACTGTCAATGATGTCAATAGAAGATGACAATTCTACTTAAATGGGAAGTTAGCATTCACCCCTATGCTCCTATTACTGAAGGTACAGCCATACTTCAGCATGACAACTTCAAATTGAATCAATACATTTTGTAATGAAAATATGAATGCATGTGTGTTTGTAATAATGTGTTACTCAATGTTTAATTTGTAAATTGGGTGACCTGGAGGGCTCTGAGGCACCGGAACCCATAAAGCATTTCATGCATTATCATCGCTTTTGCGTACTGGCATAGAGCAGTAGGTGCTTGCAGAAGTTGCACACACGAGGGGGAAAAAGTGGGTAGCCTAGGGTACAGATTTTTTTTTGCTTTTTATAAACGCATTTCTACATCATTTTAGATGACTGAAAACTTTAGCTGAATTTGTTTTAATACCTCACAAATGATTGAAATGACAGCCTACTTTGACACCGACAAACTGAGAATCTGCGATCAATAAAAACGACCTTGTCGTCAATCCATCAATAGCCTAGGCGTGTGGGGATGTATATTGTACAATATGAGGAGGAAATTATAGTCCTAAAAAAAGCTTTCCAGTTTCACTGACTCACCCAATGATGCACAGCTCACTCACCGGCGATGCCTGATGCCCTTGTGTCAAAAGCGTCTCTCTTGTTTAACTTTATAAAACAATGCTGTTCGCTCAATAGGCCTATTTGGAACTTGATAACATATTTGGTAGACTACAGGCAGATTAGTTCTCACTGTTCAGCAGGAGCCATTTGCTTTTAGAATCTGTGTTTTCCCGCGATTGTATTTGAAATATTGCTAAAGGCCTGTTTTGGCTGCATGCTGTTCACTGACATATTTGCAGCGCGTTCCCGACTGTAGACCAGTAGCGGTGCATAGGTTAAATCAACAGGGAAGCAAAGCAAGGAAAAAAAAGCCATATTACAACCTGTTTTGTGATAATTACGTTGTTTGCTCTATAACCTGTTGGTTCATACAGTGCCTTCGGAAAGTATTCAGACACCTTGACATTTAAAAAAATTAAAAAATAGTATTTTTTTAGGGGGTAGATCAGCTTTAATATTGCAGATAGATTGTAACTTCCATCAATGTAATTGCCTGCATCCCTTCCAATCCCCCATATGTTTTTTTTCTCGCAAATACAGTGCCTTGCAAAAGTATTCACCCACTTGCCGTTTTTCCTATTTTGTTGCATTACAACCTGTAATTTAAATGGATTTTTATTTGGATTTCATGTAATGGAAATACACAAAATAGTCCAAATTGGTGAAGTGAAATGAAAAAAATAACATGTTTCAAAAAAAGTCTAAAAAATAAATTACGGAAAAGTGGTGCGTGCATATGTATTCACCCCCTTTGCTATGAAGCCCCTAAATAAGATCTGGTGCAACCAATTACCTTCAGAAGTCACATAATTAGTTAAATAAAGTCCACCTGTGTGCAATCTAAGTGTCACATGATCTCAGTATATAAACACACAGCTGTTCTGAAAGGCCCCAGAGTCTGCAACACCACTAAGCAAGGGGCATCACCAAGCAAGCGGCACCACGAAGACCAAGGAGCTCTCCAAACAGGTCAGGGACAAAGTTGTGGAGAAGTACAGATCAGGTTTGGGTTCAAAAAAAATATCTGAAACTTTGAACAACCCACGGAGCACCATTAAATCCATTATAAAAAAATTGAAAGAATATGGCACGACAACAAACCTGCCAAGAGAGGGCCGCCCACCAAAACTCACGGACCAGGCAAGGAGGGCATTAATCAGAGGCAACAAAGAGACCAAAGATAACCCTGAAGGAGCTGCAAAGCTCCACAGCGGAGATTGGAGTATCTGTCCATTGGACCACTTTAAGCCGTACACTCCACAGAGCTGTGCTTTATGGAAGAGTGGGCAGAAAAAAGCCATTGCTTAAAGAAAAGAATAAGCAAACACGTTTGGTGTTCGCCAAAAGGCATGTGGGAGACTCCCCAAATATATGGAAGAAGGTACTCTGGTCATTTACATACATTACATTTACATTTTAGTCATTTAGCAGACGCTCTTATCCAGAGCGAGATGAGACGAAAATTGAGCTTTTTGGCCATCAAAGAAAAACACTATGTCTGGCGCAAACCCAACATCACCCCGAGATCACCATCCCCACAGTGAAGCATGGTGGTGGCAGCATCATGCTGTGGGGATGTTTTTAATCGGCAGGGACTGGGAAACTGGTCAGAATTGAAGGAATGATGGATGGCGCTAAATACAGGGAAATTCTTGAGGGAAACCTGTTTCAGTTTTCCAGAGATTTGAGACTGGTACGGAGGTTCACCTTCCAGCAGGCTAATGACCCTAAGCATACTGCTAAAGCAACACTCTAGTGGTTTAACAGGAAACATTTAAATGTCTTGAAATGGCCTAGTCAAAGCCCAGACCTCAATCCAATTGAGAATCTGTGGTATGACTTAAAGATTGCTGTACACCAGCGGAACCAATCCAACTTGAAGGAGCTGGAGCAGTTTTGCTTTGAAGAATGGGCATAAATCCCAGTGGCTAGATGTGCCAAGCTTATAGAGACATACCCCAAGAGACTTGCAGCTGTAATTGCTGCAAAAGGTGACTTTGGGGGGGTGAATAGTTATGCACGCTCAAGTAGTTATTTTGTCTTATTTCTTGTTTGTTTCACACACAAAAAAAATTGCATCTTCAAAGTGGTAGGCATGTTGGGTAAATCAAATGATACAAACTCCCCAAAAATCAATTTTAATTCCAGGTTGTAAGGCAACAAAATAGGAAAAATGCCAAGGGGGGGTGAATACACGTCAACTATGACAGACAAATTGAGATTTTTTTTCTCCAGAAAATCACATTGTAGGATTTTTAATGAATTTATTTGCAAATTATGGTGGAAAATAAGTATTTGGTCACCTACAAACAAGCAAGATTTCTGGCTCTCACAGACCTGTAACTTCTTCTTTAAGAGGCTCCTCTGTCCTCCACTCGTTACCTGTATTAATGGCACCTGTTTGAACTTGTTGTCAGTATAAAAGACACCTGTCCACAACCTCAAACAGTCACACTCCAAACTCCACTATGGCCAACACCAAAGAGCTGTCAAAGGACACCAGAAACAAAATTGTAGACCTGCACCAGGCTGGGAAGACTGCATCTGCAATAGGTAAGCAGCTTGGTTTGAAGAAATCAACTGTGGGAGCAATTATTAGGAAATGGAAGACATACAAGACCACTGATAATCTTCCTCGATCTGGGGCTCCACGCAAGATCTCACCCCGTGGGGTCAAAATGATCACAAGAACGGTGAGCAAAAATCCCAGAACCACACGGGGGGACCTAGTGAATGACCTGCAGAGAGCTGGGACCAAAGTAACAAAGCCTACCATCAGTAACACACTACGCCGCCAGGGACTCAAATCCTGCAGTGCCAGACGTGTCCCCCTGCTTAAGCCAGTACATGTCCAGGCCCGTCTGAAGATTGCTAGAGTGCATTTGGATGATCCAGAAGAGGATTGGGAGAATGTCATATGGTCAGATGAAACCAAAATAGAACTTTTTGGTAAAAACTCAACTCGTCGTGTTTGGAGGACAAAGAATGCTGAGTTGCATCCAAAGAACACCATACCTACTGTGAAGCATGGGGGTGGAAACATCATGCTTTGGGGCTGTTTTTCTGCAAAGGGACCAGGACGACTGATCCGTGTAAAGGAAAGAATGAATGGGGCCATGTATCGTGAGATTTTGAGTGAAAACCTCCTTCCATCAGCAAGGGCATTGAAGATGAAACCTGGCTGGGTCTTTCAGCATGACAATGATCCCAAACACACCGCCCGAGCAACGAAGGAGTGGCTTCGTAAGAAGCATTTCAAGGTCCTGGAGTGGCCTAGCCAGTCTCCAGATCTCAACCCCATAGAAAATCTTTGGAGGGAGTTGAAAGTCCGTGTTGCCCAGCGACAGACCCAAAACATCACTGCTCTAGAGGAGATTTGCATGGAGGAATGGGCCAAAATACCAGCAACAGTGTGTGAAAACCTTGTGAAGACTTACAGAAAACGTTTGACCTGTGTCATTGCCAACAAAGGGTCTATATTGAGTAACTTTTGTTATTGACCAAATACTTATTTTCCACCATAATTTGCAAATAAATTCATTAAAAATCCTACAATGTGATTTTCTGGAAAAAAAAATCTCATTTTGTCTGTCATAGTTGACGTGTACCTATGATGAAAATTACAGGCCTCTCTCATCTTTTTAAGTGGGAGAACTTGCACAATTGGTGGCTGACTAAATACTTTTTTCCCCCACTGTATAGGGGCTTCATAGCAAAGGGGGTGAATACATATGCACGCAACACTTTCTGTCATTTATTTTTTTGAATTTTTTGAAACAAGTTATTTTTTTCATTTCACGTCACCAGTTTGGACTATTTTGTTTATGTCCATTATATGAAATCCAAATAAAAATCCATTTAAATTACAGGTTGTAATGCAACAAAATAGGAAAAACGCCAAGGGGATGAATACTTTTGCAAGGCACTGTAAATAGGCCCGTTTAATTTTGTCTGGCTTGCCGTTCCAAATAAAATGGAATCTTTTTTTCTCATATAATTAAAAAAACTGTTAGCTAGGCGTAGGCAAGACCATAAGCAAATAGGTAAACTGGGATAATACTAAAGAGTTAAATCAGGGTGATTTTTCCACAAATAGACAGGTATTTACCTTTCCATGGTAGCAAGATCTTACCTATTTTTGCTAACTTTCTATAAAAATGTATTGAGTGAGATCATTTATTTGGGCTGCAATTTCTGAGGCTGGTAGCTCTAATGAACTTATCCTCTGCAGCAAAGGTAACTCTGGGTCTTCCATTCCTGTGGCGGTCCTCATGAGAGCCAGTTTCATCATAGCGCTTGATGGTTTTTGCGACTGCAATTGAACTTTCAAAGTTCTTGAAATGTTCCGTATTGACTGACCTTCATGTCTTAAAGTAATGATGGACTGTCATTTATTTTTGCTTATTTGAGCTGTTCTTGCCATAATACGGACTTGGTCTTTTACCAAATAGAGCTATCTTCTGTATACCCCCCTACCTTGTCACAACACAACTGATTGGCTCAAATGCATTAAGAAGGAAAGAAATTCCACAAATTAACTTTTAAAGAGGCACACCTGTTAATTGAAACACATTCCAGGTGACTACCTCATGAAGCTGGTTGAGAGAATGCCAAGAGTGTGGAAAGCTGTCATCAAGACAACGGGTGGCTATTTGAAGAATCTCAAATATAAAATCTATTTTTATTTGTTTAACCCTTTTTTGGTTAATCTGCCAGGACCATTCACAGTTGGGCTCACTCAGTTTAGCGCAACGCTGATTGGCTATTATTATTTTTTATTTATCACCAAGGTATGCCAAATGCTCGCTGGCTTGTCAGAAATAATATGATATTGTTGAAAGAATCAGAGCGAGTAAAACAGCTCCCCTCTCTCTGTATGTGAAGCCCAACTATCTGATGGTGTCTGGTCAAAAATAATATTATATTTTGCTCGCTTGGATGCTTTCAACAATATCATATTATTTTTGACAAGACAGCATCAGATAGATGGGCTTCACATACAGAGAGGGGCGCTGTTTCACTCGCTCGGATGCTTTCTCTGTTGAGATACATTCAGCCTCTTGCGAATTGAAGGACAATTATGAAGCACAGAGACAAAAGAAATGTTTTTAATATGTTTTTTATTTTTGTCAATTTTAGGGGGAAGCCTGGTGTCACGCCCTGGCTCTGGGGACACTTGTATGTTGAGCCAGGGTGTGCGTTTCATTTGTTTGTCTAGTAGTTGCATTTCTATGTTGGCCAGATTGGTTCCCAATCAGAGGCAACGAGTGTCAGCTGTTGCTGGTTGTCTCTGATTGGGAACCATATTTATACAGGCTGTTTTCCCACAGTAGTTGTGGGATCTTGTTTCTAGTTGGTTGGTGTTAGACCGTGAACTGTCACGTTATCGTTTTGTTTATTTTGTCGTGTAATCGATAAATAAAGAGTATGTTTGCCTGCAACGCTGCGCCTTGGTCCTCCTCTGTATACGACGATCGTGACAGAAGATCCCACCAAGACTGGACCAAGCAGCGGGTCCAGGAGCCATCGCCAGGGAAATATCTGGCGGATATCCAGCGCCTCCTCGACTGGGTCAAGCCGGGTGAGCAAGAGAGGGGCTTGATGAGGAAGCAGAAGGGCGAAAGGCTGGCGAAAAGTATGGAGACCTGGTCCACGGGTAGGAGAGAAGCCCAGAATTTTTTTAGGGGGGGGCTAACGCCGTGGACGACGGGGCAGCAGGAGACCGCGATAGAGCAGCCCAGCGGGTTGGCAGAGGAGGCCGCCAGGTTACGGGGGCCACTGGTCAAAGAGGGGAAGGAAGGTGTAGAGGCACGGCGAGAGGTACTGGGGTGTGTTACCAGTCCGGTCCGGCCCGTTCCAGATCCCTGCGTAGGGCCAGTGGTGTGTGTCCCCAGTACGGTCCGGTCTGTTCCTGCTCCCCACACCAAGCCAGTGGTGTGCGTCGTCAGTCCGGCACGGCCCGTACTTGTTCCCCACACCAAGCCAGTGGTGTGCGTCGCCAGCCCGGTCCGGCCCGCTCCTGCTCTCCACACCAAGCCAGTAGTGTGCGTCGCCAGCCCGGTCCGGCCAGCTCCTGCTCTCCACACCAAGCCAGTGGTGTGCGTCGTCAGTCCGGCACGGCCCGTGCCTGTTCCCCACACCAAGCCAGTGGTGTGCGTCGCCAGCCCGGTCCGGCCCGCTCCTGCTCTCCACACCAAGCCAGTGGTGTGCGTCGTCAGTCCGGCACGGCCCGTGCCTGTTCCCCACACCAAGCCAGTGGTGTGCGTCGCCAGTCCGATCCGGCCCGCTCCTGCTCCCCGCACCAAGCCTATGGTACGCGTCGTCAGTCCGGCACGGCCCGTGCCTGTTCCACCGGTGCCTGGTCCGGCACCGGTCAGCTGCTTCACGCCGGAGCTAGAGCAATCCGCTCCACCAGTGTGCAGTCCAGCTCCGGTCAGCGGGGCCAGACCGGACCAGGGGTACTTTGGGGGGTTGGAGAGGGAGTGGGGAACAGGCCCGGAGCCGGATCCGCCGCCAAGGCGGAGTGCCCACCCGGTCCCTCCCCTGTGGTATTTAGTTGACGCGGTCAGAGTCCGCGCCTTTAGGGGGGGGGGTACTGTCACGCCCTGGCTCTGGGGACACTTGTATGTTGAGCCAGGGTGTGCGTTTCATTTGTTTGTCTAGTAGTTGCATTTCTATGTTGGCCAGATTGGTTCCCAATCAGAGGCAACGAGTGTCAGCTGTTGCTGGTTGTCTCTGATTGGGAACCATATTTATACAGGCTGTTTTCCCACAGTGGTTGTGGGATCTTGTTTCTAGTTGGTTGGTGTTAGACCGTGAACTGTCACGTTATCGTTTTGTTTATTTTGTCGTGTAATCGCTAAATAAAGAGTATGTTTGCCTGCAACGCTGCGCCTTGGTCCTCCTCTGTATACGACGATCGTGACACCTGGCTTCCCTTGGTATTCATGAATACACGCCACCGCTGTAGACATGCCTTGTGATTGGGCTACACACAATCCACAGCTAGGCTATATAAAAATATACAGTGGGGAGAACAAGTATTTGATACACTGCCGATTTTGCAGGTTTTCCTACTTACAAAGCAAGTAGAGGTCTGTAATTTTTAATCATAGGTACACTTCAACTGTGTGAGACGGAATCTAAAACAAAAATCCAGAAAATCACATTGTATGATTTTTAAGTAATTAATTTGCATTTTATTGCATGACATAAGTATTTGATCACCTACCAACCAGTAAGAATTCCGGCTCTCACAGACCTGTTAGTTTTTCTTTAAGAAGCCCTCCTGTTCTCCACTCATTACCTGTATTAACTGCACCTGTTTGAACTTGTTACCTGTATAAAAGACACCTGTCCACACACTCAATCAAACAGACTCCAACCTCTCCACAATGTCCAAGACCAGAAAGCTGTGTAAGGACATCAGGGATAAAATTGTAGACCTGCACAAGGCTGGGATGGGCTACAGGACAATAGGCAAGCAGCTTGGCGAGAAGGCAACAACTGTTGGTGCAATTATTAGAAAATGAAAGAAGTTCAAGATGACGGTCAATTACTCTCGGTCTGGGGCTCCATGCAAGATCTCACCTCGTGGGGCATCAATGATCATGAGGAAGGTGAGGGATCAGCCCAGAACTACACGGCAGGACCTGGTCAATGACCTGAAGAGAGCTGGGACCACAGTCTCAAAGAAAACCATTAGTAACACACTACGCCGTCATGGATTAAAATCCTGCAGCGCACGCAAGGTCCCCCTGCTCAAGCCAGCGCATGTCCAGGCCCGTCTGAAGTTTTCCAATGACCATCTGGATGATCCAGAGGAGGAATGGGAGAAGGTCATGTGGTCTGATGAGACAAAAATTGAGCTTTTTGGTCTAAACTCCACTCGCCGTGTTTGGAGGAAGAAGAAGGATGAGTACAACCCCAAGAACACCATCCCAACCGTGAAGAATGGAGGTGGAAACATCATTCTTTGGGGATGCTTTTCCGCAAAGGGGACAGGACGACTGCACCGTATTGAGGGGAGGATGGATGGGGCCATGTATCGCGAGATCTTGGCCAACAACCTCCTTCCCTCAGTAAGAGCATTGAAGATGGGTCGTGGCTGGGTCTTCCAGCATGACAACGACCCGAAACACACAGCCAGGGCAACTAAGGAGTGGCTCCGTAAGAAGCATCTCAAGGTCCTGGAGTGGCCTAGCCAGTCTCCAGACCTGAACCCAATAGAAAATCTTTGGAGGGAGCTGAAAGTCCGTATTGCCCAGCGACAGCCCCGAAACCTGAAGGATCTGGAGAAGGTCTGTATGGAGGAGTGGGCCAAAATCCCTGCTGCAGTGTGTGCAAACCTGGTCAAGACCTACAGGAAACGTATGATCTCTGTAATTGCAAACAAAGGTTTCTGTACCAAATATTAAGTTCTGCTTTTCTGATGTATCAAATACTTATGTCATCCAATAAAATGCAAATTAATTACTTTAAAATCATACAATGTGATTTTCTGGATTTTTGTTTTAGATTCCGTCTCTCACAGTTGAAGTGTACCTATGATAAAAATTACAGACCTCTACATGCTTTGTAAGTAGGAAAACCTGCAAAATCGGCAGTGTATCAAATACTTGTTCTCCCCACTGTATATATATATATAAAAGCTCTTGATCCTCTGTGGCTAAATTATAGGCCTACTCCTGGTGTAGTCTTCTGAATTATTTCACTTATTTCTGAACAGACAGCAGGAATTCAATAACTTCGACAAATGTATTTACATTTATCAGGGGTGCTGGGGCACCTCCAGCATCCTTCCCGTGCCTATGATTCTATGTGGAAATAAATGAAGTGCAATGCTGGAGAAATGAGAGTTGCAGGCTGATGTCTATCAGAGCAGAGAGAGATCATAGAAAGTGAATGTCATTCTAGTTCTGTGAGAGATACAGGCACGCTTCTCTCTCTCACCACAGCAATGGCCAGGCATTGGTATATAGGCTACAATGTTGAGCAAACCATAAATCCAGGCAGGCCCAACTCTATCCAATTCTTAGAATATCAGGTATGTTCACATTACGTTTCTTAGGGGGCAGGAGAATTACAGAGGTAACTTGAATTAACTGATTGCTTTTATTAGAATTTACTATTTTGTTAACACTATAAGATTCCATATGTAAAGGGTTTATAAAGGGGTTATAATTACGTTAAACAATTATTTTATCATTTGTAAATGCTCTCACAACATAGAATGTTTTGGTCTTCATACCCACCATTCATTGACTGAACATGTTTAACAAAGTGTTGAATCTTCTCTCGTGTACAGTGAGGGAAAAAAGTATTTGATCCCCTGCTGATTTTGTACGTTTGCACACTGACAAAGAAATGATCAGTCTATCATTTTAATGGTAGGTTTATTTCAACTGTGAGAGACAGAATAACAACAAAAAAAATCCAGAAATAAGTGTTTGACCCCCTCTCAATCAGAAAGATTTCTGGCTCCCAGGTGTCTTTTATACAGGTAACGAGCTGAGACTAGGAGCACACTCTTAAAGGGAGTGCTCCTAATCTTAGTTTGTTACCTGTATAAAAGACACCTGTCCACAGAAGCAATCAATCAATCAGATTCCAAACTCTCCACCATGGCCAATACCAAAGAGCTCTCCAAGGATGTCAGGGACAAGATTGTAGACCTACACAAGGCTGGAATTGGCTACAAGACCATCGCCAAGCAGCTTGGTGAGAAGGTGACAACAGTTGGTGCGATTATTCGCAAATGGAAGAAACACAAAAGAACTGTCAATCTCCCTCGGCCTGGGGCTCCATGCAAGATCTCACCTCGTGGAGTTGCAATGATCATGAGAACGGTGATGAATCAGCCCAGAACTACACGGGAGGATCTTGTCAATGATCTCAAGGCAGCTGGGACCATAGTCACCAAGAAAACAATTGGTAACACACTACGCCGTGAAGGACTGAAATCCTGCAGCGCCCGCCAGGTCCCCCGCTCAAGAAAGCACATATATAGGCCCGTCTGAAGTTTGCCAATGAACATCTGAATGATTCAGAGGAGAACTGGGTGAAAGTGTTGTGGTCAGATGAGACCAAAATCGAGCTCTTTGGCATCAACTCAACTCACCGTGTTTGGAGGAGGAAGAATGGTGCCTATGACCCCAAGAACACCATCCCCACTGTCAAACATGGAGGTGGAAACATTATGCTTTGGGGGTGTTTTTCTGCTAAGGGGACAGGACAACTTCACCGCATCAAAGGGATGATGGACGGGGCCATGTACCGTCAAATCTTGGGTGAGAACCTCCTTCCCTCAGCCAGGGCATTGAAAATGGGTCGTGGATGGGTATTCCAGCATGACAATGACCCAAAACACACGGCCAAGGCAACAAAGGAGTGGCTCAAGAAGAAGCACATTAAGGTCCAGGAGTGGCCTAGCCAGTCTCCAGACCTTAATCCCATAGAAAATCTGTGGAGGGAGCTGAAGGTTCGAGTTGCCAAACGTCAGCCTCGAAACGTTAATGACTTGGAGAAGATCTGCAAAGAGGAGTGGAACAAAATCCCTCCTGAGATGTGTGCAAACCTGGTGGCCAACTACAAGAAACGTCTGATCCCTGTGATTGCCAACAAGGGTTTTGCCACCAAGTACTAAGTAATGTTTTGCAGAGGGGTTAAATACTTATTTCCCTCATTAAAATGCAAATCAATTTATAAAAATTTTTACATGCATTTTTCTGGATTTTTTTGTTGTTATTCTGTCTCTCACTGTTCAAATAAACCTACTATTAAAATTATAGACTGATCATTTCTTTGGCAGTGGGCAAACGTACAAAATCAGCAGGTGACCAAATACTTTTTTCCCCTCACTGTATGTAGTGATGAGTACCCAATACTGCCTATAAGTATGTCTAAGCTCTCAAATCATATATAAATGATTTACCCACATTAATAATTGCTAAAAGTATACCTTATTTTAAAGTGACAGACCAATAAATATTTATAACTGCTTTATCAACATTTATAAAGGCTAAAATTATATATTATTTTAAAGTGCAATCCACTGACCATTAAATTAGTTACCAACAGTTATAACTGATGAAAAGATAACTAAAAGAAAGTGGAAACCTACTGACCATTTATTAATGAGTTAGGCCTACCAATATTTATAACTTATATATATATAAAAATATAGCTTAAAAGAATGTGGAAACCTTCTGGACATTTAATAATGATTTGCAAATATTTATAACTGCGTATAATCTCCTTACATGCAATACATAGTAAGAACAAAATGTAATTTAATAGGATACATTGGGAAAACAATTTTAATTGCAGTGACTCAAATCTGTAGCCTATTATTGGTATAGTGAGTAGCCTAGCGAATTCAGATAACTTTCTCCCATTTTGAACATTACAAGTCAGAATAGATATTGACTACAGATTAACTCTTTAAAATACAACATGGTCCCCTTCTGTGTCTTCATCTGTATCTTTCTAAACATTTTCCCATTCCCACCCGTCATTCAAGCAGGTTGGGCTTTTGAGCCCCACATTTTTAGCTAAAAAAGAAATCAAACAAATATTGCCTTGCATGTTAATTTGGCATTAATATGTGTCACATATCAGTTAGCAAACAATGTAAAAAATAAAATAATTTAGTTAATAAAGCCGCATACAAACATGGTCTCTTTTTTGCTTTCTTGAGCAAGGCAGCTCCAAAATGCAGGTTTTTCAGCCTAGCTCAGTGCTTTCTGTGGTGGTGGGGCAGCCAGTGGAAAATACGGAGCGTAGGTGTTGGTAATGTTCTCTAGTTGCGCCGTGATTGGCTCAGTGTTCTGTCACTCATGGGGACACTACGTTACCGCCAAGTCTAAGGGCAGAGCTCGAAAATTCAAGCCCCTATGGTTGCTGCCATAGACTTACATTAGAAGTGCCCATCAAAGGCGGCTCAAGGTCATTGGCCACAGATAAAATGACGTCAAATCACGTTATATGATGTAATATGCCAGGGAGATATGTATACTGTAGCTAAGAAAGTAATACTAAGTGTATGTTGTGTATGAGGCACATGGGTGAGGCACATGGGCTACTAACAGCTTACTACAGTAAACTGTTAGTAGCCCATGTGCCTCACCCTAATAATTGGTCTATTTTCCCCGCTTAATTTTGTCTACTGTTCTGACTTGGTGGTGCACATGTAGTCTATAACCTGTTTTAGAGAAATGTCATCAAATATTTTAAGAGCTTTCATTGTCTGCTTATATGCCCCCTTTATGTATCCTACGGTTCTAACTTGGTGTACAGGGAGAACACTAACGGCCCGTGTTCTGAATTCTGTCACTGTACATTTCAAAAGTGCTAAACAAATAGTTATATTGACTACGTCCGCCCTAGCTCGCTCATTAATGTCTTAATCAAAATTACGGATTGCCTCATTCGCTTGTCGTCCCCTTATGCCATAGTTTTTACATCTCAATTGTCAGTAGAAACCACATCTGTTTAAGCAAGTCAGCCATATCAGCTATGTATTTTTTAAAGACAGTAAATGAGGATGAATGAACTGTTTCGCTGCCAGACAAGGCTCCGGCTGATAGCCAGGTGTAGCAGTGGTAAGATGTTGGGACTGCTGTTGGGACAGCTTTATGTAGGCCCTAACAGTTTGTGGGCACAGTTTGTCACCGTTATAGTGCAATTAATGTATTGTTTAGTGTTGTGTTGTGTAGTGGCTTTGCTGGCATGCATCCACCAAGATTTACATGCTAAAATCACCTCTGCATAAGGGTTCAATATTATACGCATTTGTAAGTGAATTTATAAATGGTTAATAGCTGGAGGTAAATAGTGGCTTAGTATTTGGCAAGCACTGACTGGCAATTGAACTCCTTTGACCAATAAGTTATAACGCATTTATTAAAGGTTTATAATGCATTTACAAATGATTAAATAACTGTTAATAACGTAATTACCAACTCTTTGTAAACCCTTTACAAATGGAACCTTATTGTAAAGTGTTACCAGAATGGGTATATTGCAGTGAAAACTATTTTTCATGCCAAGAGAGGTACTGGATCCTGGCAAAAGGGTTGCGGAACGAAACGGTCCAAAACTCTGTATTATCATTAGTTCACATTCAATAGAGGCAGTCTATGGTAAGTTAACTGATACAAAACATGAGCATATGCCATGAAGAGCAAGAAAAATACTAACATCCCAATTACATTTACATAACTGTGTAGGTTCTATTTATGGGTATCATGTTGACCCTATTTCAGAGTGAAAACAATAGCTCTGGCATATCAGAGGTGACCAAAGTAAGAGGAATGTGAGTGACCTAACACCTCACTAACGCAGCAGAGGACTTTTATGCTCCCTACTTGATCCTCCCTGACCTGGCCAACTTCCCTATTCATTACTTCAGCTCTGTTACACTCACAGAGCAAGGACATTTGCACCATAAACCTAATTCTAATTCACTACACATTGTTCACTAAATATAATAACTAGTCGGTCATTTTATGTTATGTGACGGCTGTCATATTTGACCTGTGTACCGGCCAAAAAAAAGAGTGTTGTAAAAAGGCTTAGTAGGTCAAACTATAACAGTACAGTAATTTTAGGTAATAGCAAGAAAAACAGTGTTTTCCTGTTTACAGAAGAGTGATGCAAATAAGAAATCAAGTCAGGGGAAGAACAACATTTTCGGAAAACCTTCAGAATAGAGTCCTGTTACATATTAGTAACGGTTGAAATAACAAATACGTTTCTGATTAAACATTCTCTTCGATTTAGAACACAGTAGTGAAAGAATATATGAGAGGGGGAGAAAAAGCAGAAGAATGATGGGAGTCCCTACCAAGGCCAAGTTGCGGTACTCACGAGAAGTCAGTGCAGAGTCAGATTACTCTTTGGTTTGCATGCCCGCAGATGCATCCGGTTAGCCAGCTCTCATCTGCTCTGCTCCCCCTTAATCTACAAGAGTCCCCTTGGTAAAGACGTTGCATTTTCCTGACTCCCTCCCTCACGGCGAGCTCCAACCCCCCAGCTCTAAAGACATGGCTCAGGGGCTGAAGTTTCCCTTTCCTTCTTTCGGACTTCACTCTTCAGTCCCCACACCCTGAGCACGCCTCCTAACCCCCTTCCCTCATCTACTCCACTCTCTCTCTTTGAATCAACACAGGAAGCCACCCTGTCGACCAATAAACGTGCAGGGATAGGCTATGACAATGCCCCTGGCATGTGACGGGAGTGAGGCAAGTTCTCTTTCCCTGCCCTCTATGGTGATTCCCCAGAGAACTCTCCGACTTCTCTTAAAGGCACAGCAGCCCCCTTTTCTCACTTGTTGTTTCCATGGAATAATCCCCCCAGAATTCCCATAGGTGGGGTAAAAATAATGAATTATTCTGAGAGGTCTGTCGAGTTAAGCTTTGACAAATGCAGGTGCTAAATAAATATAGCAATTTGTTACTTCTATGTTTGTGGCCGAAATTCAACAAATGAAATATGTTACTTTTTATGGATTTCGATTACATGTGCATCTTCATGTATGTTGAAAACAGTTCAAAACGTTTTGGCAAGAGAAATAAGAACACATAAGGAGAATATTTTCTGGAAATATATGATTAAAGTCCACGACCAGGAGGGACAACTAAACCAAAAGGAGTGGCTGCGCAACCTGTGTTCTTCCTGCCCCCCGAAGGTGCCTTTTCCCCTTCTCTAAACCTCCTTTTAACATTCTTCACGTGTCGTTTTTCTGCAATATAATATCCCTATAGTGTTATGCTAACTGTGGTTGAAAGTTTAAAACACATTCATTTCCAATGTAATGTGTAAACAGGGCTAAATGTTTCATGTAGGTTATGCAAGCAAGAAATAACTTGTAATATTGGTCAAACCTTCTGGATGTCACCGTGACCTGCCAATTAGCTAATGTTATTTCTCTTGGGAAGCAGGTTGTGCAGCCTCGACCTAAAACAAAACAATGAGTATGAGACTGTCTGCCTGCCCAGGAGGCGTTATAAAGACACAAACAAAGGGCTGTTGTGTTTTGGGTATAAAGGAAAAGACCCTGCCTCTGCCCATACTCAGTTCACTGGTAACAACTTCCTATGTCTGAGAAATGTGGTTGTCTCACCAAGCTATCTTGAGATGAATGCATTAACTGTAAGTTGCTCTTGATAAAAGTGTCTGCTAAGAGCGTCTGCTAAAATACACATATTTTTTTGTTGATGGTGTAAATCGAATATATATTACAGAGTATGAATTATCAGAGTAATTAATAAATGGCGCTGGAGGGAACGGAGGCCGTTTATGGGCTCCTGACCAATTGTACTATTTTGTGTTTTTTCTTGCCTTGTTTAAAAATTTTTACATAATGTTTCCGCCATCGTTTCCTATGACCGAAAAGAGAGACCGGACATCAGAACAGCTATCACTAACCTCCATTTGGCGAGGACTTGATTATCGCGGACCAGGCCCAAATCCCCGACACTTGAATGAGGGGACGACGCTATAGATACCTGACGAGACTATGTCGGAGAGTGGATAAATTGCCTCTACCGTCCGTTCTATTGGCAAAAGTGCAATCACTGGAGAATAAACTGGATGAGCTCCGTTTGAGACTATCCTATCAACGTGATTTGAAGAACTGTAATATCCTATATTTCTCAGAGTCGTGGCTGAACAACGACATGGTAAATATAAATCGAGATGGTTTTTCTATACATCAGCAGGACAGAATGGCTGCGTCTGGGAAGCTCAGAGGAGGGGGTGGGTGTCTCTTACAAACAACTTGCGCGCAATCTCTAATATTAAGCAAGTCTCGAGGTTCTGCTCGCCTGAGTTAGAATACCTCATGATAAGCTGTAGACCATACTATTTACCAAGAGAGTTTTCATCTATATTTTCCGTAGCTGTCTATAGCAGGGGTTCCCAAACTCTTTCACCCGGGGTCCCCCTTCCAGCATTGGGGAACATCCCCCGCCCCATGTCTATATCTATGGACACAAGCACTCATTAAACAAACTGTTCACACCACTCTTGTTGTTGGAGAGAATTTTTGCAGGTTTAAAGCTTATTTCCTGCAATTTTACACATTTTGTCATGGGGCGCAATTTTTTGGGTTGCAGTTTTAAAGCGAATTTTCATGCAATTCTATACATTTTACATTTACATTTACATTTTAGTCATTTAGCAGACGCTCTTATCCAGAGCGACTTACAGGAGCAATTAGGGTTAAGTGCCTTGCTCAAGGGCACATTTCCGTCATTTAGCAGACGCTCTTATCCAGAGCGACTCACCAATTGATGCGTTCACCCTATAGCCAGTGGGATAATCACTTTACAAATTTTTTTTTTTGGGGGGGGGTAGAAGGATTACTTTATCCTATCCCAGGTATTCCTTAAAGAGGTGGGGTTTCAAATGTCTCCGGAAGGTGGTGAGTGACTCCGCTGTCCTGGCGTCGTGAGGGAGCTTGTTCCACCATTGGGGTGCCAGAGCAAGAGCATTTTGCCAGCAAGAGCATTTTGCCATGTCTAATGTGTATTTGTGCTATTTGAGTGACAAAATAATTACAACAATATCTATGGGCTAAAAAAACGAAATAAAAAAACGTTAGCTGACATGGGCTAGTTGATCTGGACATTTCTGACAAGTTATAAATGGCTCTCTGAGATATGCAATGACTAACATGACAAGAACTTATGATGCACTACCCAATTTCAAAATTGCACCTTGTGCATTCAACTATTACAACTTTCAAGAGTAAGTTTAAAGCCGGACCCCTGTGCCACCCCTGCCGACCCCTGGGGGCGCACCCCACAGTTTGGGAACCACTGGTCTATAGTACCACCACAAACCAATGCTGGCACTAGGACCGCACTCAATGAGCTGTATAGGACCATAAGCAAAGAAGAAAATGCTCACCCAGAGGCGGTGCTCCTAGTGGCCAGTGACTTTAATACAGGAAAACTGAAATCCGTTTTCTCTCATATCTACCAGCATGTGCAACCGGAGGCGAAAAACTCTAGATCACCTTTACTCCACACACAGAGACGCATACAAAGCTCTCCCTACATTTGGCAAATCTGACCATAAGTCTATCCTCCTGATTCCTGCTTACAAGAAAAAACAGAATGCACTCAATACGGAAGTGGTCCGATGAAGCAGATGCTAAACTACAGGACTGTTTCGCTAGGACAGACTGGAATATGTTCCGGGATTCATCTGATGGCATTGAGGAGTTTACCACATCAGTCACCAGCTTCATTAATAAGTGCATCAACGACGTTGCCCCTATAGTGACCGTACGTACAGTGAGGGAAAAAAGTATTTGATCCCCTGCTGATTTTGTACGTTTGCCCACTGACAAAGAAATGATCAGTCTATAATTTTAATGGTAGGTTTATTTGAACAGTGAGAGACAGAATTACAACAAAAATCCAGAAAAACGCATGTCAAAATTTTTATCAATTGATTTGCATTTTAAATGAGGGAAATAAGTATTTGACCCCCTCTCAATCAGAAAGATTTCTGGCTCCCAGGTGCCTTTCATACAGGTAACGAGCTGAGATTAGGAGCACACTCTTAAAGGGAGTGCTCCTAATCTCAGCTTGTTACCTGTGTAAAAGACACCTGTCCACAGAAGCAATCAATCAGATTCCAAACTCTCCACCATGGCCAAGACCAAAGAGCTCTCCAAGGATGTCAGGGACAAGATTGTAGACCTACAAAAGGCTGGAATGGTCTACAAGACCATCGCCAAGCAGCTTGATGAGAAGGTGACAACAGTTATTCGCAAATGGAAGAAACACAAAATAACTGTCAATCTCCCTCGGCCTGGGGCTCCATGCAAGATCTCACCTCGTGGAGTTGCAATGATCATGAGAACGGTGAGGAATCAGCCCAGAACTACACGGGAGGATCTTATCAATGATCTCAAGGCAGCTGCGACCATAGTCACCAAGAAAACAATTGGTAAGAGTGTCTTTGCTAAATGACTCAAATGTAAATGTAACACACTACGCCATGAAGGACTGAAATCCTGCAGCGCCCGCAAGGTCCCCCTGCTCAAGAAAGCACATATACATGCCCGTTTGAAGTTTGCCAATGAACATCTGAATGATTCAGAGGAGAACTGGGTGAAAGTGTTGTGGTCAGATGAGACCAAAATCGAGCTCTTTGGTATCAACTCAACTCGCCGTGTTTGGAGGAGGAGGAATGCTGCCTATGACCCCAAGAACACCATCCCCACTGTCAAACATGGAGGTGGAAACATTATGCTTTGGGGGTGTTTTTCTGCTAAGGGGACAAGACAACTTCACCGCATCAAAGGGACGATGGACGGGGCCATGTACCGTCAAATCTTGGGTGAGAACCTCCTTCCCTCAGCCAGGGCATTGAAAATGGGTCGTGGATGGGTATTCCAGCATGACAATGAACAAAAACAAACGGCCAAGGCAACAAAGGAGTGGCTCAAGAAGAAGCACATTAAGGTCCTGGAGTGGCCTAGCCAGTCTCCAGACCTTAATCCCATAGAAAATCTGTGGAGGGAGCTGAAGGTTCGAGTTGCCAAACGTCAGCCTCGAAACCTTAATGACTTGGAGAAGATCTGCAAAGAGGAGTGGGACAAAATCCCTCCTGAGATGTGTGCAAACCTGGTGGCCAACTACAAGAAACGTCTGACATCTGTGATTGCCAACAAGGGTTTTGCCACCAAGTATTAAGTCATGTTTTGCAGAGGGGTCAAATACTTATTTCCCTCATTAAAATGCAAATCAATTTATAACATTTTTGACATGCGTTTTTCTGGATTGTTGTTATTCTGTCTCTCACTGTTCAAATAAACCTACCATGAAAATTATAGACTGATCATGTCTTTGTCAATGGGCAAACTTACAAAATCAGCAGGGGATCAAATACTTATTTCCCCTCACTGTGTATATGTATATATATATATATATATATATATATATATATATATATATATATATATATATATAAGCTAAGGACCCTGAGATTAAACACCTCCATCTGCAACTGGTTCCTGGACTTCCTGACGGGCCGTGCCCAGGTGGTGAGGGTAGGCAAGAACACATTCACCACGCTGACCCTCAACAAGGGGGCCTCCCAGGGGTACGTGCTTAGTCCCCTACTGCACTCCCTGTTAACGCACTACTGCGTGGCCGGGCACGACTCCAACACCATCATTAAGTTTGCAGACGACACGACGATGGTAGGCCTGATCACCAACGATGATGAGACAGCCTACAGGGAGGAGGTCAGAGACCTGGTAGTGTGGTGCCAGGACAACAACCTCTCCATCAACGTCAGCAAGACAAAGGAGCTGATCATGGACTACAGGAAACGGAGGGCCGAACATGCCCCCACTCACATCGACGGGGCTGTTGTGGAACAGGTCGAGAGCTTCATGTTCCTTGGTGCCCACATCACTAAGGAAGTATCATGGTCCACACACACACAACACAGACGTGAAGAGTGCACGACAACGCCTCTTCCCCCTCAGGAGGCTGAAAAGATTTGGCATTGGCCCTCAAATCCTCAAAACGTTATACAGCTGCACCCTTGAGAGCATCTTGACTAGCTGCATCACCGCTTGGTATGGCAACTGTTTGGCATCCGACTGCAAAGCGCTACAGAGGGTAGTGCATACGGCCCAGTACATCACTGCGGCCGAGCTCCCTACCATCCAGGACCTCTATACCAGGCGGTGTCAGAGGAAGGCCCTAAAAATTGTCAGAGTCCAGTCATCCAAGTCATAGACCGTTCTCTCTGCTACCGCACGGCAAGCGGTACCGATGCACAAATTCTGGTTAGCTACAAGACTGCTAAATAGTTAACCAATAGCTACCCGGAATATCTGCATTCACCCTTTTTGCACTAATCTCTTTTGACTCCTCACATTCGCTGCTGTTACTGTTTATTATCTATCCTGTTGCCTAGTCACTTTATCCCTACCTATAAGTACATATCTACCTCATACCCCTGCACATCGACCCTGTATATTGAAGCGCTGCATCAATTCCAACTGAAGGGACTAGTTTAGAAAAGTGCTAAAACAGTGTATCCAGCTGATGGGACTATTTTAGAAAAGTGCTAAGACAATGTATGCAACTGAAGAGATTAGGAAAGTTCTAAAATGGTGTATCCTGTGAGTTTGCCGTCTTCAGTATGAATAAAAACTTGCTAAAGTGCCAGAATACAGTGTATCCAACTCTAGGGATTCGTTCAAAAAAGTACTAAAACAGCGTATGCAACTGAACGGACTAGTTTAAAAAAAGTTCTAAAGTGGTGTATCCTGCGAGTTTGCCGTATTCAATATGTAATACGTTTCTCTGCAGTGTGTCAGTGGTGCGGGTGGTGTAAAGTGATGCTGATAGCTAGCTCTGGTCCAGGCAATTAGTGGAGGAATGTGCACTAATGACCTGGACCAGAGCTAGTAGCTAGCTATCTAAAGTACTAACATGCTGGGGGTCCCTGGGGTCCAGTGTGTCGAGTAGGCCCTGGAGGTGGTCCAGCTCTCCCTGGGCTCGGCTCATTTCCCCTCTCTGCATCTCCAGCTGGCCCTCCAGAGCCTCCGCCTCGTCTCTCAGCTGCCTCACTTGCTGGATCCTCCTGTGGAGCTGCTGCCTTAGTTGCTCTTTCTCTGCCTCAGACACCTGGATGAAGGATGGGACAGGAGAGGCTTTTAGAAGTGTCCGGGAGTAGATTAGGCTAGTTGATGTGGAACAGTGCTGTTATTGAAGCCTGGTCGCAGATCTGTTTGTGCAATCATGTCAACTCTTTGGCATGACATGAGTGACAAGGAGTATTGAGGAGTTGATCTAATAGGCCAAACAGATCTGAGTCTACTGGATACTGTTATTACACTCTTAAAAAAGAAAGTTCTGGATAGGGCCAAGCCAATCTACACAGTCACCGACATAACCGGTGGGGGGGGGATTGGCGCATATCAGACTCAAAAAGAAACACGTGGCTTTTCCCTGCAACTTCACTGTTACCATTACACTTTGTTATTTTCAGTAGCATTTCATTATTAAAGTTATTACCTATAAATATTAGTCTAGTATACAAATTAATAAATGTCAGACTGGAGAGGAATTCCGAAACAATACAGATTTCGATTTTGATGCACTAACCCGTTCACACCAAGTCTGATGCGTTTTTCCTTCCACTTTTCCGAATAATTCTCATAACGTCACCAATGCTGCTGCGGTCATTCTCTGTGGCAATATGTTGTTCAAAGTGGCTTGAGAGGACTCCGTAATGAGAGAAAAATCATAGACTACTGAAAACATTATATGCTACTGAAAATATTAGGATATAGGCTATGCATCCTATAGGATGAATCATGAAAGGAGCGTGGCTACGTTTAATTCAGTTGCACCCCATTTAATAAGAGAGAAAACAAAACTGGCAACCGTCGTCATTCCGCACATGCTGACCCTGCAACAAGACAGTGTTTTTCTATCTGATTAAAGAGATGAAGTCCAGACAGGCTAGGCCTATTTTAGGAAACTTTCTGAATGGACATAGATAACTAGTCAATTCATACACGCACACCCACCCACCTAAAAGGACCAATCAATCAAAGCCACCTGCAGCGCATCTCACTCTGACGCATAAGCAAATCACATTTGTCCTTTCCCAAAAACATATTAAAAAAAAAAACGTGCCTTATCCTACAGAAAGAATTTGAAGCTACTCAAAAAATTCTCTACATCATAGGATAATGCTAAATCTTATCCTATCATATAAATTGGAAAGGAAAGTTTTAAGAGGGATATATAGAGAAAGCTGTGATAGGCAGGAAGATTAAATTGACAACCATTAGAAAATAGAAACACATGCATGCAACCTGTCCATAGCCTAATGATCAGCCATTGATACATTTTAGTGAAGCAATGGGTGGTTATGTTGACACTACATTTGAATTTGAGTGCTTTATCGAAATCTGTGCAACCACTTATTGATAAGGGCAGATTTTGTTTTCTCTGTCTTTTATGGTGGCCTAGATTCACTTTGGCAGGCCTATACTATGTAGCCTAGCTCTGGTGTGATGTGATCATATTGGCTAAATTGATACCTTGCTGCACTGATGCACTGCAAACGTAAAAAACGAACCCACAGACCTGTCAGTGGCAGTGCCCAGATAACAATTTCTATTGGTCAACGTCTTATTTTCCCATGCGAAAAGACGCAAATATCAAACCTGTTTGGAATAAATAATTGACGGATTGTGGCAGGCCGATATTCCGCAATTGGTGTGAACGGCGTCATAAACTAAACGTGTCCATATAAAAAATTGTCTTCCCAAATTATTCAAAAAATTAAAAAAGCGGACTTGAGGAGCGTTTGATTCCTATTAAAGAGATAGAGTCCAGACAGGCTAGGCTACTTTAGGAAACTTTGTGAATAGACATATAGGCCTATAGAGAGAATCAGCGAACTCACACACGCACACCCCCGTAAAAAGGACCTGTCAATCAAAGCCAACAGCATACTGTATGTCAGACACAAGAGCAAACGTTTATGCTTTCCTTAAAATTGTATTTTTTTTTTAACCTAGGCTTACCTTTCCAAAAGTAGGCTATAAGATAATGAATTGACAAGGAAAGCATGAAGAGGAGAGAGGCAGCTATGCGATAGTATGAAGATGAAATTGACAGTCATTAAAATAGAAACAAATACACGCAACATTTCCATAGCCTATTTATCAGCGTTGATTAGTCTATAAATTAAGACAATATTCTGTATCTATTTATACTACGCCAGGTTGGATAGGGTTGGAACATTTACACAATCTAGGCCTCAGAGCCAGAACAAACTTGTCGACTGCTGTTGAATAATTAATGAATAATCAGACGCATCCAACCGCTTTTAAAAGAAGACCGATTTAGTACACAGTACAAATAAGACAAAAATCGGAAATATTTTATGGCGTATTTCCTATTCAACAAAACTATGAATAAGGATTGAAATTACTTATATGTTTTCTAAATATAGTATAATGAAATTATAAAACCACTAACTATAAGATTTCACCTTCCTTATAACTGTAAAATACATATTTGTATGTTTAGTGTTAAGAGAAAATGTGCATATTTTCTAAAGGTCTCTCTTGATCAAAACATCAGCCCCCATCGCTGTGAACGTCACACAGAGCTCTAGCATGGCATCCTGAACTCGTTAGGAACTCACCTTTCAACTCCTATTAATATATATGTCCATCTATAACACAGTGTTTTTTGTTTAAAATCTATGAATTATTTTAGATTAATGGCTATAAATCAATCTCTGAATGTGCTATAGGGATGGAACCACTCTCCCCTGCTGTGCTACGATGTAAAGATTGCAGGCATGTGCTTTGTCAGTGGCTGTGACGTATGGTTCAGCCAGGAGTTTATGGACAGTCAGAAGAGCGAATTAAATGGTAGGAGGGAAATCCCAGCTTCAAGTGGTTTCAGATTTCACATCATACATCACATAGGCGCATAAAAACATACTACTGTGTGCAATGCAAGCCATTTCGATCTACGGTGTCCACAGATCAATTTATAAGCAAAGATGAAGGTTGGAACCGGTACCAGAACCAACGCAGGTCCCCTAAACAGGGGACTTTACATTTTTAATATGGTGACACTATTCCTCTAATAGTCAAATCATAGCGTAACAGCAGGTGAGCTGGTTCTACTCATTCAATTGCCCTTCCCTGTTGCACACAACAAGCTTCCATACCCCGTCAAGGGGATTTATGGCTGATTTGAGATGTTACCGTCAACCCTGTCACTTTATTTGGCACTTACTACAGTAACATTTTATTGATTTGAACTTCTTGAAATGGGAAAACATGTTTTTTATTAAGTTGAGCATGTGCTCTTCATGACAGAATGTTAAAATTAGGTAAAAAAAATATTAAACAAAATCACCAAGTTACACTACCAAAAAGGGACTAATTTCATGGAATGACCAAGTGCACTAATTTTGACAAAAGTAGTGCACTATATAGGAAATAGGGTGCCATTTGGGACACAGACAATAGGAGAGCCGAGCTTCGCCGGTGTCTCACCTGTTTCTGGGAGAGCGTCTCCTCCAGCTGGCGAAGCTCTCTACCGGCCCTGAGGACATGCTGTTCTGCCTCCTCGATCTCCCTGTGCAACTGCTGCAGACGCTGCTCGGCTGGGGACACAGTCACACAAACAAGAACTCACCTAACTACACCTCACCTAACACTCACATCGTCAGTTCACTTCACATCGGCAGGGTGATGCAGACAGTAGGAAAATCTTGTTGTGTTACCATATCAGCTTCCCCTCCTCCAATCCTAACCTTACCCATTAGATGGAAAAAAGCATAACTGACCCAAGATCAGCATCTAGTAGGGCGAACTTTACCATTTTCCCTCTTCTGTACCTTTAGTCTGTTCTTGGCTGCAGTCTCGGGAGCTGATCTTGGACGCATCTTGCCCGGGGTTGTCTGTCTCTGTGTGGCCTGCAGTTTCCATCTGATGACTCTGGATGCCATCTGAGGCCACCGCGTTCCTCTTGTGCCGTGCCTTTCCAATGTAAGGGCTTTCCTCCAGCACGCTCTCTGCCTCCAACTCCTGGTGAGAGAGAGGGGAAATTAATCATGAATTCATGCAGATCTTAAGGGTGCATCCGAAATGGTATTTTATTTCCTGAGTGTACAAAACATTAAGGACACCTTCCTAATATTGAGTTGCACCCCCCACTTTTGTCCTCAGAACAGCCTCAATTTCTCTGGGCATGGACTCAACAAGGTGTCGAAAGCGTTCCACGGGGATGCTGGCCCATGTTGACTCCAATGCTTCCCACAGTTGTGTCAAGTTGGCTGGATGTCCTTTGGGTAATGGACCATTCTTGATACACACGGGAAACTATTGAGTGTGAAAAACCCAGCAGCGTTGCAGTTCTTGACACAAACCGGTGCGTCTAGCCCCTACTACCATACCCTGTTCAAAAGGTACTTAAATCCACTGTCATGCCCATTCACCCTCTGAATGGCACACATACATAATCCATGTCTCAAGGCTTAAAAATCTTTCTTTAACCGGTCTCCTCCCCTTCATCTACACTGATTAAATCAGATTTAAAAAGTGACATCAATAAGGGATCATAGCTTTCACCTGGATTCACCTGGTCAGTCTAGGTCATGGAAAGAGCAGGTGTCCTTAATGTTTTGTACACTCAGTGTATAGTTCATAGGGAATTGCACTGTGCCCCCCGCACATTGACCCTGTACCGGTACCCCCTGTGTAAAGCCTCCCTACATTTTACTACTGCTCTTTAATTATTTGTTATTTTTTAACTCATCTATTTTTTACTTAACACTTATATTTCTTAAAACTGCATTGTTGGTTAAGGGCTTGTAAGTAAGCATTTCACTGTAAGGTCTACACCTGTTGTATTCGGCACATGTGGCAAATAATATGTGATTTGATTTGATTTGAATAGGGTGCCATTGTCGGCGGAACTTAAGGAAACAACTGAATGAAGAGATGGCTCATGAGGGGTCTGGATGGATGCACTCACATGGTCTGGGTAATAGGGATATGGTTCAAACTTGGCGTCGATCTTCTGAAAGGCTAACTCCTGCTCCAGCTCATACTGCTTCTGGCATGCTCGCGTCAGCTCCATTGTCTTCTGTTTCAGCTGTCAATATGGCCATACAGTATAGAGATTATACAGAGATATCACAAACACAGATATCACAAACACATTGAAGAAAAGCATCATACACTCACTGCATATTAGAATGGAATGCATTGCGATATTTTTGGACTTTCCGAAAAATATAGCTCATTACGATGGTGGTCAATCCCATGTAAGTCACTGCTCAGTATAATAGCCTATCTAAAAGCAGCTGCTATCTGCCTGTATATTATACTAGCTTTGACCACATAAAATCAAACCTAGATAAAACAGGCAGAATCTATCATCATCTTTACATTTAATCTGAAACATGAGGTAAACAAACAAAAACAACAAACAACATGCTGGCAAACATGAGAGTGCTCTGTGAGTGAGAACCTGAATGGACAGAAGAGTCATGGACATTTAAACAAGGACATGGGTCAGCAGTAGGTATTGGGTTCACAGGAATCTGTGTGTGTGTCTTCAGAGTACCTGACAAATAGCATCCAGTAGAGGAGCAGGCAATGAAGGAGGCTGAAGAGACCGAGAAGCAGTGGGAAAACAAAACAGAAAATTCATGCAAAGAGCAAAATGAGAAAAATTGATAAAGACATGATCATGGCCTGTATTCATAAAGAGTAGAAGTACTGATCTGAGATCAGTTTAGCCTATTATATCATAATGAATACAAGTTAATGGAGAGCGAGGACCTGCGCTCCTACTCTGAGACACTTTATGAATATTGGCCAAGGCATTTGAAAAGGTTAGTGACTTTTTTGTTTGACGCTACCTGGGTACAGGACTTCTGTATGCAATAAAACTAAAATACTTCACATTCTGTACACACTATACCACACCATGCAATACTACCTTCAGGAAAGGGGACAGAATTGATGTGCAAGGAGAAACTAGAGGCCGGGAAAATAGATATGGGCACAGAAAGACAAGGGAGAAAGATGAAGAGGAAGGAAGGAAGAGGTTAGAGGACACGTAAATGCATCGTAGTTCAAAGAGCTCCTTCCTACACTACCAGTAACAAGTTTGGACACACCTACAAATTCAAGGGTTTTTCTTTATTTTTACATTGTAGAATAATAGTGAAGACATCAAAACTCTGAAATAACACATATGGAATCATGTAGTAACAAAAAAGTGTTAAACAAATCAAAATATATTATATATTTGAGATTCTTCAAATAGCCACCGTTTGCCTTGATGACAGCTTTGCACACTATTGGCATTCTCTCAACCAACTTCATGAGGTAGTCACCTGGAATCCATTTCAATTAACAGGTGTGCCTTGTTAAAAGTTCATTTGTGGAATTTCTTTCCTTCTTAATGCATTTGAGACAATCAGTTGTGTTGTGACAAGGTATGGGGGTATACAGAAGATAGCCCTATTTGGTAAAAGTTTGGACCAAGTCCATATTACGTTAAGAACAGCTCAAATAAGCAAAGAGAAACAACAGTCCATCATTACTTTAAGACACGGTCAGTCAATACGGAAAATGTCAAGAACTTTTAAAGTTTCTTCAAGTGCAGTCATAAAAACCAACAAGCGCTATGATGAAACTGGCTCTCATGAGGACCGCCACAGAAATGGAAGACCCAGAGTTACCTCTGCTGCAGAGGATGTTCATTAGTTACCAGCCTCAGAAACTGCAGCCCAAATAAATACTTTACAGAGTTCAAGTAACAGACATCTCAACATCAACAGTTCAGAGGGGACTGTGTGAATAAGGTCTTCATGGTCGAATTTCTGCAAAGAAACCACTACTAAAGGACACCAATAAGAAGAAGAGACCTGCTTGGGCCAAGAAACAGGAGCAATGGACATTAGACCGGTGGAAATGTGTTATTTGGTAAGGAGTCCAAATCTGAGATTTGTGGTTCCAACCGCCGTGGCTTTGTGAGACGCACAGTTGGTGAATGGATGATCTCCGCATGTATGGTCCCACTGTGAAGCGCGGAGGAGGAGGTGTGATGGTGTGGGGGTGCTTTGCTGATGACCCTGTCAGTGATTTATTTAGAATTCAAGGCACACTTAACCAGCATGGCTACCGCAGCATTCTGCAGTGATACGCCATCCCATCTGGTTTGGGCTTAGTGGGACTATCATTTGAGAATGCCAAGAGTGTGCAAAGCTGTCATCAATGCAAAGGGTGGCTATTTATAATAATCTCAAATATATAATGATTTGTTTAACACTTTTTTGGTTACTACATGATTCCATTTGTGTTTTTTCATAGTTTTGATGTCGTCACTATTATTCTACAATGTAGAAAATAGTAAAAATAAAGAACAACCCTGGAATGAGTAGGTGTCTCCAAACTTTTGACTGGTACTGTATATGAGAATCTGTATGTTTGTGTGTGTGTCAGGATTTCAATTAGCCGGTAATTGCCGGCTTTTGCCTAATAAAAAAAATTAAAAGCCGATAAATTCAATTGTTGCCGGCCAAATTGACCAGGAGAAAAAACAAAAGGTAGGCAGGCTTTCAGCACATCACCCACCACTCTAAAATGTGAGCTGGAGCAGTATGCATTTTGAAAACATAATTAATTGTTTGAAACCTGAATATTTTACATCATATTATGAGGCATGTCTTACCTTGTTTGAAAATCCGACCATAGAAACACAGAGGCAATTATTTTATAAAGACTTCATAGGAGGCGCATGAGTTTCAAGTTTGGGAAAGCTAACAATTTATCCTACCATTATATGCATCTTCTAGAAACAGTTTCATTTCAAAAATAAAATGTAGGTTTCTCAAAATTCAAACAAAAAAATGTAACTAATGTGAGAGCACCAGCCTCTGCCATACAGACACACTGATACACCGTGATCATTGGCGGCTATATACAGTGCATTCGGAAAGCATTCAGACCCCTTGACTTTTCCCACATTTTGTTACGTTAAAGCCTTATTCTAAAATGTTTTTTTATTTCCTCATCAATCTACACACAATACCCCATAATGACAAAGCAAACACTGCTTATAATTTTTTTGCAAATTCATAAAAATAACAAAAACTGAAATATGACATTTACATGAGTATTCAGACCCTTTACTCAGTACTTTGTTGAAGCACTTTTGGCAGCGATTACAGCCTCGAGTCTTGTTGGGTATGACGCTACAAGCTTGGCACACCTGTATTTGGGGAGTTCCTCCCATTCTTCTCTGTAGATCCTCTCAAGCTCTGTCAGGTTGGATGGGGAGCGTCGCTGCACAGCAATTTTCAGGTCTCTCCAGAGATGTTCGATCGGGTTAAAGTCCAGGCTCTGGCTAGGCCACTCAAGGACATTCAGATATTTGTCCTGAAGCCATTCCTGTGTTGTCTTGGCTGTGTGCTTAGGGTCGTTGTCCTGTTGGAAGGTGAACCTTCGCCCCAGTCTGAGGTCCTGAGCGCTCTGGAGCAGGTTTTCATCAAGGATCTCTCAGTACTTTGCTTCGTTAATCTTTCCCTCGATCCTGACTCGTCTCCCAGTCCCTGCCGCTGAAAAACATCCCCACAGCATGATGCTGCCACCACCATGCTTCACTGTAGGGATGGTGCCAGGTTTCCTCCAGACGTGACGCTTGGCGTTCAGGCCAAAGAGTTCAATCTTGGTTTCATCAGACCAGAGAATCTTGTTTCTCATGGTCTGAGAGTCCTTTAGGTGCCTTTTGGCAAACTCCAAGTGGGCTGTCATGTGCCTTTTCCTGAGGAGTGGCTTCCGTCTGGCCACTGTACCGTAAAGGCTTGATTGGTGGAGTGCTGCAGAGATGGTTGTCCTTCTGGAAGGTTCTCCCATCTCCACAGAGGAAGTCTGGAGCTCTGTCAGAGGGACCATCGGGGTTCTTGGTCACCTCCCTGACCAAGGCCCTTCTCTCCCGATTGCTCAGGTTGGCCAGGCGGCCAGCTCTAGGAAGGGTCTGGGTGGTTCCAAACTCCTTCCATTTAAGAATGATGGAGGCCACTGTGTTTTTGGGGACCTTCAATGCTGCAGATTTTTTTTGGTACACTTCCCCAGATCTGTGCCTCGACACAATCCTGTCTCGGAGATCTACGGACAATTCCTTCGACTGCATGGCTTAGTTTTTGCTCTGACATGCGCTGTCAACTGCGGGACCTTATATAGACAGGTGTGTGCCTTTCCAAATCATGTCCAATCAATTTAATTTACCACAGGTGGACTCCAATCAAGTTGTAGAAACATCTCAAGGATGATCAATGGAAACAGGATGCACCTGAGCTCCATTTCGAGTCTCATAGCAAAGGGTCTGAATACTTATGTAAATAAGGTATTTTTTTTATTTTTAATACATTTGCAAAGATTTCTAAAAACCTGTTTTCACTTTGTCATTATGGGGTATTGTGTGTAGATTGATGAGGATTTTTATTTATTTAATAAATTTTAGAATAAGGCTGTAATGTAACAAAATGGGGGAAAAGTCAAGGGGTCTGAATACTTTCCAAATTCACACTAGCCTAAATGAGCGCATGGAACGCAGAGATGGCCAATGTAGCCGTTGGCTTATACATTTACATTTTACATTTTAGTAATTTAGCAGACGCTCTTATCCAGAGCGACTTACAGTTAGTGAGTGCATATATATATATTTTTTTTTTTCATACTGGCCATTGTCAACCAAGTAAAAATACATGAAGCCGACAAATAAAAACAGTAGAAAATATGATAAATTATTTGGTTCTTTGAATCACATTCATCGCTCTACAGCCTGTCTGCCTGCATTTCTATCTGTCTTGAACTATTGCTAGTGAAGTGCAACATTGTATCAACTAGCCTATTCCAGGCCCTCTGAGTTTTCCGTGGGACAGACAGCTGTTTTTGCGCAAGGGAAAGCTATTTTATGATGCTTCCACTGGATATATGGGATCATCAGATGATGATATTTTGCTATTTCACACCGAGGCTTGGTGATTACCGAGAGGGAGATTATTGGAAAGATTTTTCAAATAGGCCTACTGTGAGGAATTATTAGGCTATCATTCGCAATGGATATTTAAAAAACAGACTTTGATGACTTACTGTGTGAGGTGAAGAAAAAAACGACTGAGAAGCTCAGCTTATTAGTGGTGGACGTGGTGACATAAGACAATCAGAAATCAAACATACCCAAATGGGCATTTTAGTACATTTATTCGCTGCAGGCCAGGTAGGCTACTTCTATGTGTGCTCAGGCGCGCGCTCCCTCAACATTAACAAGACCGAGAAACCAGACCCATGAACATTGCTCACATGGAGCTCTCAAAACAAAAGACATTGAAAAAATTGACAAGTGGTAAATGATGGTTATGAAATAAACCAAAACTTGTTTCTCACAAGTGTAGCAGGTTGTGAACTCTGCAAACAACGTTTCCACGCCGAGAATGAAAACGGTAAATAACATTAGGCCTAATTAGTAATACAATGCATTAACAAAAACTTATGTAACCAAATTACGGGGACTAACGGTACATTTACTATTGGTGACATATGTAATAGGGAATGTATTCAAATAAACAAAGGGCAAACAATTCACAAAATGAAACATATTTTAGATGCTTTTCACTTACAGCCACAACTCAATAATCAGCTAGGCCTTTTGCCACGCGAGCCTATGAAAGACTTCCTCATATGCCATTTCTCTCCTGTTCTATTGGTTCCATATCCACTTTCTTTCGTTGTCCAGAAGCCAAAAGGCACAATCCTAGTCATATTAGCAACCCATCCTAGTTGTTGAATCTTTAGATTCACCCCCTTCCAAGTTTCTAACGAAGATGTTCATCTCTGTCATATACCGCTCGCATCAGGTGCGTTGTTTAGAATGATGTTTTCCCACAAATGGTATTTTGGCAAATGTTTGAAAATGACATTTTATTGGCTGCTTCATTACAGGAGCTTCATGGTATTATATGATGAATTACCATAATCGAAATGCGATTTCTGTCATTCTGAGCCCCGTGGGTAGCCTCCCTATTGAGACACACCCAATGCATATTGGTCCGGTAAATTTCTCTTACCGGTCACGTTGTCCGGCACCACATTTTCCTAACGGAAACCCTGGTGTGTGTGTGTGTCTATCTCTCTGTCTGTCTGTGTTTGAGTGTGTGCGTGTTGAGATAAATGCCCACCAGCTCTGTCTTGGTGTCCAGCTCCTGCTCCTGCTGGGCCTGACAGTGCTGTTCCTGCAGGCTCTTCAGCTGCAGTTGGTCAATGAGCGCATCCTGCTGTTCAAGCTCCTCCACTGCAACCGCCTGCTCACTCTGCAGCCTCCCGATCTCTGCCACACGACACTCCAGGTCCTGCTCCAGACGCTCAATCTCCTCTGCAACCACAGCAGGAAAAGAGTTGCCATTTTCAATGACAGTGCCAACTAGAAAACAACGTTAAGTGTGGTACTGTATATTCACTAGGAACCTAACAGAAGCAAACGGGCCAAAATGGGGAGGGACTAAGCTGAATTTGTCCAATAAGAAAGGCTCAGATTTTACCCTGTTGCAAAACATTTTCTACGGTTTGCACTAATGAATACACACCAGCTTTCTAAAATATACAAAATGCTCATCTAGTCATGAGACCCTTTCAGGGTTTTAAGCAGGGATTGTGCAACTCTGTAATGTACCCATTTGAAACCGCTGGTGGGCCTGCTCTCTCTCTTCCTGGCTGATAGGCTGTCCGTCCAGCATCTCAAGTGACCTCAGGTGGAAAACCAGGAAGAGACGGTAATGGGGGAGATTGGCTATAGGGTTCTCTGCCACAGTCAGCTCTGTTAGGTTTTTCAGAGGCTTTAGTCTGGACAGCTCCTGCAGCTGCAGCAGCCCCGGGTATGAAGAGAAAGACAAGAATGTATTGGTGTCAATATGCATTGGCTAGTGCAATCAAATTTCCCCTTTGGGGATTAATAAAGTACTATCTTATAGGTCCAAAGCAGCAGTTTTTATCTCAATATCAAATTATTTCTGAGTAACAATTAAAATACCTGACTGCGATTGTTTCCAATAAAAATGGTTAAAAAGAAACAAAAATAGCTTCTTAGCAAAGACAAATTCTCAAGTAACAAATTTGCTAGGATTTTCAGAGTGGTCTGAGTGGGGAGGGGAAAACTGAAGATAAACTGTTATTGGCAGACCTGTTTGGAACTCTTTCTTATTGGTCTATTAACTAATGTACCACCTATGTGGCCTAATTTACCACTTGTTTGGCCTAAAATATGTCTATTAACACATTTTTGGCCAAAACTCCATCCCACTAAAACAGGATGAAATTTCAGGTCATTACAAACAGCTATGGCTGAGCGATTAACCGAAATGTCGGTTATGTCTCGGGTTTTAAACAAATAATTGACCAACGTCGGTTCAATTATTTGAATTCCATTTCTTTCTGTTTTTTTCTGGTGACCTCAATGTGCACATTGCGTTGCAGTTTCTCAACAGATAAATCAGATCATGCCCGGACTGTGCGATGTAGTAGGGAGTTGTAGTTTCCAACAGGCCAATGTTCTACAAATTATCACATTTTCTGCGCTAAACTAACAACAATGACCATAATCCATTGCGCGGCTAAACTTGTCCGGTCTGTGTTTCTTTTACGCCTGAGACAGAAGAATGCAAGATCAAGAGGGGATACACAGAGAGCAGTTTCTTTGTGAGGTATCTCTACCTGAAAATACATAAGTGATTGATAGCTGGTATTCAGCAGTCATAAAAGTATGCTTTGTTTACTTTGAAGAACTACTAAAATTGTGATTTTGTCAGACTACATACAGTGGGGAGAACAAGTATTTGATACACTGCCGATTTTGCAGGTTTTCCTACTTACAAAGCATGTAGAGGTCTGTAATTTTTATCATAGGTACACTTCAACTGTGAGAGACGGAATCTAAAACAAAAATCCAGAAAATCATATTGTATGATTTTTAAGTAATTAATTTGCATTTTATTGGATGACATAAGTATTTGATACATCAGAAAAGCAGAACTTAATATTTGGTACAAAAACCTGTGTTTGCAATTACAGAGATCATACGTTTCCTGTAGGTCTTGACCAGGTTTGCACACACTGCAGCAGGGATTTTGGCCCACTCCTCCATACAGACCTTCTTCAGATCCTTCAGGTTTAGGGGCTGTCGCTGGGCAATACGGACTTTCAGCTCCCTCCAAAGATTTTCTATTGGGTTCAGGTCTGGAGACTGGCTAGGCCACTCCAGGACCTTGAGATGCTTCTTACGGAGCCACTCCTTAGTTGCCCTGGCTGTGTGTTTCGGGTCGTTGTCATGCTGGAAGACCCAGCCACGACCCATCTTCAATGCTCTTACTGAGGGAAGGAGGTTGTTGGCCAAGATCTCGCGATACATGGCCCCATCCATCCTCCCCTCAATACGGTGCAGTCGTCCTGTCCCCTTTGCAGAAAAGCATCCCCAAAGAATGATGTTTCCACCTCCATGCTTCACGGTTGGGATGGTGTTCTTGGGGTTGTACTCATCCTTCTTCTTCCTCCAAACATGGCAAGTGGAGTTTAGACCAAAAAGCTCTATTTTTGTCTCATCAGACCACATGACCTTCTCCCATTCCTCCTCTGGATCATCCAGATGGTCATTGGCAAACTTCAGACGAGCCTGGACATGCGCTGGCTTGAGCAGGGGGACCTTGCGTGCGCTGCAGGATTTTAATCCATGACGGCGTAGTGTGTTACTAATGGTTTTCTTTGAGACTGTGGTCCCTGCTCTCTTCAGGTCATTGACCAGGTCCTGCCGTGTAGTTCTGGGCTGATCCCTCACCTTCCTCATGATCATTGATGCCCCACGAGGTGAGATCTTGCATGGAGCTCCAGACCGAGGGTGATTTACCATCATCTTGAACTTCTTCCATTTTCTAATAATTGCGCCAACAGTTGTTGCCTTCTCACCAAGCTGCTTGCCTATTGTCCTGTAGCCCATCCCAGCCTTGTGCAGGTCTAAAATTGTATCCCTGATGTCCTTACACAGCTCTCTGGTCTTGGCCATTGTGGAGAGGTTGGAGTCTGTTTGATTGAGTGTGTGGACAGGTGTCTTCTATACAGGTAACAAGTTCAAACAGGTGCAGTTAATACAGGTAATGAGTGGAGAACAGGAGGGCTTCTTAAAGAAAAACTAACAGGTCTGTGAGAGCCGGAATTCTTACTGGTTGGTAGGTGATCAAATACTTATGTCATGCAATAAAATGCAAATGAATTACTTAAAAATCATACAATGTGATTTTCTGGATTTCTGTTTTAGATTCCGTCTCTCACAGTTGAAGTGTACTTATGATAAAAAATTACAGACCTCTACATGCTTTGTAAGTAGGAAAACCTGCAAAATCGGCAGTGTATCAAATACTTGTTCTCCCCACTGCAGGCAGCAGCTCTATAGAGATGAGATGATGACTTGGAATTAAATAATAACTGAACCGACCTCAAAAAGCACTAATCGCTCAGCACTTACAATAAAAAGGGTATTATCATAATTTTCACAATTCACAGTATTATTCCATCCTCAGTGTGGAAATATACACTGAGTATAACAAACATTAGGAACACCCTCCCCCCTTTTTCCTTCAAAAACACCCTCAATTCGTCAGGGCATGGACTCTACAAGGTGTCGAAAGCGTTCCACAGGGATGCTGGTCCATGGTGACTCCAATGCTTCCCACTGTTGTGTCAAGTTGGCTGGATGTCCTTTGGGTGGTGGACCATTCTTGATACACGGGAAAATGTTGAGCGTGAAAAACCCACCAGCGTTGCAGTTCTTGACACCATCCAGTGCGCCTGGCACCAATTACCATACCCAGTTCAAAGGCACTTCAATGTTTTTTCTTGCCCATTCACCCTCTGAATGACACATATACACAATCCATGTCTCAATTGTCTTAAGGCTTCTTTAACCTGTCTCCTCCCCTTCCTCTACACTTATTGAAGTGGATTTAAAGAGTGACATCAATAAGGGATCATAGCTTTCACCTGGTCTGTGTTATGGAAAGAGCAGGTGTTCTTAATGTTTTGTATACTCAGTGTATGCATGCATGCATGCATTCATGCATGCATGTATGTATAACCACAAACAGTGCCTTCAGAAATTATTCATTCCCCTTGACTTAATCCACATTTTGTTGTTACAGACAATTTAAAATGGATGAAATAGTTTACCCCATAATGACAGTGAAATCATCTTTAGAAATGTTTGCTATTGAAAAGAAAATACAGACATAACTCATTTACATAAGTATTCACACCCCTGAGTCAATACTTTGTAGAAGCACTTTTGGCAGCGATTACAGCGTTGAGTCGTTCTGGTTAAGTCTCCAAGAGCTTTCCACACCTGGATTGTGCAACACTTACCCATTATTCTTTTCAAAATTCTTCAATCTCTGTCAAATTGGTTGTTGATCATTGCCAAACAACCATTTTCAGGTCTTGCCATAGATTTTCAAGTAGATTTAAGTCAAAACTGTAACTAGGCCACTCAGGAACAATCACTGCCTTCTTGGTAAGCAACTCCAGTGTAGATGTGGCCTTGTGTTTTAGGTTATTGTCCTGCTGAAAGGTGAATTAATCTCCCAGTGTCTGGAGGAAAGCAGATTGAACCAGGTTTTCCCTCTAGGATTTTGCCTGTGCTTAGCTCCATTACGTTTCTTTTTTATCCTGAATTACTTCAGTGCCTTGTTGCAAAGAGAATGCATGTTTTGGAATATTTTTATTCTGTACAGGCTTCTTTCTTATCACTCTGTCAATTAGGTTAGTATTGTGGAGTAACTCAAATGTTGTTGATCCATCCTCCGTTTTCTCCTATCACAGCCATTAAACTCTGTTTTAAATCCCTGAACAGTTTCCTTCCTCTCCGGCAACTGAGTTAGGAAGGACACATGTATATTTGTAGTGACTGAGAAAGTCTTATCTTTCCATAGAGGGGTCACAATAGTTTTTAGGCCAAACCGTTCAGAAGATTTTGTGAGAAGACAGATTTTCCGGACGTCTCATGGTCTGACTAACACCGCTATAGCTCTGTTACCTTTCACCGCAGATGCGGAAGTACGAAGTCGGCATAAGCGGTGGATTGAAACGCATCCAATATATCTCTAGCTTAAATTGACAGATTTTTATGGGGATTTGTTTTATGGGGCCGCTGACTTTAGGACCATGAGGACGCCTGGGAGAGGGAGGGAAGGCTGTTTGTATGGCTGGCTGGCTTTTTGGAGAGCACATTGACGCAGCTGCAGGGAACAGCGTGACTTTTTCTGAACACATTACAGAGGTAACGATGGCTGTAGTACATGGCTTTGGCTAGGTAACTGCTGTTTGACTTGACATCAAACTCAACTAGAGTTTTAATCCTGGTTCTGAGCTAGTGCGTAGCAGGCAGCTAAATCTTGTATGACATGTGTTTGTAGAATGTTAAGTCCCCTATTGACTGAGGTGAATGAAGCTACTGCAACAAAGTGATAATTTCTGTTCTCCAAATTGCATTTTAGAGTTTAAATTGTGTAGAAATGCAGTAAATGTTTTTTTTATCCCCCACCCCGTCACTTTGTCATACCTTAGGTTTAGCTGAAATGACGCCCCTGACCTGAATAAAATATAAATCAAAAACTAGCTACAATCGGAAAGCTAGAAACAGGCTAAATTAAGTGCATGATGAAGAAGACAGAGAAAAACACAGAGATACTCACAGAAGAGATCTTGTTACGTTGAAGGTTTAAAGTCTGGAGTGATCTGAGTTTCTTAGCCAGCCACAGAGGCACATGTTCAATGTCATTGCTGGAAAGATTTAAAAGCTGAAGACTTGCCATGTGCTCTAGGCCCTCAATTTTACTGCAGAAATAAACAAAAGTTTCTTAAATGTTTTATCAAAAAAAACAATTTTACAATTAGCAATCATAATAAATGTTTGATACACGTAGGCTGTTAATCCAATGGCAGAGTACATTAATAAAATTAATTGTTTGAGTGTTGTTTAAGTGTGCTGTACTTACTGGATTCTGTTGTTAGAGACATGTAGTTCCCGCAAGTTGTGCAGCTTTTCGAGCTTCTCAATTTTTTCAATGACATTATGGCTGACGTTGAGGACCTGCAGGCGCTCGCACTTCTCCAAATTCTCAATGAACTGAAACAGAAGATATGCCACTGTATTACGTCTGTATCGATGTCAGTGTAGGCTCCTCACAGGAGGAACATTCTACTCAGTAAAAAATTGAATAATAAACATTAATACATTTAATATATTCACGTCACCAAATACCTGATTAAAAAACACACTGTTTTGCAATGGTCTACAGTAATCTCAACAGCACCCTCTAGGGTAGCACCATGGTGTAGCCGGAGGACAGCTATTGTCCGTCCTTCCCTGGCTACATTGATTTCAATACAAAAAACCTAGAAGGCTCGTGCTCCTCACCCCCTTCCATAGACCTACATGGTAATTATGACAACTTCCAGAGGACGTCCTCCAACCCATCAAAGCTTTTGCAGTATGAACTGACATGTTGTCCATCAAATCAAAGGATCAGAGAATGAACATTGTACTACGCATGTGTGATTTAGAAGTTTGGTGAGTTGGTGACATTGTTGGATCGATTGAGATAGTTCAGCCTTTTTTGGATATTATTCAATTCAAATTAGTTTCTTCAAACTACAGGAGACGGAGGTGGTAGATTAGATATTGTTTTCTTGGTTTTAGATCTTTATTTTTGTGTCGATGTAGTGCCATTTTCTTCAATTTGCCCTGCTAACTTTAGTAGCAAGTAGTTAGCTAGCTACCAGAGTCCAGTTTTCTCAGCCAGAATGGCTAGCTAACGCTAACGACAATGTAGTGGCTTTTTTTAAATTGAAGAACCCCTTTCATTGCCCACATTAGATTCAAGCGTCTGGGAAAAAGCTGCATCAATCATGTAATGGAGGAAGGTCTGGTTAAACAGCGCAACACAACGAGAAGGTAAGAAGAAACAGTGATACTTCATTTTTGGGCATTTAAGAGTTGGCTTTTAGGGGGCATGTTGCTTCATCCCGCAATGAGTGGCTCGTTGCGGTACGAAGCAAGGGGCAGATGAGGGAACGTTCTGCTAACAATACCAACTACAAGGAGCTTGCAGAGGTACTTGCCGTTACAATATTTTACTAGCTGAGCATATGGACATTTCTACTGTCTTCTCTGGGATGTCGAAATCAATTCAGAATGATTTGATCATTTTCATCGCATCATCCATTAAAAGGATGATTAAAAGAGGTTGACGCAGCAAATTTTTTGGCATGGCATATGGATGAAACCACAGACATCTGTCACTCGCAGTTGTTAGTTATCGTCAGGTATGTGGATGATCAGGGCTACATTCAGGAACATTTCACTGGCTACTTTGATCCAACTGGGCACACCACGTCATTTCAACATGGTAGCTGGGTAATATTTGGTTGAGACGTTGATCAATGAGATTACAACCTATATTCAACCACTTAAAAAGACAGCCAAAAGTTAGTGGTAACATATTGGAAATTCAACTATGATTTCAACCATCTAAAAGCACAACCAAAAACTATGATTCTTGGTTAAAGGTGCAGTGCAGTCCAAAAAATGATTTTCCTGCCTGTGTTTTATATATATATATATTCCCACACTATGGAGGTTGTAATAATACTGTGAAATTGTGAAAATTATGACAATGCCCTTTTAGTGTAAGAGCTGTTTGAAAAGACCGCCTGAAAACTCTGCCTGTTTGGTGGGGTGAAGTTTTGGCCTGCCTGGTGACAACACCAGGCGGTACATTTTTGAATAGACCAATAAGAAAGAGGCTTCCAAACATCTGCCAATAACAGCTAGTTTTCATCTCGCCAAATAGACCACCCCCAGTCAGCCCTAGCAAAAGTATTGCTTGAGAAATTGTTATTTTTTATTATTTTTGGTCATTTTAATTGACAATCACAGTAAGGTACTTACTTATTACCCAGAAGTGATTTGATATTGAGATAAAACTGGCTGCATTGGAACTTAAATTAAAGTTGAAACCCAAATGCCTATCACTGCGCTTTCAACCATTTAAAAGCACAGCAAAGTTTAAATAGGAATACAATGTCAGATATTTTGTTTATTTATACAACAGATTCATGTTACCACTGTGCTTCATCTAATAGTAGAACCAAATGACCTGGTTTGCAGTTGAGATCACATTGAAAGTACAGTGCATTCAGTAAAGTATTCAGACCCCTTGACTTTTTCCACATTTTGTTACGTTACAGCCTTATTCTAAAATTGATTGAATACATGTTTTTCCTCATCAATCTACACACATTTCCCCATAATGACAAAGCGAAAACAGGTTTGTTTATATTTTTGCAAATGTATAAAAAAACTCACAGAAATACCTTATTTACATAAGTATTCAGACCCTTTGCTATGAGACTCGAAATTGAGCTAGCTACATCCTGTTTCCATTGATCATCCGTGAGATGTTTCTACAACTTGATTGGAGTCCACCTGTGGTAAATTCAATTGATTGGACATGATTTGGAGGCACACACCTGTCTATATAAGGTCCCACAGTTGACAGTGCATGTCAGACCAAAAACCAAGCCATGAGGTCGAAGTAATCAGTAGAGCTCAGAGACAGGATCGTGTCGAGGCACAGATCTGGGGAAGGGTACCAAAAAATGTCTGCAGCATTGAAGGTCCCCAAGAACACAGTGGCCTCCATCATTCTTAAATGGAAGAAGTTTGGAACCACCAAGACTCTTCCTAGAGCTGGCCGCCTGGCCAAACTGAGCAATTGTGGGGGAAGGGCCTTGGACAGGGAGGTGACCAAGAACCTGATGGTCACTCTGACAGAGCTCCAGAGTTCCTCTGTGGAGATGGGAGAACCTTCCAGAAGGACAACCATCTCTGCAGCACTCCACCAATCAGGCCTTTCTGGTAGAGTGGCCAGACGGAAGCCACTCCTCAGTAAAAAGGCACATGACAGCCCGCTTGGAGTTTGCCAAAAGGCACCTAAAGACTCTCAGACCATGAGAAACAAGATTCTCTGGTCTGATGAAACCAAGATTGAACTCTTTGGCCTGAATGCAAAACCTGGCACCATCCCTACGGTGAAGCATGGTGGTGGCAGCATCATGCTGTAGGGATGTTTTTCAGCGGCAGGGACTGGGAGACTAGTCAGGATCGAGGGAAAGATGAATGAAGCAAAGTACAGCGAGATCCTTGATGAAAACCTGCTCCAGAGCTCTCAGGACCTCAGACTGGGGCGAAGGTTCACCTTCCAACAGGACAACGACCCTAAGCACACAGCCAAGACAAGCAGGCGTGGCTTCGGGACAAGTCTCTGAATGTCCTTGAGTGGCCCAGCCAGAGCCCAGACTTGAACCTGATCAAACATCTCTGGAGAGACCTGAAAATAGCTGTGCAGCGACGCTCCCCATCCAACCTGACTTGAGCGGATCTGCAGAGAAGAAATGGGAGAAACTCCCCAAATACAGGTGTGCCAAGCTTGTAGCGTCATACCCAAGAAGACACGAGGCTGTAATCGCTGCCAAAGGTGCTTCAACAAAGTACTGAGTAAAGGTTCTGAATACTTATGTAAATTTGATATGTCAGGGTTTGTTTTATTTTATATAACTTTGCAAAAGTTTCTAAAAACCTGTTTTTGCTTTGTCATTATGGGGTATTGTGTGTAGATTGATGAGAAAAAAACAACAATTTTATCAATTTTAGAATACGGCTGTAACGTATCAAAATGTGGAAAAAGTCAAGGGGTCTGAATACTTTCCGAATGCACTGTACATGGTGCAAGTGACCAATACTGTTCAAGATTATGTGAAGATTATTACAGCAATTGTGAAGATCTCCACAGACCTGCAACAACCTACAGAATGCATGCGATCTTGAACATGCACGCTTTATATCATTAGATAAGAAAAAATTTAGTTATAGTAACCTCAAAATGTGGCCATGGATGTTACTAATTTTAAGGTTGAATGTTACATTCATTTTTAAGATAACTTAAGGCTATTTACTGTATTACAAAAGTAATATTGACTTGTGTTTGGTTGACAACGCAACCAAATATCAACATTTAAAGGAGGAGATGTATTTACTGCTTGGATAGTTCCATCTGAGCCACTGTCTTAATACCATTCTTTAACTTAGATTTTTGTTTGAGTTGGAGACGTGAAACCAACATATCATTTGTTAACTTATCAACAAGTTGATAGGCTATTCATTGTATTTCAAAAGTGATACTGAATTGTGTTTGGTTATCAACACAACCAAATATAAACATTTAAAAGGGATTTATCTTCTGCCACTGACAGTCTGTCTTTAATTCCAGTTTTTCTACAAATGAATAATTGATGTTGGATTCACGTCTCAATCTAAACCAAAAATCTATGTTAAAGAATAGGACTAAATCAATTAAATTTCAATAAAGTTTGATTTAGTCCTATTCTTTAACTTTGATTTTAGGTTAAAATTAGATTTTTGGAAACGTGCACAGATGGAACTATCCAAGCAGAAGATACATCTCCTTCAAATGTTGATACTGTATTTGGTTGCGTTGACAACCAAGTACATTTCAATATCACTACATATCATACAATTTAAAAATCAACCAGAGCTTGAAACCCTATTGTATTGTCAATTTAAGTTGAATTCTGGGTTGAATTGAAACGATAGCTGTTGATGACTTTGCAAATGCTATATAGGCTTAAATATTGATGATACATGAGTGATAAAGTATGGTCACATTTCATTTGCTCTGTAAACCTACCCTTTGGAATGACTTTGATAGCAACAGTGAATCTATTTTGTTTTTAGTGGAGATCTCTTAATCATTCTCACGATAGCACATTGGTAATAGTCAGTGACAAATAGCTATGCAGGGCTTGGTTAAAACCCTGAATGGGAGACCAAAGGGTAGCTGAGGATACATCAATTCTCCAGTAGGTGCTGTTTCCAGCCTATTGTCGTTCGACATGGTGGGATGTTTTTGTGTCGGTAAAATCAATTATGCGAGAAAATTACATTTTAGTCATTTAGGAGTCGCTCTTAGGGTTAAGTGCATTACTCAAGGGCACATCAACAGACTTTTCACCTAGTCATCTTGGGGACTCGAACCAACAACCTTTTGGTTACTGGGCCAACGCTCTTAACCGCTGTGAGCAAATATTGATTTAAAAACTTGGAGTCACGCGATGATATGGTGTGTGGTCAACCACTACGATTCAGGAAACCATGCAGTTTATTAGGCTACAGATTAAATAACTTATGATGAACTTCACAGGGTGGTGAAAGTAATAATAATCATTATGTAGACAGCCTTCCCGCACTGTATCGGTTGGCTAGAGCGCACGTGCCAAGACCAGAGTAGCCACATTTGCTATTTAACGAAACAGTTATTGTGACAAAACTATCAGTAGAGTTGAAAATGCGATGGAAACACATTGATTTTTATTCGGTACATGAAAACGTACAAGAACATTTTGTGTGCACTATGTCATCATGCACTGATTTTTATCTGTAACAAGTCAGTTTGGTGGAAACACACCACTGGTGGTAAAATACGCATATTTTCTTTATGCAGATTTTTGAATATTCGCATTACAATGTCGCCAATTGGTGACAAAAGTTTGCCGACGACAACGGTTATAGGCCTGATCACCGACAACGATGAGACAGCCTATAGAGACCTGGCAGTGTGGTGCCAGGACAACAACCTCTCCCTCAACGTGATCAAGACAAGGAGATGATTGTGGACTACAGGAAAAGGAGGGCTGAGCACACCGCCATTCTCATCGACGGGGCTGTAGTGGAGCAGGTCGAGAGCTTCAAGTTCCTTGGTGTCCACATTACCAACAAACTGTCATGGTCCAAACACACCAAGACAGTCGTGAAGAGGGTACGACAACGCCTATTCCCCCTCAGGAGACTAAAAAGATTTGGCATGGGTCCTCAGATCCTCAAAAAGAGCATCCTGACTGGTTGCATCACTGCCTGGTATGGCAACTGTTCGGCAAGGCGCAACAGAGGGTAGTGCGTACGGCCCAGTACATCACTAGGACCAAGCTTCCTGCCTTCCAGGACCTCTATACCAGGCAGTGTCAGAGGAAGGCCCTAAAAATTGCCAAAGACTCCAGCCACCCTAGTCATAGACTGTTCTCTCTCTGCTATCGCAAGGCAAGCGGTACCGGATCGCGAATTCTAGGTCCAAAAGGCTCCTTAACAGCTTCTACCCCCAAGCCATAAGACTGCTGAACAGCTAATCAATGGCTACCCAGACTATTTCCATTGACCCCCCTTTTTTAACGCTGCTGCTATTCACAGTTTATTATCTATGCATAGTGACTTTACCCCTATATACATGTACAGTACCAGTCAAAGGTTTGGACACATGTACTCATTCAAGTTTTTTTTAAAAACTATTTTCTACATTGTCCAGTAATAGTGAAGACATCAAAACTATGAAATACCTTTGAATATAATTTGTTTTTCAACAGGACAATGACCCAACACACCTCCAGGCTGTGTAAGGGCTATTTGACCAAGAAGGAGAGTGATGGGAGTGCTGCATTAGATTACCTGGCCTCCACAATCACCCGACCTCAACCCAATTGAGATGGTTTGGGATGAGTTGGACCACAGAGTGAAGGAAAAGCAGCCAACAAGTGCTCAGCATATGTGGGAACTCCTTCAAGACTGTTGGAAAAGCATTCCTCATTAAGCTGGTTGAGAGAATGCCAGGAGTGTGCAAAGCTGTCATCAAAGAAAAGGGTGGCTACTTTGAAGAATCTCAAATATAAAATATATTTTGATTTGTTTAACACTTTTTTGGTTACTACATGATTCCATGTGTTATTTCATAGTTTTGAAGTCTTCACCATTATTCCACAATGTAGAAAACAGTACAAATAAAGAAAAACCCTTGAATGAGTAGGTGTGTCCAAATGTTTGACTGGTACTGTACATATTACCTCAATTACCTCGACTAACATGTACCCCCGTACATGGACTCGGTACCGGTAAACCCCATATATATAGCCTCATTATTTTATTGTGTTACCTTTTTAAACTTTAGTTTATTTTTCTTAAAACTGGTTGGTTAAGGGCTTGTAAGTAAGCATTTCACAGTAAGGTCTACCTGTTGTATTCAGCACATTACATTTGATTTGAATCATGTGGTTGAAATGTTTCCCTCAAAACAACAGTTGTATTTACCCCATAGATTCCACGACACAATACCTTCTCAGACAAAATGAGTATTGTAACGCATATGGCGAATTTTCCAAATACGATTATGACACAAGTATTTTTTTAATTATCAATTATCTGAAAATTTTACTTTCAGCTGCCAGCATGCATCGCTCTTTTACTCAAACAGTGTGAAGCGCTGTCTGTTCTAAACAACTATTGGCTCGTTTTTCTGTCTGTAAAGAAACGGGCAGCGTATTGGTTGAGCCTGCTGCTGGCACAAGTCTCCCCTTCTCCAAATATCATGTATGAATCAGAATCCGTAGCTAGTCATTGCTGTTCAAGCTAGCCAACTTTGCTGAGGCCATATGGTTGTTTTTTTCTGTCTACTTGGCTTTGTTTAGTAGGTCTACTTTGTCTGTCCGTATAATTATTCCATTGCTGACGACGTCTGCCGTTATGTCATGATCTAAGCCCATGCTTGCTTGCTATTATTCTTCCTCGCCAAGGTATATTAACCGAGCGACAGATCATTAGAAAATTAAATGACAAATGTAGATAGTTTATTTTGATTGTACAAATGTTGTGGCATAAGTGTCGGGAGAGAAAGCTCCTCTCGAAAGTGAAACAATAAAGGCCTATGGGGCAAGCGAATTAGCCTACCTTCATCTAAATCGGGAATAAATGCAGGCAGTAGTAGCCAGCCATGCATTAGGATATTTATAAGCCTATTTTCTTGATAACTAAGTAAGTAAATCATGTGCCTTTTCATCTGTCGTCATTTACCTTTGAACAATGTGTGTGAAGGAACATAACGATGCGCTGTGAGATGCGCTCTGAGTGATAGTACGGTAATGCGCACTTGAGGTATAGGCTTTACCGGCATTTAAAGCGCACTTCTGGGTTTTCCGATCACGAGTAAATCCGATTACGAGTATCAAGTGTGATAAAACAGATACAATTACAACGAGATCGGCACACCCCTACTCTGAACACCTCAACCCCTGTCCTGCACTGAAATCAAACCTAATTTAAATCACTGCTCTGATTCGTTCCAAACTTTAAAGTAGCCCTCTCATTCCCTTCCCCATTATATTTTACTATAAATGTCTTTATTAAATGTTTTGGGTTAAAATAATTTATCTTTGACGATTTTGAAAACAAGCTTTGTTGTCTCTGTGCGGTCAGCTCCTATACCTTGGGTCTCCCATCCTCCTAAATTGTTGAAGTCACCAGCCTCCACTGATCTATGTGGTGCTGTTTTGGTGGTTGTTAAATTCGACTGATGTAAAAGGATATTTCAGTTTTATTACATAATTCTTACCTTGAATTTCTTGTCTCCACTCTTTGTTATGGCCAGGTTCAGGGACCGTACAAAGGCTAATTTGTCCTGCTTGGTCAGCCTCGAGATCAGGTCCTCTGTGATATATCTGATTCCCTGGATACTCTCTTCATCTAAGCCGAAATGACCAAAAAGAGAGTGTTTCATCCAAACAGGTCAAAGGGGAAAGCAATACATTAAAGGAATTGTTGTAGCTAGTGTTGGGTTTTATTTTTCTCATAATTGGATTTGTATGTGATGGATAGCTTGGAAGGAATGCACTAATGAGGAGCAATATACTGATATGGATTGTTTCACATAACAGGGTGGGGAACATTAGGGAGTAGGGGGAGATAAGAACTTGTGTCTCAAAGTACTAGACCTCACTGCCTCTTTGTATTCTGTGAAACTGTCCTTGAACATGGAGTACAGTGGGAGGATGTCTTTCTGGGTGCTGGCTCTGCAGGTTATTATCATAGCAACCAAGCCTGGCAACAACTGGAATGCCAAGGAGTTGAGACCAACCCCTGCGCCAACGGATTGGCTGAACCACACTCAGTCCTTTGCTCTGGTTGGCCAACAGAAGAAGGGACTGCTTTCTGTCAGAGTATTTGAGAAAGAATCTGAAAACAGATTCTTAGTTCTCTGTCGGCCCTGCGTGGTTTGTCAGTGAGCCCGTATACGAACCTTCATACTTATCATACAATACATTTTGCATATAATAAATTAAGCTTGGATTGAAGATCTCTTGATTCTTATTCCAATACCAGATTTGAATTACGCAATCTCGACAATTGGTGACCCCGACGTGATCTGGTAGCGGAACTTCACTTCGCTGGAATTCACCCAGCCTATTGGACATCACTGTCATCGAACTGTGTTTCACAAATTGCCCGGGCTTCTATAAAGGTAAGCAAAACACCTATTGTAATATAACTGAAGTTTTGCACATTGGCTTTATCCAAATTAATTTTGTGAAACACCTGTTTGATGTAAGTGAACCCTATTCTACTATAAATAACAATTACAGTATACTACTTCGATTTCATAATGTACTATGCAAATGTTTGATAATTGTGATGGTTAAACCCATGGGAAATAGAGGAGGCTGTGTGCCCAAATAGAGGAGGCTGTGTGCCCAAATAGAGGAGGCTGTGTGCCCAAATAGAGGAGGCTGTGTGCCCAAATAGAGGAGGCTGTGTGCCCAAATAGAGGAGGCTGTGTGCCCAAATAGAGGAGGCTGTGTGCCCAAATAGAGGAGGCTGTGTGCCCAAATAGAGGAGGCTGTGTGCCCAAATAGAGGAGGCTGTGTGCCCAAATAGAGGAGGCTGTGTGCCAAAGGGTGTGTGCCCAAATAGAGGAGGCTGTGTGCCCAAATAGAGGAGGCTGTGTGCCCAAATAGAGGAGGCTGTGTGCCCAAACAGAGGAGGCTGTGTGCCCAAATAGATTGTGTGTCGATTGTAAGTGTGTCATTTATGACTGTGTGACATATTTGACTGTGTGATAGGACTATGACTGTGTATTGTGAGTGAGTGTGATAACTGTATACTACGTTTAACTGTGTAATAACTGTGTACCATTTTGGCTGAGAATAAAGTTTAAATTGTGCAAACGTTAACAAAAGACACCCATAGGAGGTACTTTAAAATAGATTAGATAGTGCGACGCTATGACTGAAGGCTCATAGGGGGTACTTTAAAAGTAAGACAGTGCGAGTGTTGTCGTATGCATGAGAGTGTGAATGACAAACCTGTATACTTTGTTAGAAAACTAATTAGAAGTTAAAACGTCTGTGGCTGTCCAAACTGTGTAATTTGGGGATAACTGTTGGGTTCGTGATTGTTTAAACCATATAACCCATCAATAACAATTGGGAACATAAAGCTAAAGTGATTAATTGTGTGACTGAACTGGTTTTGAATAGTTGTGTTGAAACAATTTGGTTTATTATTTGATTTAACGTTTGATGTTTGACCCTGCAAAATACTGGTTAAACAATTAGACTGAAATAATTCGGTTTATCGTTGAAAAATAAATATGCACCAACTTTAACTAATTAGGTGGGAATGATTTGTTTTAAATAAATAGACTAAAGTAGTTTAAATAACGGCAGAATATTTGGAACACTAAAACGAAAAACAGCTCTTCAAAAGGCCTGCTCTCCTCAAAAGCTGAAGAGAGAGTTGCGAGGGGAGGGGCTGGAGAGAGCGAAACTGTGGCTTTTGGAGCGAGGAAAGACTGGGAGTTGGCTGGGAACACCACGGGGTGATTATTTGAGAGGTGCATGTGGGTTTCTGACGAGAGATGTTCTGAACTTGCTCACCCGAGCGTCGTGGGTGAGAAAGTAGAGAATATTTACATTTGCATTTTTGGTGATTTGGCAGACGCTCTTGTCCAGAGCGACTTGCAGGAGCGATTGGGGTTGAGTGCCTTGCTCGAGGGCACATCGGCAGATTTTTCGCCTGGTCGGCTCGGGGATTGTAACCGGTGACCTCTCGGTTGTTGGCGCGGCGCTATTGGTTACTAAACTGCCAGCCGCCCCATATGAGTTTAAGATTGTGGCGTTGTTGGATAATATGATGGCGGAATAAACTGACCATAAGTAATGTTGTTTTAGACGTAATGTATAATATAGTACAAAGCAAATAGAGGGTTAAATCGAACTAATTATCATGGTAGAGCTAACATAGTACAGTGAGGGAACTTCATTTTGTGTCAGAGGGTAAGATGAGATCATTAATGGTACTATTAGTGGAAATCTATTTATCATTTCAAGGCTTGGAGTAATAATCTGCATTTATGAGTGTAAATTCCACGGCTGATGTGTTGATTGAATGGGTACGATGAGTATTTGGTTTGGTAATGTTGAATGGACTATTTGTAGCGAGCGTGTTTAGGGGTTAAATAGAAAAACTAAATTATACAATAAAGCTACTGCGATTTTCATTTGGTGACGTCACTTGCTCTATGAACTGGAAGTAGTTACTTTGAGAGCATCGCAGATGGTGTGAAGTGACTGGCGATGTCCCTGGTTCGAACACCGGTAGGGACAGTAGATAAAGCTTACGCAGTGGGGCTATATACCTGAAAGGTTGAATTAGATAGACTTTTCTAGAATATTTCTATTTAAGCTATGTAAATATGTTATAAGGTTACCATGCGCTCTCTCCGAAGGAGAAGGGGGAGGGTGAGAGACAGTACAGTTCAGATGGTAGGAACATAATTAAATGTATGCTAATCAACGATAGCAAGTATTTGTTTTATTAATTAGGGCATTGAACAGTTAAATAAATTGAATAGCGAACTGAAATGGTTTAGCTGGGAAATATTTTTTTTTGGTACATTTTAGAACGATAATGTATTTTGGTTAAGTGGATGCAAGTGACATTGGCTGTTGTGATGGGGGAATAGCGCCAGCCTGTGGTGGGTTATGGATTTGTTACATAAACTTATATTTTAAACTAAAAGTGATGGAATAGGCTACAATTATGACATTATCAGAAAAAAGACACAATTTAATGTGAAATAGTTATTACAATTATTATTGATAGTTATTACAGTTATTATCATTGATCCAGTAATGATATAAGGATAGTAGAGGAAGGCAGGGGATTTAATCTCATTTAGGGAAGTTATATTAGGAAGAAAATACCATTAAATTAGGGAACATTTGATGTAACTGTGATTGTATTGGCTAAAAACTCAAATATGACATATACAGGGAGGACAGGAGCAATAGAAGGGAAGACAGGTTTTCCTAGGGAGTTGAATAAATAATTGATAAATGGATCATTTGAGATGAGATCACATGTAGCAGAGTTAGGGTAATCAATTAAATAATCATAGTATACTCGAGGAATTTTGAGTGGTTTAATGGATTAGTTAGGAGGAATTGGAATGATACAAACAATTATTGATGGGTTAAGACTGGGAATATCTATCATGTTTTGTGTGTACTACCATCTTTAGAATATCACTAGGAGAAAGAGATTAGCTCATCTCGTTGGAATGTTGCCAAGGGCTAGGGGAGCAGTAGTGAAGTTAGGCCGTATTTAGGTCATAAAAGTGAACTACCAAATTAAGGCCTGGCTATTTGTGGTTGTTTTTTCAAATTGGGTTTTCAAATAAAAAACAACACACCTAGTATGATGTTTATAAAGCCTTGTTGTTTCAATTTTGGGGGGTTTCAGCAGGTCAAGGGTGATAGGTCTTAGAGGAGCACACAGTGAATTTTATGGAGTTTTTTAGCTTTTTGGCTGAGTTTGGGGTATATATGATTTCTTATGAGAATGAATGTCATGAGGACTTAATGAACACTTGGGATAACTAACATTTATGAAATATTTAGAATAATGGTAATTGTTTAGTATACTATGGGATTAAACAGTTCGTTAAATGATTTCAATGGCCTCTGAACTCTGTTTTAACATTCTGGTGTTAATTAATCATCCACACTAGTACATTCTAAAGACATGAGAGGAAGATTTTAGCATAGTTTATTTTACTAAAGTTGAGGGTAATTTATAGTACTGTGAAAATTGTGAAGAAGATTATAATTTGGTAATAATATATTTGATTTGAACCATAAATAACAGAAGAGAGAGTGGAGGAATGGCAATTGGATAATGAAATACCAATATTAACTAAAGTGATTGTTTAGGTAGGTGGTAATATTGACACATGGCCAAATCATGTGTCAAAGAGGGGGATGGGTATTAAATATTAAATATATACGAAGGAGAGGACAAAATACTTTATTAAATATATACGAAGGAGAGGACAAAATACTTTAAAAAAAAAAACAAAAAAAAAAACATGTATGATAGTTTATTAACCACACCTGTATGTCAGAGATTTTGTGCCCCACAGGTGAACTAAAGGAGAAGGTGACCCACTCTATCTAACCAGGAGACTGAATCAGGCCTGGCGGGAAGGGCCCTACCAAGTACTGCCTTTTTGCCAGCAGAACAGCTGAGAGATCCATCTGGGTGCATGTCACACACTGTAAAAAGGCAAACCCAGCTACACCTGACGAACAAACACAGAGTTAGGAGAAAGATCCGATAACCACAAGGGTCCGGGGGTTGGCTCCTTAACGAAGATTCCCTTACCCTGTCTGATCATCCCTGTGT